CAGTTGATGCGCTGGAGGGCAGGGATGCCATCCAGAGGGACCTGGACAGGCTGGAGAGGTGGGGCCTGTGCAAACCTCATGAAGTTCAACAAGGCCAAGTGCAAGGTCCTGCACATGGGTCGGGGCAATCCCAAGCACAAATACAGGATGGACAGAGAATGGATTGAGAGCAGCCCTGAGAAGGACTTGGGAGTATTAGCAGATGGAAAACTGACCATGAGCCAGCAGTGTGCACTCACAGCCCAGAAAGCCAACTGTGCCCTGGGCTGCATCAAGAGAAACATAGCCAGCAGGTCGAGGGAGGGGATTCTCCTCCCTCTACTCTGTTCTTGTGAGACTCCACCTGCAGTGCTGTGTCCAGCTCTGGGGCCCCCAGCAGAAGAAGGACAGGGACCTGCTCCAGCAGGTCCAGAGGAGGCCACAAAGATGATCAGGGGTTGGAGCACCTCCCTGATGAGGACAGGTTGAGAGAGATGGGGTTCTTCAGCCTGGAGAAGGCTCCAGGGAGACCTTATAGCGGCCTTCCAGTACTTAAAGGGGGCTACAGGAAAGGTGGGGAGGGACTCTTCATCAGGGGGTGTAGGGATAGGATGAGGGGTAAAAGTTTTAAACTGAGAGGGTAGATTTAGATTGGATATAGGGAAGACATTCTTTATTGTGAGAGAGTGGTGAGGCACTGGCACAGGTTGCCCAGAGAAGCTGTGGCTGCCCCCTCCCTGGCAGGGCTCAAGGCCAGGCTGGACGGGGCTTTGAGCAACCTGGGCTGGGGGAAGGTGTCCCTGCCCGTGGCAGGGGGGTTGGAACCCGATGATCTTTAAGGTGCCTTCCAACCCAAACCATTCTGTTCTATTCTATGATATAAACACTCATCCAGCTGCCTGGGTTGTTTTTATTTATACTAGATGATGGAGCTGTTCAAACTGCGCAGTACTCGGGCACAGATAGCAACTGATGCTGTGCAACGGGCAGGCAGACAGGCCCACAGTCATTTAATGTGACCAGGGGAGCATGTTGCGCCAAGCAGTGATAACAGTAAGGCTGCATCTGCTGTGCAGACACATCACCTGTAAAATCTGGGCCTGCTGCACAAGCAGAGGTAAGAAACTGTCTCTGCCCCAAATATTTTAATCTGCAAGATTCAGGGAGGTGTGCAGTAGATGAGATGTGGAGGAAGAACCATGGGAACAATAATCACATCCTGTGAGTACACAGAGACTTAGATACATTAACAGGATATTTCAGTGACAGAGGCAGGCCGGTATATGTTGCCTGCTTGGCTGTTACTGGTTGCGTAGTTCAGACATAAAGCAATGGCAGCAAACCATCCCTAGCCTGAGGAAAGTCCCATCCAACTAAGGGAACAGACTTGAAAGGTCTGGGTGGCCCAGGACTTACAGAGAAACAGCACAAATCCAGAAGCATCACAGAAAATACTTTCACGGGGGTATTTTATCTGTGACAAATGACATACATGTATTACAGAGATGGCTATCATGGTCCTTGGCAAATTTAAGACATGGACAAATATGACTGGGAAAAAAAAAACATTTCTCAAGAAATGAGAACCATGGCATTGATCAATCAAAAGGTAAGGAGTTAGACAACTTATAAAATATTTCAATTTTATTTTAAGATTTGCTGCAAACCATCAGGTACACAAATTACACCCTTTTCATGAGGAATTTCTAGTATTTCATTCTGTTAATACTGATAGAGACCTTCTGTCCATTGAATGATACCCTATATTTCAATAGTGACATTCTTAGCATTTATTTCTTCTCGTGGAAAAGTGAGTATAAATAGAGCTAAATAGGATACTTTTCTTTGTAACATCAAGCTCCCGGCAGTTTCTGTTATTACTACTGAAACTCTGTGAGGCTGGTTGTTAAACTCCACTTGGGCAACTTAATGCAAGGCATTGCCCTGCAGTAGTTTTTAGTAACAGAGGAACACACCATGGTGCATTATGGCATCCACAGACACCGCTGTTACGATATGCGTGCAAATGGAAGTCCAAAGTTCAGAATTTCTAAAATGCCACCCATATGAAAGGCATTTAGAGATGGAAAATCAAGAGCCCACGAAAAAGTAGGTGGACGAACTGACGTTCTAGGGGAAAAAAGATTCATCGATTTGAAACAACTAAGGATAATAAAGCTTATTAATTGATCACAGATACTGAGCCACTTCTCACAGAGGTGTTACAATGGTATGAAGAAATTCATAAATACAAAGCTCTTGTCAGGCCTTATCCTGAATACTGTGCAGCACTTCTTGTCATCTGTACTCATGAAAGATAGATTGAAATAGAAATATTCCCAGGGCCATCCAAACAGAATAAGCAAGGGACTGAAGAGGCCTTCTTCAGAGGAGATGGAAAGATTTGGCTTTTTTAGGCTAAAGAAACAAAAACTGAGAAAAGAGATGATTGCTGTCCTCAGTAGGGCAAACAACAAAGGCGGGAACAAGGTCTTCTGAAGATAATGAACGATACTGGCAGAAGAGCAAAGAGATATAGACTGAAAGTTAATAACTTTGGGCTGGGAATCAGAAGAAAATTTCCAAGCATTGGAGAAGTGAAATTCTGGAACAATGCTGCAATAAGAGATAGCGGGTGGTGCAAAACAAACCTGTTTTTAAAACAGCAATTAATAAGATTAAGAACATAATTACCCAAAGCAGTTGCTGTGACAGCAGGGCTTCTTCCAGCTCTACCCTGATGGTGCAGGAGATGCGAGTGACCCTGTCTTGGATTCAAAAATCAACAGAAGGTGCAGCTAAAGGCAGGGAGTATGTTTCTGACTCAGAGACTTTGCAGAATTTATTAGGAAAACACCTCTTTCGGTCGTAGACGAAGGGAATAGTGGAGCAACTTGACAGCCAGCCATCGCAACTGAACAATCACTCAAAATATAACAATAAGCTGACATTTTCTTGAACTAGGTAAGAACTAGAAATAATTTAAAAACGGACAGATGTTAAAAGTAGCTATTTTTCAATGTGATTTTCAATTTGGGGTTTGTTGGGATTTTTTTAAACGTAAAAGTTTTTTGAGATGATCAATCAGAATATGAGCAAGTAAATACCATTTGCTTTAAAAAGCCACATTAATTTAGAAAAATTGATCCCCCAAAAAGCTGAATCCAAACCAGTTTCTCCAATAATGGATTGATAGTGACGTTCAAATCATCACCCCATATGTCAGGATTTTTCACATCCCTACCAGGCAGCAACCTTTACCCGATCAATCGGCAAGCTAATTCTCAGTTTGACATCTGTTGATGCTGCTCAAATCTGTAACATTCGTACATTTATTTGCAAACCTTACTTTGGTAATCAGCTTTTAAAACTGCAGTTGAAGCAAAAGCATGCTTTTCCCATGCATAAGGCAAGAGTGCCATCGTGTGGGAAACACTCTGCATCGTGCTTTACCATGGGTAAAGGAACTTGGAGCCTTTATTCATACGAACATCTCCTCAAGAAAAACAATGTAGTTTTGGTTGGGCTTGTTTTATTTTAAGTTGGTTCCCTCAGGTTAGCAAGTAAACTTTAATCTAACATGCCCACTAGCCTTTTCTGGGTGCTGTGGGAAGGTTTCGTGAGTTTTTTTGCTCTGCTCCAAGGCGTTCTCCTACAAGCCACAGCCCCAGGACCCTGTTTGGGTCCAGCCCAGGAGAGCCCAGGTCCTGTGTCCTGCCAGGGGGGTCCCACGAGCAGCGGGAGAGCCCCCATCCCGGCACACGTCCTGACTCCTCGGGTCTGCTGCATGTGTGCTACACATGCATCCACTCGCCAGGCCCATCGCAAGCCTACTTCTCCTATGGACAATTTTAGTCCATTTTACCTGATTTTGTGTCTTTTTACCACCTTTTTCCTTCAGTCTCTGCAGAGCCAAATCACAAACAGCACTTCACACACCAGAGAACGCTGGAAACCTTTTTTACATTTAAAATGTCATCCATCTTACAGAGGGAAAACAAGGAGGAGCTATCTGTTTCTTCCACGAACAGTGGAAGAAGTGTGCCAGGAACAAGGCAGTTTCTTCCAGCGAGCTCCATGTGCACAGCTCCCTGGCGAGGAGCAGAACCGATTAACCCAAATCGACTTCCTTTTACACAAAGCAGGTGTTAAACAGAAACCGGCTGCCTGCTTCAGAATCCAGGCTTTCCTGCAAGGCTTCTCCTCCTACCACCACGCTGGTCTGCCACAACTCCTCAAAGGCTTTAAGGGCTCTCCCACCAAAATTACAGCAAGATCTAAGCCCATCTGGGCTCTGGTCAACCTACTTCTTTGTAAGCAAATAAAGGCAAATGCCGGCACATTTTTTTCCCCTAGATCCCTGATAAAGGTGGTGAGTTCTGGAGTCATGAGATAGATATTAACCAGAAATAGGAATTAAGCGGGATCCTGTATTCACAGCAAGTTTCCTTTTACAGCTTGCAGTCAGTAGTTCAAGACTCACTCAAGAGAGAATCTCAGGCTGGTACTTCCACAGTGCTGTTGGCTCAACATTACCAGTGAAGCCAAGCACAGGAAAAACAGTAAAATATTGCCTTCATTTATCATTTGTGTGCTCTTGCCAGTATTACAGAATTTTATTTTATATTTTGTAATACTGGTATTATAAAACTTGTATGGAAATGTCACACCTATCCACTTCATCTCCCTGTAGGAGGCTCTAGACTATCACACATGCAGTGTAAGACAAACACATACTCCCAAGCTTAAAATTCCTGTGATGGCCAATCTATCACACTCGTCAGTAAATCGTGCCAATATAGTTACACCGGTATCAGCAAAAAAGACTACAAGCTTACAGAGAACAGATGCCACCTTGAGGTTTGGCATCAGATGTCCAATTGCAATAAAAGCTACTTAGATCTGGTTTAATTGGTTTAAGCTAAATTCAGAGCAGGTCAGGTGCAGTTAGAGCAAGATACAGAGAACTTAGGCTTGGTATTTTATTAATTCTCAAACAAAATAACCAATTTACAATGCAGTTTTATGGTACTAGTTTAAAACACATTGTTTATTCAGACTAATTGAAATGGACACGTTTAGATTGCAGTTAGTCATTCTCGAAATTCCAGTCTGGGTGAGAAAAATATATGGTACAACCTGGTACTAATCAAGTGAAAATAGTTAAATTCAAAATTTCATATGCATTTCATTGATTTAATAGCTGAAGAATTTGAAGACAGTACTTCATTTAAACCACAAGCTATTCAGGTTGAGCAACATATCATACACTGACTAGAAATTAAAATATTAATTGTATTTCTATATTAAAGGACAGGCACAGCTCCATCTGTGTCTGGTTTTCGTTGGGTAGATTCCTGCCCAAATTACAGCAGCATGTAGAAATAATTGAGCTTAATTTTCTGAGCAAAGGTGTGATGTTCAGGAAAGCCGAAGGCAGCAACAGTATATCTTGGGGAGTACTTTGCACTGAGGCAGGTAATATTTCACATGCCCCCAGGTAAGAAACTCACCTCAGCCCAAATAGAAATCACTCACTCGCTGTATGTAAAGTGCTTTTAAAGAATAAAGCATTCAATTTCTGATTGCCACATAAAACCATAAAGCTTGCATAAAATTTTAGGAAAATGAAGTTTGTCTACACAACATGCACTAAGTGCAGTCTTACAATGTGAACAAGTTACCCTGAAAGCAGTCATAAAGCTTAGCCCTAGGAAACAGAGAAAAAATCTGATAAAACAGCCCTTCAGATTTTCTGAATTTTACATTTGTGTCACAAGGGTTTCTGATAAATCTTTGTTGTAAGCTATTTAACATAACTGCATATTCCAATATTTTTTAAAAAATTGCGTAGTCATTTTATACAATAAACTTTGTGTGATTTTTCTAAACTGCAACATTTTGCCTTATTTTTTTCACTAACAAGGTATCTGAGAATCACACTTTACCAGAAGATAGAAAACACTTGAAAAATACTTGTCACTTTTTTAAAACTCCATTTATTTTTATTAAATGGGTCAGTGCAAACTGCATAAAAGTTCATAGGGCAAAATAGTTTCTGTGAAGAGGATGATGCTTTCAAATAATAAATGTTTTGTCTTGTCCATGCTGTTTTAGGGGTGCGTGTATCAATGCAGAAACAGGTTCTCACTCAGGGTCCTGAGTGCAGTTTACAAAGGTGTCATATCTGCTTATGATATATTGCTCTAATGTAAGAGGCTAAATGATGCCTACTGTGAAGAGGAGGAGTGAGCCGAGAGTGCTCTCTCCTTGTAACTTTTTTTTCTTTTAAAACAAAGAACTTTGAATGCAGGCCAAAGCCCTTTAGGAAAAAACAATTTCACAGGAAGCGACACTAACAGTGGTAAACAGCATCTTTACGCTGACATTTTACTTTCAAGCAGGTAGCCTTACTTTCAGAACTGTGTCTTTACGAGGCCTTCTCAAAGCCGTAAGAAAGTATAAATACACTATCCGCTTAATTTGCTAACAGTAAAGTGACACCAATTGCTCTATGTTTGTGCTCTGTCTACCCAGTGAAGGGTACAGCTTCCACATAAACAACACACCTGTATATCAGCAAGAGCCTGTGACAGATTTGCTTATATGTGTTGTTTTAAATTATCAAAAATCTGCATAAAATGAAATGTACATTTCTTCTGTATGCTTGCTTAGTATGCTGCATGACTAAAAGAAATACAATGCAGTCATGAAACTTAAAATATATTGAATCTGAATGCATGCTAATGTAGCTGCAAGCCATAACAAACAGATTTTCATTTCTTTAATACAAAGCTAGACTATATAATGCTACAGTAAGGAAATCGTTGTGTAGTTAACACCAATCAAAAATGGCTGACAAAGGTTACATAAAGCTGAAAGACAGTATTTAATTCTGATGGCACTTTTACAGGATGACTAACTTTTGCAGTACTTACGTGGAATAGAAAAGTAAAGTTAAAAGGCTCAAATCCTGGAGGATGTACAGGCATATGTTTTCCAGGGAGCATTTTGATAATTTTTGGCCTTCACATTTACTTTCTTCAGGCTGTATTTTAACTTTAACTTACTGCTCATCTCCAGAGCTTCCTACAAGACTGAATCAGTACCACAGCCTGCTGCCAGTGAGATTCGATGAGAAGAGGCTACCAACCTCTTTTTTCTCCTATCGAGATGCCGGGAGAATCTAAAGTAATTTCTGAATTTACACCTTCATATTGCAGTAGTAAATTTAGCTAAGCCATTTACCCTCAGTATTTGCTAGCTCTGCATGAGTCTCTATGTTATTGAGCTGCAAATATTGAACAAACACTGGTTTGTTCTGCTCTAAAACATTATGCAAAAAAAAAAAAAATCCTAGAAATGCTTTCTCACTACCAAAACAAGTCATTGGCTGTCACTGCATTAGTTTTCTACTTTGAGACTAACTAGTTCTCTAGGTACCTGCTAGGGGAGTAAGATGAGATGGTCCATCAAGTTCTGCAAATTTGTCTTTTATAGCAATTTTAGATCTTTGGGAATACTAGTCCCTAGTGGCACCACTGGTATGTGCAAGTCTGGAACTACCCTGCCTCTCATGCTTGTCAAGAAAAACATATGTCCTTGATGTAGTCTTAGTTTTCTCACAGGTTTTATGGAAACTTACTTCAACTCAAAATCATAACACAGATATGTCTTGGTAATTACATGCAGAAGACAAACACGCTACACAAAATTTTAAAAGCCTACATCTCCTTAACCCTTGGTAATCACAAGATTTTGAGAAATTCTTCATCCTTCTGCTCAAAACCATACTCAGGATATCTAATTGTTTTCTGTTGCCACACAAGTTGCAGGTGCTCAGTTTTTCCAGAAATGTGGTGGTTTTAGTCATGAGATCAGTGCAGAAATATGCAGGCTTACTTCAAGCTCAGATCCATATCTGTTACCAACAATCAGCCTCTTAGAAGAGGAAATCTGTTGCTTTGCATTTTCTCTCGTGACTTTCTTAGATAACAAGAAAGTACATCACATATGGGCACGTGCTTTTGTGTTCCCTTAGTTCATTCAGAGTGGCTCTGTGAATGATTCTCTACGTACAGGACCTCATTTTGTTCTCATTGGTTACTAATGAGCCTAATTCCAATGAAAATACATCTGTAGAACTAGAGTGACAGCTGATCCATGGCTCACGGGGACCAATGCTAAAGTCTGCCCAAAATCTAATCCTGTGCCAAAGAATCTTACGCCTAAGTCTTAAGCCACACAAGTAGAGAGAAAGAGCATGGATGTATAAATCTGCATAAGATCCTTGGAAAGGGATCACAAAACCTGCTCCTGTAACTTAATTTTAAGGACTAAATAGTTTCAGAACTAATAAAAATAGTTTTGCTCATGTTATTACAGTAGTACTAATGAAATGCCATGCTCCAAGGCATTGGCTGATTAAAAGAGGGGGCAGAAAGGAATTTTTCCTCCTTCTGATTGTTTATATTCCAGAATTATGGAGTTGAATTTGGGAAAAGCTCCACATATCTTTGAAGCATCAGGCATTGACTGGAATGAGACAGTGGAGTTGGTGAATTACATGTCAGTTCCATTAGGACAAATCCTATGTTTCTATGTAAAAGCACAAGGCCCCGAGCAGTCACTTGTGTGGCTTCTATTTAAGGCTGGCCCTGTAGATGAGGCCCTGTGAGGCACATCCTAAGATTATTGCTTTTTCTAAAATTGTAAATAAGCACCAATTAATGAAATTGTTTTTAAGTAGCAGCTAACCTCAACATTCTGCAAAATTCAACACTTAGGTTATATTAAACATCCTATCAAGACAAACTGCATCATTTAGTATCTGTGGAAAACATTCTAGATGCAATCATTCTATCTCCACCTGCAGGATTGCAGCATGGGTTCCTCAGTGCTCTGCAAATTTTGCCGAATGAGTACGATTCTGTATCGCATGCACCTTTTTTTTTAAATCAGAAGGGTTGAATTAGTTTCTAAAATTATAAACAAGCCTTCTATAACTTTAAAAACCACACTGAACACAAACTCCGTTTGGAGTGACAGTTGCCATTCACATTATTGCGAGATTTGAGGTATTCTTGAAAAGGCGCCAGTGAAGTTATTGGATCCAGATGTACTGAATCACAGGAACATGTTCAGTTAATGCCCTATTGAAGAAAAAGACATTTCAGTACAACTATTTTTTGTTAAATCTCTAAATTGGCTTGGCTTCAAGATAGGCACACATTCATACTGCTTGAAATCCCTCACTTCACCGTCACCACTTCGCTATCTCTTTGGATTTTGAAAGGCGCGGAGCCAGCAGGCGTGCAGCTAACTGTCTCTCGTGTAGGGAAGAGAACAAGTTTTACTCACTATAGAGCTGGTCACAATAAAGGCAACCAGCAGAGAGAACTCATGAACGTGGTCTGAGTAGAGTGAAAAACAAGCCCACCTCCAAGTCTGGAATTTCAGCCTTTTTCCACACACAGAAAAGAGAGGGGCTATCCACTTTAAAAATAAGGCTTGGACAAGTAGAGTAAAAGACCTTCACCGTGTTATTTTGTCTCTTTGCTCAGTCATTCAACAGCTCAGTGTGCAAGCCATGAGTCATTATGGAGTAATATGCCACTTACTTGGGCTTAGGCGCCTCAGTGGTGAAAGACTGCGGCTTCGAGACTGCAAGACAAACAGAAAAGGAAACTCAGGTGTGCTAAAGAACTGTACCCAAGAAATGCACTTGAGGACCCATAAACATTTAGCAAACTTGCACATGTGCATCAGTGCAGCTCCACTGCTACAAAGTCAAATTCAACAGATTTCTAGTTTTCTTTCACACCCTGCACACACACACAAAAAAGCGAGTCTTACCCAAAGCCTCTCACATTTTCAGTATTCACATTTTAAGTTGAGTGCACCTATGACAATTTAATAAGATGGGCTAACAATTAGAAAAATAGGCAATTTTTTTTTACAGAAATAATTAATAATGTTGTGTAACTATACCATGTGCAAAACTCTGCTAAGGTTTCACATATCTTATTAGTACCACCTCAGTTCTCCTCCTGCCAACCCCACACTGATTTTCTGCTCCTTTGAGGCATTAGAGGGTAAATTTAGATTACCAATTCCAGGAGGCAGGGACCATGGGCTGTATGTGTACTGCAAGACAAAACACTTACAGATGATGCAATTAGTTAGGGGGAGTAGAGTAGTTAGGGAGCAAGGGGGCAAGTAGGGGGAAAGGATACCAAGATCCACAGCTGATACTTCTGAGAATTTAACTACGATCTACTTCTCATGCAGTATATCCACTAATAATCACATACCAGGCAATAACTATGTGTTAGTTCAGCTTCACCTCATTCCAGACCCAGCAAAGGCATTTATTCCCAATGTTAAAATGCACAGGTGGCACATCAGCATTTTTAAAAGGCTGTCTGCATTCTGAGTTGAAATTACTTGATGCTGTTTATACTACAAGCATTCAGCTGGGGCTTACATGATGAGCTAGAAGAGGACTGGTGCTACGGCTGCGGCTTCTGCTCCTAGTCCTACTTCTGCGAGACCACTACAAGAGAAGAGTTTGACAAATCCCTTTTGAGAGAGGGCATTTAATAGAAGACAGACTCGGCAAGCAGACTTGCCATGCTGGAGACAAGGCTTGAGGACAGATAGTAAACAAAGTAAACTTTCTTCTTAGAAACAGGGTCTGCCAACAATCTTACCTCTGCATAATGAAGACATTAAAGCAAACGGAAATATTCATCCTAAAAACAGGATGAGGCACTAAAACCCAACAAATATTTTATATACACAACTCCAGGCGTATAGGGAACAATCCAGAATTTATATTTTTAAATTTTAAAACAGTGTTTAAATACAATGACTTCTCTTAACATGTTCCTTGACAAAAGTACATACCAGAGTTCCTCTTTTTGTGACTGCTTCTCCCTTCACAATTACTTCACCATTTTCCATCAGGGCAGGCCATACATGATAGGCCACCAAAACAGCCGTGAAATCAGAGTCAAAACTACGATGGTACCTGTTGAAACACAGAGTATGAGAAATGTCTGCATACAAGTGTTGAAAGATAAATATGGTGCTTCAAGACAATGCTGGTAAGAAGCAGAATACTAGCTGCAGCTCATAAACATCTTTCTTGACAATACTTTTGCATCACAAAAATAAGTATTCATTAAGTGAACCTGTAAAAGAAATGCATTTGTAAGACAGACTTAGCAGAATATACTGTTTACTCATAATGACAGACATTCTAATAAAGCCACTCACACTTCAGGTGGCCACTAGACCATATTCTTAAATAAAGCCCTACACAAGCCAGGATGTTTGGGTCCACTGACAGATTACATCTCCTGAGCAGCATTTTGGCAGGCATAGTCATTCCATCATCCTGAAATATCTTGCTAAAATAAGACCCCTATAGAGTATTTTTGTAATATCCTTTATTTAACTATGAAGTCACGTTCTAGTATCTTATGAGACATAAGAGGCAATATTGTTAGCAAGATCCTCAGATATTGATAATGAAATGGTGACTTTTTAGCTAAGAAAAACTATTTTGAAGGCCTGTATTAACTAACATACCAGATATACATTACCTCCCTAAGTCTGGTTTTGTGGAGTCAAATTCAAAACAAATACCAAATAACTGAAATAAAAAATAGCAATGTATCTATACATTAGTAATGTATACACAATAGCAATTTATATAAAACCAGATTGTAAAGAGAGGCATGAAGCTCCCTATCGAGAAAGGTATAGGGTACGATGAGGTTTGATCAGCCCTTTTACAGAATGGTATCACACACAACTAACAGAGCTATTTTAATTTCTACAAATTTTGCTCCATCTCTGTGTGCCACATATATATGCTATACATGTTAACACATATGTGTCACATTTATCTATACAGATGATTAGATGCATGTATATATGTCTCCTGCAACAGCACATATAAACACATTACAACTGTTTTTTGAAGGCCACACACATTGAGTAGGTAGAGAAAGCATCCCAAGACTATATCATAGCATTGCTGCCTTCTTAATGCAGCCAATAGCTTTGGGTAGCAAACGACTGCCCAGTGTTTGGACAGGATCATTAAGTAGGCACATATGACTTTGCACTCCCCTGTTGAAGGGCTATTTCTATCTTCTCTATTTCTCTCCTTGGCTTCTCAAGCTCTTCCTCATCTGAGTTCTATTCTATTTTAAATTACTGTTAGAAACTTCCTTATTGGTGTGGCTTTTCTTGCCTTTGAGAACAATTTTTTTGGAGCTATTAATCCCATTAGTTTTCTTGAAAGCATGGAAGTACCCTACAGTTCTGTCAGCTAACAAAGCAGCCAGCCCTGACCCTATGGAAAAAAGAAAAACTATGTTAAGATGTGCATTTTTTTAAAAAAAATTCTAATTTTTAAAAGGCATTTTTCTTTTTGCTCAGTTCTAAACCAGAAGAGATGGGAGTGTATTTAGACCCATATGTTGTACAGCAGCCACAGCCTGGAGGTCACCGCACACATGCTGATGATCGTTGTAGCAGACACAAACTGCCAGATCTCAGTAAATGTGACTTTTACAAAATGGGTCAGAAAGGAGGAACAAAGATACATACATTTTATAACTACTGGAGGCAAACTGAATATGGAAAGGAAACCTGGTAATAGTTTTCCTCTTAAAGGATAACTTAAATATGCTCTAGAGCCTGAAGTTTATCTACAAAATTGCTCTGTTGTTCATTAAAATGCTGTTAACACTGGCCTACCTCCTGGCATTTATACATCATTATAAACCTTAAAAACATACCAAGCTCACTACGGAGAAGAAGTATTTGCCCCAAAATAATGTTTAGTATAGATCTTAACCCTTTACATTAATTAAGAAAGAAGTAGACTATGCAACCTGTTGTATTTTCTTTTTTTTTTAATAGTAAGAATCTGACTGAAAATAAAGAGTTCTTACTTGGTCTCACTGAAAAGTTCTCTATCGGTACCAAAGGCAATATCAAGAGGAGGAATGAGTGTCTGCATTGAAAAAGCCACACGGCACAACTCTCGAATTAAAGTGCTGATCACAATGAAATCAATTTCTGGCGGGAAAGAAATCTTTGGGTTGATGTTCATGGAGCGAATTACTTCCTGAAAATAAACACAGTTGAGTAATTTATGTTCACTAACACTTTTATTCATGGACAAGTACAGAAATCCCTCCTAAATATGTGTCTCAGCTTTCTACATTTAAAAATCAGTATACAAAGCTCCCAGCAATGTTGTCTTAGACTATTCCAGAAAATATTAGCTTCAGAAAGAGTGTGCTGTTATTTGAGAAATAAAGTATGAGCTACATCATTGATATCAATCTTAGGAGGGAGATGCAGTTTTCCAGCAGAGCACAGAATTTAAGAAAAATATTAAATTTAGCTTGCATTTATTTGATTAAGACAGTTACACTGTGTCTTATCAAAAATATTATTCTGGCAGACAGAGACGTTCTAGTTACAGGGAAATCAAACAAATGATTACTGGGCCATGACATACTATTATTTTGGAAAATGAAGTGCTCCAAGACATACAATCCATGCGATAAACTTTTTTTCTTCTTTGAGTTACAGTGTATTTCTAGTTTACACACTCCAAATTTATTAGCTACTGAAATAGATCAAAACATCCCCTCCCCACTGCCCTTGACTTACATTGACACTGGCTTGAACGTCATACAGATCCTCATGGCGAACTATATAATCCAGGACACTGTCTTCGAGTGACTCAGGTGCCGAGTGACCTAGAGACAGAGTCTCTCTTACACGTATTTTGAGCTGCCTGTAGGCCATCTTTGCTGCATGAAAAGATTCCTGCAAACGTAAGGAACGTCTAGGTAAATCCAGGAGACAGATTAATTTTTTATCAATTATCTGAGAGGATGAACTTAACCCAGTATAATAATTGTAAGGAGGAATACAACATGCTGCTGTGGAAGTGGAAGTTCAAAATAGTACTCATCCGGGAGGACTGCTCTGATCAGATCAAGTGTGATTTATTTGCAGAAGCCAGGATTGAAAAGCTTCCCACCCAATCTTCTATTTTTATGTAGGACTCCATCACACCCCCGAGACCAATGGGATCACACTCAAAGTTATCAAGAGCAAAATTCAGCAATAGCATTTTATGTGCCACAGCCTAACATGTCAGACAGGAGCACCTCTTGTCTGTTGGGAAGAAAGGTTGAATTGGAGAGTATAAATTGAATGACAGCTGGGAGCAAAAAAAACTTCAGTAAGTCAAATGCGCTTGGGATCACACAAATTGAGACACACTACCTCACTGACACAGGTATGTACTACATCAATTTTATAGAAAAAAAGATTGAGTACAGAAAAATGAAAACAAATTTATTCAGAGCTCATTGTGAACGTGCAGTATCTAGGTAAACATGAGGTATCTAAGTAATTTGAAGGGACTCAATAAAACTAGAAAAGAACATAGCTGCAGGCAGGAGGGAAGCGTGATATAGAAAGATTTTTAGCTTTCTAAAATGTAGGATTCCCAAAAGAATTAATATAAATAAGGTAGTGTTATTTAGTACAGGAATTATCTACCTTTCAGAGCCATTCAGTCTTCTTATGCATCCCTTTTAGCACCTTTGCTGTAGATCACTGACCCTGTTCTAATGTTGGGACAGGACAGCCAGAAAAGGACACTATATTGCGAGTTCAATGTAAAGGTATGAGGAAAAGAAAGAAGAAAAACAAAAAGGAAGAAGAAGAGAATTTTTCTTTTCTGTACTTCACAGAAGTGCCAATTTACACACCACTTAAACCAAACCAGTCATAATATTTTGAAAACACTTCTGACCTGCAAAACAATATTTTTTTTTTCTTACCACAGCTGCAATGTATATTATCCTCTGCACCATCTCCATGTCACTGACATACGTCCTCAAAAGGGTCTCTGCATCCAAGCGTTCCTGAGCATAAATGTCACCAAAGCGAGCTACCAGGCAGGCACGACGTGAAGCATTTGTACGCCTGGCTTGGCCAGGTGAGCAGCTCCTCCGGGGAGGTGACTTGCTCTCCCTGTGCCTTGGGGAAGGAGAGCAGCTCCGTGCAAGCCTATGACAGACATGTAAAGAAGCATGAAGTCACTTCACCGTTCTCAGATGCTTTTGCCTAGTGCACAGAGTTTTGTGTCGGTTTAATTATTACCAGGGTAAGCTGAGATTTTGAGCCAACAAAATTAAAGAAGTAAAGCTGCAGCTGGTTAGTCTCATATGAAGGCATTTGTGTCAATAAATCTTATGGGCTAGAGCCTGAGCAATACAATCACAGTAAATCCTAAAGTGTGTACAGCCAACCACTTTGTTCTGGAGAAACACACTTCTAACTAGTAATGCTTTGAAGATTTTTTCCTCCTTCAGCACCACTGAAGAGTTGTGAAGTCAAACAAGTGAGAATATAGCAAGTTCTTCCCTGTAATGGTACAGTATTCAAAGAGGACTTATATGCAAAAAACCTAACCATCTCTTTTTACCCCATACAGTTGTTGTCAATGTATTTTATAAAGCTGTTCTCTCTGCTGTTTTGCCACAAATTAAAACATTTGGGCACTAGGAGAAATCAGTTAAAGAGTTTATGTTCCTTTGTTACAGAGTACAAAAACTTAGCTTTTGTTTATATTTCAATTTCAAATGAGGAGGGAATTTACGCTACCTAACACAAACAATTTCTCCGATTCAGGGACTTCTCTGAATAGCACCTCTACCTGCTCTGGAGAACAGACTTTTGGGCATCCAGAATTGAAATCTCATCCCGCAGTATTTGAATCTGCTGCTCATAATCATTCAGACGATCTAACTTCCTCAGGGCATCCTTCTCTTGGGCACGGGAATTCTTCAGACTTAACCACACAGAATAAATTCAGTCACAAGATGTCCTTCTACCAATGCAAACCATCTATCGATTAATCCTCATCATCAAACAAAAAGAGCAGAAAAAGAGGAGAAATATTGAGCAAGCTCCTTATGCTAAAATACAGGGAAATCAAGAGTTCAGAAAAGCATACTTCAAAGCATACTCTTAATTACACTTTAAAGCATAAAAGCATACTGTGGCAGGAGACTGTATATTTTATGTTGCAGGAGAGATCACTGGTTAACATTTGGTCTCCTTGCACTAGCTCAGATGTAGAGGTCTAAGAAAGAAACTGGTTTCTTTATTATATTTAAGATGTTAACTAAACCAGCTCAGTTTTCTTTCTTACAGTTTAAGACTCTAGGTATTTTCCTATATCAGGTCCTCAGGTTCTTTGCTGGACTATATTAGTCAGGTCAAAGTATATCACCAATGATGTTATTTAAGTAATATCAAAAGCTAATGATGCCTCTCCTGCTCTAAGAGAAGCAGTGTTTCTTAAACACTGGCAGACAACCAGTTAAGTATGCTTATCTTCTGCCCTTTACTCTTACTTAATGTTAGAGAGTATTCCAACATCTCTGCTTTCTCTCCTAACATAGATAGATATTACTGTTGGTTTCCTCCTTCCAAAAGAAAAAAAAAAAAAAAAAAAAAAAAAAAAGGAAAGGATGCTTTCTATTAATTTTGGAGGCATTCAGTCTGTCCTTCCTTTTCTTCACCGAAGGACCCTATTGAGATTTTTGAGGATCTGAACCAATGAAATCTGTAACACCTATCAATTGACAAGCTTCCTTTTTAAGGAGTAGGCTGACTGAGAGGACCACGGGTAATAAGGCCAGCACATCTGCTAAGAGGAAAGACTGTCCTTCTAACCTGGATAGGAAAAGCTGCAGATATTATTACAATTCCATGAGTATCTTTAGTCAGCTCCTTCAGCAAGGACTTCTAGCATAGTACTAGTAAAAGAGGGCCAAAGAATTTCAATATAAAAAACAACAGGGAAAGGAAAGTAGATTTTGGAAGATGAGTTCTAGAGGTAGAGATGGGGGGGGAAATCATTATGTAACAGACAAAAAAAAAAAAACCACCAAAAAGGGGAGCAGGAAAGAATCCTATATAATATAAAACAAACTAGTCAGTCTTCCCTTAAATTGACATGATAGACAATGTAGAATTAATAACTATCCAACAGAAAGTATAAATAAAAAGTAATCACTTCTGTAGTATTTTCTTTTTGTTATTTACCCCTATTCACACAGGCATCTTCCAGAAAGTTTTAAAACAATTTTTTATGGTCTTTATTTCATTGTTGTGAAATCCACAAAACTTCCATCTTTTTTTTTCATCATGACAGCAGATAATGATTACAAATGCAAATAGATGCTTAATTATAGGTCTGCCTTTATGGGAGGGGGGGAACCAAACCAAAACAACAAACAGGAGAGCACAAGACAGACTGAAACCAACAGAAACAAAACAAAACAACAAATAGGAGAGCACAAGACAGACTGAAACCAACAGAAGATCCACTGTATCTCATTAACAGAAATAACTGTATCTTTCATTCCTTGTCACAAGTCATATGGTAAGTCACAAACATAAGAAAAGCCACCACTGAAAATGGTGTGTGCATCTTTGTAAGAAAAGCTAAATACCAAAAGGAGAAAACCAACTTTAACACAGATACATTTATGAATTACCAATGCTGACTTTTGTAAGCCTTAAAACTAATCCTTTCCATGCTAATTAAACTTATGCAGTATTCAGCTTCCCCTGTTTTATTGTTCATTCACTCTACTGCTAAGTATTAATCTGAAATTAAGAGAGTATTATCATCTTTCTGTTAAAGAGATGCAGATGCTACAAAAAAGAACAAACAACGCAAAATACAGTTCTTAGAAAAATCAGAACAGTTTTTATAACCCACTTTTATCTTAATTCTATAACTCGTGTTTTAAACTCCACCATCCAACCATTTAAAAAGAAAATAGGCATCTTCAGACAGTTTTTCAGGAGAAAATACAACAGCATTGAGAATTTGTGTCAAGTGTTTGCTTAATCCTGTTTGGTAAGGAATCGCACTGCTACCCTCCAGTTTCAAACAAATCATTAACAATGAAGTCCCTCACAGTTCCCCCAGTTCTTGGGCTAAACCTGTCTCATTCAGTCAGATAACCTTGAAATTCAAAGCAAGAACAACTCTACCTATGTAATTTTTGGCCAGACGCCTGTTTAACCTATTTTTAATAGCCCCCTGCCACAGCAGCACTACAGGGTCTTGAGGTAACTGATACATGCTATTATATCGGCTGTTATTAATTACAACTGTGTTTATCAAAATTTCTTCCTGCATGTGTTGGGTTTGTGTGTGGTGGGGTTTTGGTAGAGGGGAGGGCCTACAGAGGTGGCCCCCTGTGAGAATCTTCTCAAAGCTCCCCTGGCTCCAAGTCAGACCCATCTCTGGCCAAGGCCGAGCCAATTAGCAACAGTGGCTGCGACTCTGTGATAACGTATTGAAGAAGGGGAACCTGGGAGGAGGGCTGGGAGTTGTGAAGGAAATACCTCTGCAAACACTGAGGTCAGCTGGAAGAAGGAGGCAGAGTGGGGAGATGCACCAGATCAGACACCCCCCTGAAGCCCATGGTGAGAGGGCAGGCTGTCCCCCTGCAGCCCATGGAGGTCCACGGTGGAGCAGATGCCCACCTGCAGCCCAGGGAGGATCCCACACCAGAGCAGGTGGCTGCACCCAAAGGAGGCCAGGGCTCGGTGGGAAGCCCATGCTGGGAGCAGTCTGTTTCTGGAAGGGCTGAAGGGCACAGAAGGGACCCATCTTGGAGAATTTCACAAAGAGCTGCAGCCCGTGGGAAGGACTCATGACAGAGAAAGTTCATGGAGGACTGACTCCCATGGGAGGGACTCCACAGTAAAGCAGGGGAAGAGTGTGAGGAGTCCTCCCCTTAAGGAGGAAGGAGCAGCAGAAAGAACGGGTGATTAACCGACTGCAACCCCCCTTCCCCAATCCCCTGCACCACTGGTGATGATGATGGAGAAATCAGGGATGAAGGTGGAGAAATCAGGAGCAAAACTGGGAAAAAAGTGCAAAAGAACTGCACCTGGGAAGAAAGGAGGGGTTGGGAAGGCATTTTTAAGATGTGATTGTATTTCTCAAAGTCCTACTCTGATTGGTAAATTGGTGGTGTTCAAATTAAATTGATGTTCTTTTTCTTCCCCTAACAAGTCTGTCTCTTGCCAGTGACCATAATTGGTGAGTCATCCCTCCCTGTCCTTGTCTTGATCCCCAAGCCTTTTGTTTTATTTCTCCTCCCCGTCCCTGAGGAAGGAGGAGCGAGTGAGTGGCTGCATGGTGCTCAGTTGACCACTGAGCTCAAACAACAATACTGCCAATCTGTAGAAGAGGTTCTCTGTACAGCAGATCAAGAAAGAAAAGTTCTCTTGACCTCATTTACTTCAAAGTGAGTCACCTGGTTTTCCTAAGTTTGATTAGACCTTGGCACAAGCTTAGGCATCCTAGTAGTAAGCTTCCATTTATAATGGTACCAATAAGATTTTGTTCAGTCTGCATATAATAGTATTTAGTACACTTTATTTTTTTGTCTTCCCCTACTAATTAAAAAAAAAATGTATTTTCCTTCATAATTCTGCAGCAAGTAGTTAAATTCTGCTATAATTCATATCTTGATATAACCAAAGCTTATACTGGCTATAGAATTTAATTGTATTGAGTCTAGACCACAGTTGCTCTATCAGCCCAGGACACCAAGATGTCTTGCAAAATATGCTTTGATTTAAGTATGTGAGATAGACAGGCTATAGACAAGAGGAATGAGATCATCAGCTATTACAAAAGTCTCAAAAATAAGTTTACAGACAAAGATGTGAAGGACACTCCTGGAAAACTGTTCCTTGTGTAAAAAAAAAAAAAAAAACCAACCCAAAACCAACCAACCAACAAACCAAAACCAAACAAACAAACAAAAAAGAAAAAAAAAAAAAACACAAACCAAACAAAAACGCCACGAACCAAACAAACCAAAACTACCCTAAGTGTCACAGATCAGTCCTGACCTCAGTTTCTCTACTTTTAGAAGGATTCTGGTTTTGACAGGCAGGCCAAGACTAGGAAAATCCTATTTTGCCCACCTGAAAGGGTTTCCAATTTTGAAAAGACTATTCATGGAACATGAAAAATAGCACCTTTACTTCAATCAAAATTTTAACACTTAGGCAGAAGATGCAAATGTAGAATGCCAAACAGAGAGCTAACATTAACCATAAGTATGTGGAGGCTACAGAATTCCTGAATTCACGGGAAGACGGGTGTCTTATTCTGTCAGTAGTATAAAATGGCAACATGAATCTCTGTTCAGTCTGCATTAAGACCTACACATGAGAATAGTAAAATGGTTTATCCCCTACTAATAATTTTAATTGGGAAGACAGCAGTCAGGTTGTATCTAAAAATCAAGGAGTTATACGAGTTACTTTTCACCCAACAAATCAGGAGAGCCCATTGTGGAATATGGGCTTAGACCTCAGGGAGCCATCCAAATAATTACAATCTAAAGTGATTAACAGTTGCTAGGAAAGTCCATGGATGAAATTTGACAACATTGTTCTAGAAGCAATGATAAACATCCAGAGATGAACAAGTGATTCAACTTGATACTGGAAGTAGAAACTAGTGGTCTGAGTTTTTTTTGTTTGCTTATCTTTATCAGGAAAAGCTCATCTTCTCAATTGTCTTACAAGGAAAGATGAACACATAGACAGTTATATCCTTTCCTACAGTCTAAATAGCAAAGTCAAGTTTCCTACATTTTTAAGAGCACCAATATTACTTAACTGAAAGACTGCAAGCGTTTATTTAAGAAGCATGACTCTATTTCTGTTGTTGAAATGTCAGTGGGCTATATTTCATAACAGTGAAGAATTATTACTGCTTCTAGAACTGCCTTTAGGCCAAGCCACAAAAGAAAATTAGTTTAAGGACCCCTGTATTGAAATGATAGGTCCCCCCAGTTGCACCTTTACTGATCCAGATTAACTTCCCAGATGTAGCCAACATACTTAGAAATTCAAAAAAACATTTTTAAACCAGAGATATCAACATTAGCAACAGTCATTACTTCTGTGCAGACGGGCAAAAAGATTTGGCAAAAATAGTCTAAAAGAAAAAGCCATACAAAGAACTTTATCTTAAGATAGACAAACCAAAGTGTCTTTTATTTAACACACACGCTACTTCCAAGAGCATCATAGCAAATTGCAAACAATGGTTTCCAGCTATACTCAGAATATGGTTCTCTCCTATTTAACTTCATCTACAAGATTCAAATGCTGTCAAGCTGCTAGTTTCAAAGTAAACCTTCCTCTATACTAGAGAAAAAAGGATAGAAGTTCAGCCATAAGGGTTCTTCTCACATGAATCTACTTATGCTAATTCTTTATAACACCAGGAAACAAAAGTACAGGATGTTAGGGAGCTAGACCTACTTTTTGCTATAGCATAGGACAGCATAGAATAAACTGAACCTGCTCAGGTAAATGTCAGACTGTGTCTCTGCACTCTGACTTTCTGCTGAAATACCCCAATATTCAATTTTTCTTATGCTGCTTATAGATGAACAATTTTGTCTTCTGCTGCCAAAAGACTAGTAGTTGACTTGGTCTTTGTGTCTTCAAGAGCCAGCTGGGTTTTTGCCAGACTGCAAGAAAAATTAATAACCTTCATGGTAAAGACAGAGATTCTACCAGGGAATTTAATATGACAAACTGACTGTTTAAGCAGACCAAGTCCATATCAATTTAACATAAAAACAATCCCAGTGGGCTTTGTGCAGACTATCAGCACACAAATAGCTTACAGAAAGTTTTATCTGACAATGCAATAATAGTATTATTTTGTTACGACCCATTATTTTTCATTAAGACTAAATTCCACTTTCTCCACTGATTTCAACAATTTACAGCATTCAGAATGACTTCACTGTCCATAGATGGGGTATCTTAGGACATGAATTCTTACTCCCATACCTGTCCCCTGCCTGCTAGTAACTACACTATCATGACTCTGTACTGCATCACCTTGAAAGGATCAGTTCTGAAACTTTCACACATGACTTCATCTCTGCTTGAATTACCTCTTCCCAACCCTCCACCTTCCAGACTTCTAGCTTTGCAAACGACAGGCAACAGCTCTCTGACCTCACTGCACAGAGAAATGTAACCCGCAACACTGTACAAAAGCTTCACCAATTTCCCACTTCATGCAGGAGCTAGCCCCAAATGACTTTCTTGCTGCAATCTGCCACACACACACGCTGATCTCTATTAGCAAACAGCTTTCCTTGTGCTTCTCACCTTGACCATCCAACACTTTTCTCCAGCTCATCAAATAATCTTTCTGTCTGCTCAGGAGCACAGAATGAAATGCTTCACCCCTAAACCAACCTTTATATATACACCAGAACCACAGAAGAGTTGAGGTTGGAAGGCACCTCTGAAGCCCATCTGGTTCAACCCCACTGCTCAAGCAGGGCCACCAATAGCCAGTTGCCCAGGACCATGCCCTGACAACTTATGAGTATCTCCAAGATTAGAGCCTTCACAGCCTCCCTGGGCAGCCTGTGCCAGTGCTCAGTCACCCTCACAATAAAATAGGGTTTCCTGATGTTCAGAGGGAACCTCCTGTGTTTCAGTTTGTGCCCACTGCCTCTGGTCCTGTCGCTGGGCAACACTGGAAATACCCTGTCTCTGCCATCTTTGCACCCTCCAGGTATACACATCAATAAGATCCACCAAACTCCCATAACTCTTCTCTATAGTTAGAAATATCAGCAGAAAATAACTCCTTTGTTTATTAAACCTTCCAGGCTTGAATTATTTTGCAAGACTATCAAATTCTGGAAAACAGTTGAAACATCAAGAAAAACTCTCTCTTTCAAACATTGTGGGGTCCTTCTCTGTCCCACCTTGTAACTTTTGATATTTAATATATACTGCGAGATTACAAGTTGTTGGGTTTTTTTTGCCCTCTTATCTTCTTTTCAGGGTGATGCACTGATCTAACTCAGAGTTGAATGAAAGGCTTTTTTGATAGTGAATAATTAGAATGCTTGCATTCATCCAAGATGAGACATAACAGATACTAGCAAGTAAAGGAAGAGCAACTGATATCTTCTCCCTTGCCTTCTGTAAGGCCCTTGACACAGTCCCACACAACATCCTTGCCTCTAAATTGAAGAGATATGGATCAAATGGATAGACTACTTGGTGGATAAGAAATTGGCTGGATGGTTGTGCCCAAAGAGTTGCAGTCAACATCCCAATGTCCAATGGAGATCAGTGACAAGTCGTGTCCCTTGGAGTCTGTACTGGGACTGGTATTGTTCAATATCTTTATTAATAACAATGACAGCAGAATCGAGTGCATCCTCAGCAAATTTGTGGAGGACACCAAGCTGAGTGGTGCAGCTGATATTCTCGAGGGAAGGGATGCCATCCAGAGGGACCTTGCCAGGCTTGAGAAGTGGGCCCATATGAATCTCATTAAATTCAACAAGGCCAAGTGCAACCTGATGCATGTGGGTCAGGGCAATCAGCAGTATCAATACAGACTGGGGGAAGAAACAGATTAAGAGCAGCCCTTGGAGTACTTGGAGATTGTGGTAAATTAAAAACCAGAAACGAGCTGGCAACATGCATTGCAGCCCCAAAAGCCCACCATATCCCGGATTGCATAAAAAGAAGCATGGCTAGCAGGTAAAGGGAGGTGATTCTGCCCCTCTGTTCCCTTTTCATGAGACTCCAACTGGACGACTGCATCCAGCTCTGGGGTCCCCAAGTACGACAGACATGGACCTGCTAGATCAGATCCAGAGGGCCACAAAAATGATCAGCGGGTTGGAACACCTCTCCTATAAAGAAAGGCTGAGACAGTTGGAATTGTTTATCATGGAGAATAAGATCTCAGTGAGACCTTACTGCAGCCTTCCACTAATTAAAGGGGGTTGATAAGGAAGATGGAGAGAGACTTAACTCTTCACCCCTGTCCCAGTGATAGGACAAGAAGTAATGGCTTTAAACTAAAAGAGAGAAGATTTAGGGGTATAAGAAAGAAATTCTTCACTGTAAGGGTAGTGAAACACTGGCACATGTTGCCCAGAGAAGCTGTGGCTGCCCCCTCCCTGGCAGGGTTCAAGGCCAGGCTGGACAGGGCTTTGAGCAACCTGGTCTGGTGGAAGGTGTCCCTGCCCGTGGCAGGGGGTTGGAACTAGATGATCTTTGATGGTCCCTCCCAACACAAACCATTCTGTGATTCTACAATTCTATGAAAGCAGGAGATATCTGCAAGATTAGATACAGGATGAATTATTCTGTTCAACCTCTTTCCTCTAATCTAGCTAATACAGTTTGCAGTTTTGAGAACCTGATATTCTTGGAATCACCTAGTAAGATCCTTAAATTATATCACTTATTGTACTGACCCAAGGACTGTGAACATTCATTGTTTTCATGGTAACAGGACGCATAAGAAAGTGTCTGTCTCTTGGAGCTACCTCCAAAATGGCCCTGGAACCGGCACTAACCACACAAATTCATTTCTGAAGCAATTAAGTAATTTTGAGACAACAGTACTCCAAAAATGTGTTTTATGCAACTGGACAAAAACCGGTCCTTCCTAGTCACTTATTTGAAAATATGTCCCTCTCTCTTCCTCCATCTTACCACAGTGGGTTTTGATCTTCACATACCGATTACATACCATAACTAATTATGACATGTTGTAGGTCCTTCCGTAAGTCTTGCACTATAACTACTCGATTTTTATAAGGGTTTGCTCAACATGCAACAGTTCATTGACTATCATTCCACTGGGATGGTCATACACTATGCAGAACCCTTTTATCTAGAATACTGGCATGTTTCCCAACTCCTCTGCCAGAAGAAAAACCTAACAAGTCAATTTATGAATGCAGATATGACTATCATCTGTACCCCACTTTGGACACACAACCCAGAGCCTAGATGCATTTTGAAGCTCTGATTTTTAGCTAGAAATGAAACATTTTACACATCTCCATCAGTGTTCAGATGTCAAGAGAAAAATATAGCTTGTCGAAAAACAAACAAACAAAAAAACCCCAAAAGAATCACAGTTAATTCCCCTACTCTTGTTCCACATGGTTGAGCTGTAGACGAGTTGAAGTCAGTTCTTCCTGCAGCTCTTGTAGTTGAATAGTCTGATTGCTGGCCAGCTCTCTCAGCTGCCTCTCTTTCCCAATTGAATCCTACAACAAAACATAAAATCATGCTCCTTGAATGCTCCACCTTACAGAATCCTTCAGCAGTGTAGTATAGCATTATTAGCAGATGTATTTCTAAACATTTCAGTAAAGAACGTTTCTAAAGTAACTGAAAAGTGATTGCATACCTTCTAGAGAGATAAGCAATACCTTCAAGGCACACAAAACAGACTCAATTGTATTAGGAAAAACATTGCTTCATTTACACCTCATGATATAGAATACAGAACGTCTGCATATGCAGATTTACTAACTGTATGCACATCATCTGAACAAAGTGTTCTCACAGATGTGTTGCGTGAGGTTTTTTTCTCACCAACTGAAGTAAAGGTTTTGAGAATTCATGTCCACAAAGTAACAGAAAAAGTTATTAGAACAGAGGAGGCAACTACTGTCATTCCAGAAAGCACAGTACTACACATGCAGCTCTGTCTTTAACAACCTATAGATTTGCCTGATACTACCGGAATTAAGTAAGTAGCTGTGCAGCAGGACTTTATTTGATTGTCAGATGCGATGACAAATCCATAACTGGTGTACCAGCTGTACTGTCATTTAGTAACATCTTTTTTTTTACATTTTGGGGTTTTTTGGCAGAACCCTACTCCTGCAATACACTAGAATCTGACTCTAAAGGGATATCACTTCTTATTTGTCCTTATTTTAATTGTGAAAGATTTTGACAGAAGAGGTGTAAAAGTGAAAAGTCGCAGAACATGGAGACATCACTGTCTAATTTCAAGATCTTCAATATTTTCCCCTAGTCTGTGTCAACCAATGCTCTTAGTTTCTTTCAAAGCATAAAGGCATAGCTGATCTGTCTTGCCTGACAAACACTACTAACAACCCCTTCAGTAAATATCAAATACATACTACCTCCAAACATCAAGTCAGGCACATGGTGGTATCATAACAGACATAAGCACTTTTTTTTCCCCCCTTCTGGAGACATTATAATGCTTAGATACTAAACAGAGGTATCATAATTCTTTACCTAGAAAAGGAAAGAGGTACAAGAACATAGCTTCTCTAACAAAACAAATTCCTCCGTATTGTCACTCACTGTTGTGAAACAGCATAAGCCCTAGAAGGCCAAAAGTAACTTTCATGAGCTCTTTTATTTCCCTTTCAAAGGAAACAAAAGATGAGACAAAGAAATATCATAGTTGTCTAATAGCACAGAGCAACTAAGGACATATTTCATTAACCAAATCAGGGACGGAGACTATTATTAACAGAAAGTCATTAAAGCTCTCCTGTAGTTATAAATTCACACTATTCTGTTCCCTTAAAATAAATTTACTACATACCTGCGTGAGAGAGAGACTGGTTTCAAAGAGCCTTCCTGATGTAGCACAGGAAAAACAAGTCCCTAGCCATGGCAGGAGACGAGTTTTTATTGTTTCCACACCTGCATAATGCCCACCTAAGAAAATACATACAGTAAGAAACTGTGAGAACACTTACAGAAAGAGGCAGAGCTTGAAAAGATGATGTGTGAAATGTGTTAGCTATAAGACAAGGCACTGAATTACCTTCTTGAGATGTTTCATTGAGGATTGTGAAGAGCTGCCCTTGAATCTCAGAGTTCAGTTCTATTATTTCACAGCATCGATTCAGATTCTGATCACAGGAATTAATCTGTAAATTAATGTGTATTAATACATCTTCCTGGGCTTTCTTACTTAAAATTATTCCTGTTATGATTATGAGGTTTTTTTTTCCTGTAATTACATCTTCACAACCTTTTCTGACTGCATCTGCTAGAATCTTTGATAGGTTCACATTGTTAATAGGTAAAAGAACAAGACATGAGGACTTCTATCACCCAGTTAATTCACTACTTGAGAAAACTTACTCCTTTCCCCATTCATAATGAAGTTGCAACCACAAATATCTTTAAAAGTAGAATCATAATAATTGTGAATCTGTGTTAGAATCTTTCAACACAGTTTTTAAAATAATAAGATAGGAGATTGTTGGACGAAAACACTTATTAGTCCAAAATCTGATTTTCCATATTACCTGCAATAATACATATAAGGCTATTATCTTGCTTTGTCAACATGAGGCCTCCATGCAATTTCAACAGATTTCTAAACTGAAACAGATACTACTGAAGAATAGGCAAAATCCAGCATTACGCCTAGGAAAAAACAGAACAGCAAAACTACACCACTTTCAGCAAATGCAATTCTGAAAAGGAGTTGATGGGGTTAATCTGTCCAGGATGCTACTGCACCTGCCAGGAAAACACATACTTTGTACCTGCTTCCTTAATCTTTATCCATCGCTTGTGTATCACCTTCAGCATAGATCACCTTCTAGGTCTTCAGGCTTTAATTGACTCCATATAGTTTTTACAAGCTTCCAGAACAGGTAAAATTCCCACCCATGCCCCTGTCAGCTTGCATTTTGATTGCTGCAACATGCTTTCCTCTGGCCTCAAGGAGCACAGTCTCACCCTCTTAACCTCCACCAGAACACCAGTGCAAAGTGCATTTTTCCAGCTTGTTACACTGACATAACATCCATGGTACTTCCATCTGCCAGCCCCTCCTTTTTCTGCAATGGCAGCCTGAAAGTGCTCCTCTTCATTTCCCAAGACCTCAGAGACTACTTGCACCACACTTATGGAGAGCTCAGCTCCCGCTGTTGCTCAGCCCTCCCGAGGTCTGAGCATTTGCAAGATTTTAAAATACATGCCTCTGTTCTTCCTCCTCCAGTGTCCTGCACTCTGTGGTAGCTTTACCAGCTACCCACAAACTCTTCCTTAAAACCATCCTTTGCCATGAATCCTGCAGTGTGTTACACTGGCTAGTACCATGCTGTAACTCCTACATACTAGAAAGTAAAAAAAAAAAAAAGATTTCCCTTAAAAAGGCTGCATCTCTGCTCAGCACCTTTTCTCACCAACCACAGCACACGGTAAATAGTTACAGGCTCATCACTAAATCAACTATCAGTATGCTGAAGCTAATGAACCTGGAGACACAGGAGGGAGAACTCTGTCAGGATTTTCCACTAGGAAAAGTCATCATTTTCAAGTCTCAGGTCTCTTCATCTCATCTTTCTCTAATTTTACACCTTCACTACTGCTTCCACTGTTTTGCCTCCTTAATCTTCTGTTACCCCTTCATGCCTCAATGCATCCACGTTACATCCATCTGCAGCCTTCTCACCCATACCCGAAACTCTTTCCTCACACCTGCTTCCCCCGCTTCCAAAGCCCTTCTGCAGCCGTGCTGTCTTGCAGCAGCCTCCCAGCTCCAACAGGTTTCTCACCCGGGAGAGCTGAGAAGCTGGATAACCCCCTTCTCACTTTCAACGTCCTTTTTCCTCACGTATTCTTGACTGTTCCCAGGCCACAGTCAATTCCTTCTGAGCACACGCTCACCCACGATCCTTCCATCTGCTGGTCTTTTACCACAAAACTCTTCTCTGAGCCAGACTCAATCATTACAGCTCGAACATCACTTTTAACCTCCAGTCCCTGCTGTCAGGGAGCCTTGTCAGTGAGCAAAAAGGCAACAGCTGAAGTTGCGAGTGCTACAGGTGTCAAAGCTGCGGTAACCGGGTCAGCGTCCCAAACCGGCCTCTTGAACCCCCACGGCCGGCTGCAGGTTTCGGTCGCACCGGGCTGAGGGCACACCCGCAGGGAGGAGGGGGGGGAGCGGGCGGCCGCCGCTCCGCGTCCCGCCGTCACCGCGGAGACCGCCGCCCGGCCCGGGCACCGCGGCAACGGGGCTGCTGCCGGCGGCCTCCCGCCCCGGTGGGCCCGCGAGGCGAGGCGAGGCGAGGCGAGGCGAGGCGGGCCGCCCTCCGCGCAGCACACGCACCCCCGCAACCCGCCTCAAGCAGACGCGGATCCCCTCCGCCGCGGCCCACCTCGTAGTCCCGGTACCAGCTCTCCAGCTTCTCCTGCAGCACCCGGCCGCTCTCCGCGCTGACCAGCCTCCTCAAGCCGTCAGCCATGGCCGGCTGTCAACTCGCTCCCGGGGTGGGGATGGGCCGCGGTGGTTCCCCCCTCGCCCCCCAAATCCGGGAGCCTCCTGCGGGCGGGCGGAGCTGGTACCGCCGGCCCGGACCCGCTGCTCTAGGCGGCGGCGGCGCCGCGTTCGCGCCGCCTTTATAGTCCCGATTGTAGCGTGGGCCGGGCCCGGCGCGGCGGCGGGTGCCACGGCGACGCGGGCAGCGCGCGCCTCCGTTGTGGTAACGCGGCCGCGGGAGGCGGCGGGTGGGGGGGGGGGGGGGCAGGACACGCCCCCGGCCGCCAGGTGGCGCCGCCGGGACCCGCGCTGCCGATAGAGCGCCTGGCTCGCGCCTCACCGCCTCCCTCCCCCGCGCCGCCAGGGGGCGCCCGAGGCCCCCTCCGCAGCGGCGGCGGCGGCGGAGGAGCAGGAAGATGGCGGCGGCCGCCTCCGAGCAGGTCTGTCCCCGCCGAGGCGCAGGCACGGGGGAGGCGGCGGGGCCTCCCCCGCCGGGGCGAGGGTGGGGAGCGAGGCTTGGCCCGCCGACCGAGGCGGCGCTGCGTGTGGAGGTGGGGGGGGGGGGGGGGTGCGCTCGGGCGGGGGCGCCATTTTCGCGGCCGGTTGCCGAGGCTGGTTCGGTGCCAGAGCTCTCCGGCGCGGCGGGTGTGAGGGGCCGCCCCGGTTCCCCTGGCTCCCCGCCGCCTGCACAAACCGGGGAAGGTAGAAATACCGCTCGGAGGGCGTTTCCGAGCCGTGCCCGGCGCTGTCCGGGGAGGACGGCCGTTGCCTTGCGGGGCAGAGGCAGCCCGCTGTCGGGGCGGGACGCGTGACAGCCCGGGGTTCCGCCGCTCAGCCCGCAGACATGGAATATCTGACAAAGAAAAATACTTTCTGTCTTCGAAATAAAGTGCTTTGGCGTTTCCGCACAGCGGTGTAACTGTCTTGCGTAAATAGGCGCTTGCTGCTAATTAGCGACGCGGAGAGCGGCTGGTGGGTGCAGTTGGTATTTATAGGGCTGCGCTGTCGGTCGTCTCCTTAGGCTGGCACAAGTATGGTAGCTCGGCGGCAGGGTATAAATAAGACTGAAGCTCAGATTCGGGCTCAGCATCCGATGTCTCACACGGGAGCGGGAGCTAAATCTGACAGGAGGGGTGCCACTGGCACCCGGTCGGAGGGGAGGGACGGGGACTGTCAGCTTCGCGCAAGCCGGAGGGGAAACAACTGAGCTGCTCGAGGGCTCGTGTTTCAGGAGCTCCTGCATCTCCACGGGACTTTTAGTCGGAGTGGGTCTGTGTACGTGCATCTGTGCCGGTGGCGGCAGTGGGTAGGAAGCCCCTGATTCCCGAGGGGTCCTGTGCCAGCCTTGTCTCTGGCGCCGCAGGAAGCATGCCCTAGTTCTGCACGGATGTGCCAGCAACCACCATTTCAGCCATGTTCTCCCAGTCCTGGTGCTGTCTTCCGTTGTGCTGCCTTACCAGGTGAAAAAAACTACATTGGAGTTTTATCTCGCTGTCACATCCTTTCAAGAACACACTATGCTCAGGACACGATACTTACTGTCCTGTTGTACAAGATTTGCATTTCCTTTTCCCCAGAGCACAGACCTCTCCGTTGCCCTCCCTAGCCACTTCCAAGTTTGTGCAAGGTTAGAGTGGCTTCCAGAACATCATCAAGGAAGCCCTCCATAAAACTGTTCAGGTCGAGCACCTTCCTCAACACCATTCCCTTGTTCTTCAGCAACAGAAGAAAACAAGACCTTTTTGCCCATAACATCAGTATAGACACATGCAAGTGTGGTAATCCTAAAGTGCATCTTCAGGATTCATTTCAGATGAATAAACTTAATCCCATCAAAAAGATCAAGCCCTTTCTTTGAAGAATTGAACCCTCAAATAGCAACCAGCTCCATTAAAGGGAGGTGGAACAAAATTTTGGACAGTTACAAAAATACATCAAAGGTTTATTTTCCCTGTGAATATCTACAAGAGTTTCCTCTGTGTGTTAATTTGTTACACTGATGGGATATCCCTTGCAATCTATTAACTTCAAAAGATTAAAGGGAGGCTGGTCAAGTTCCCTGTGCCAAGTCTGAAGCGTTACAGTATTTTTCTTAATGCAGCATGCAAGCTATAGAAGTTGAATACAAACCCTGTGCTGTCAAACTAACTTAAAAACTGGTATCCACCACACCCCTTTTGGATGGACTCGTTGAGAGTCTATCTGGTGTTACCATGGAGGAAACTAAAATCCTGCGTGTTGGTAAATGACCTGGAGGATTATGTCCTGTATCATCCCCAAGAGGTAAAAACTTGATGGAGTTCTTTACAGTTGGTTTTGTTTTGGTTTAGTTTTTTTTTTGTGTGTGTTTTTTGTGGGTTTTGTTTGTTTGTTTGTTTGTTTTACTGTAATGATGCCATTAATAATTCCGATCTACCATGATAAAAATTAGCTATAAAAACATATTGTCTGAAAATATCTGGATTTTAATTTTAGTCATTGTTTTAGCAGAGATTGCAGTGATTATAAATGTGTACTCTAAGTACAGACTGAAATAGAATATTGAACATAATACTTAATGTATTCCACTAGTCAATTAAAATCTGTAACTTTTGCATACATATATGTGTGTCATTTTGGTGGATTTACAGGCCTTATAACAGCTAATCCATGCTTTGTATTATAGCAAAGTTCTAATGGCCCAGTGAAGAAGTCTATGCGAGAGAAGGCTGTGGAGCGCAGGAACGTTAATAAGGAGCACAACAGTAACTTTAAAGCAGGATACATTCCAATTGATGAAGACCGTCTCCATAAGACAGGCTTACGTGGCAGGAAAGGCAACTTGGCCATCTGTGTGATTGTTCTTCTTTTTATTTTGGCTGTCATCAATCTGATTGTGAGTATAATACTTAGGCTGTGAGCAACATTAGGGTGTATTTCATTTTGATGGTTTATTAGAGAAATAAAACTTACTCCAGTATGGCTGAGAAGGACTTAAAATGTACTGAAGGAGATTTCTCATTTTTCTCCTTTCTTTTCTGCTCTTTTGTATTCTGAGCTAGATTAGATGGAAGAATCTTATAAATTCAGTCATGATTATTTCAGTTATCATGGTCCCAGCAAGGGACCTGTCATTTATGCAACGCAGAATTAGGAACCTTGAAAGTGTCTCTTCATTCCCAAAATTCAGTAACAGCAAATGTGCAAAGTGTTATTTGTGCAGTACAAATGCATTCAGGATAAACTGTTATGCCAGGAACATTTTATATATAATAACAGAGCTGCATGTGAGCATTCAGAATTAATCAGACACTGCACTTTAAACCTTCACTGTTGTAACTACCTCTTTATTGCTTCATCAATGAGAAGTTATTAATTCTTTTTCATAATTGGGCATCTACCTGTGAAGGTGCTTTCTTGTAGTTCAAGGGTAAGCATATCCTGAGCTGAGCTACTTTGTTCAGTAAATTTGTTTAGCTAATGTTCCCTTAAACAGGAAAAAGGTTTCATTATGGACGTGATTTGATTTCAAATAGACATATATATATATATTATATATACACAAATTACTTTAGTTACAATTTCAGATGAGTCTAAAAATCATGTAGAATTCTTTTCATAATTAAATGTGTTCTGATGTTTCTAGTAGGAATTAAGCAGACTAAAGTAAATTCACACCTAAAGCTCACTTAAATACAAGCATTAATAATTATTCTAATTAAAACATCTAGATAATACAGTACTTGTAGGAAGATTCACATGATCAAAGTAATCTTGGAAAATGTACGTGTCTCTTTGTTTCAGATTACACTAGTTATCTGGGCAGTGATTCGAATCGGTCCCAATGGTTGTGACAGTATGGAGTTCCACGAGAGTGGCTTGTTGCGGTTTAAGCAAGTTTCTGACATGGGCGTTATACATCCATTATATAAAAGCACTGTAGGAGGCAGACGTAATGAAGATTTGGTGATCACTGGAAATAATCAGCCTGTAAGTTATATTGTGAATTGAAAGTATGTGAGCAACACTGTGGAATTACACTCACATTATTAATAAACACTATATTCGAAACATCATTAATGTCATGACTTTGTTTCTGAAGATTGTATTTCAGCAAGGAACAACCAAGCTTAGTGTGGAAAAAGACAAAACATCAATCACCAGTGATATTGGCATGGAATTTGTTGACCCACGGACACAAAATACCTTGTTCAGCACAGACTATGAAACTCACGAGTTTCATTTGCCAAATGGAGTTAAAATCTTGAATGTACAGAAGGCCTCTACAGAGAGGGTATGTCTCTCTTAACTACCACTTACTTTTTGTAAAAGCTCCTTACAGAATTGCCAGAGTTGTAGAATAAGAAAAAAAAAGTTTACTAATCTGATCTTTTAAGCATATTTAGAAATTTGACTGAATGTAGCTAAAAATGCTGCTCTGAAAATGTGAAGCACCCTAAAAATTAGAACAGAAATGAAAACTGACATCATTAAATGACTGTAATATCCAGAATACCGTGCCAACTAGGCCTGTGTGTCTTTTTATTAAGCATTTATCCACTTGTGCATAGATAATGGTTTCAGAAATAAAATTCCTATTAAAATCTTCTCTGTTTCTAGGAAGATTTTACAAAAATAATTACCAGAACTTCAGGTATCATTTTCCTTCTATTGGAGATAAGTGTTAATACAATCAGGATTTCAGAAGTCTGAGTAAAAGTGTAGAGAACAATCACAGCATTATAGGAATTGTGTCAGTTCGTGGCTTCTAGGTTAAAGAAGTTCTTAGTTTGGTTTCTACATCAAAGATGCTTTATTGATAAGAAAAGTAAAAAACCTAAATGTACATTTAAAATGTTGATCTTAATGTCAGATTAAAATTTCTTTGTTGAGTATCATCGCTCATAATAAAGGCTTTACAGGTACAGTGCACAGTTCTTTGGTATAACATTAGTAGAGTTGTATCAGTAGTTTTATAGTGAGCCTTAGGAAGCATTGAGCAACCCTGTTAAGGACAAAGTGAATTTAGTTTGCTGTTCTTCGTGCTTCCTCTGCAAGGCTAACAATTAAATAGTATGTTCAAACAAACAAACAAACCCCCAAAATCTATAAATAAATAGGAGGAACAGATTAAATGAAAACAGAGGAGTAAGTTTACATGATCAGTCCTAATAAGAAACCTGTATTTGTTATGAGTGTTAACTGTGTATCCCATGAAACTGTCATATGAATTATTATTTTTATCACAAAAATAATCTGTCTTATATACCTTCCTTGTTTTTAAATGTGAATATGGAAAATAACAAATGGGCAGAAGTTTCACAGGTAAAATGGCAGAAGGGCAAATAGTGTATTGAAGTTTTTTATTAAATTGCATACTAATATTTTTAAGGTAATTAGTTACTCAGACAAACCCAAGCGGCACATTTTCATTGATCTGTAATGCATTTTTTTTTTGTTTATGTTCTTAGATTACCAGCAATGCAACCAGTGATCTAAACATAAAGGTCGATGGCCGTGCTATTGTCCGTGGCAATGAAGGTGTTTTCATCACAGGCAAGACCATTGAGTTTCGAATGGGGGGTAACATGGAACTTAAAGCAGTAAGTATTTCAAATCAGCATTTTTTGAACAGCTTAGTTTCAAATTCAAGCTGATAACTGATACAGCTTTATATGGTTTCAAATTTTATATAAAGTAGTCATGCATAAAAGTTTAGTTGCAGTTAGTGCATTTAGCAGGATTTAAAAATATGGTTTATTACTTTGCTGTTAATTAGTGGTTCGATAGTTTTCAAGTAACAATGATTTACTACCCACAATGCAATTAAAGCTAAGCTATTGGCCTCTGCACTGAAACGAATACCAAAGGGAATTCATCTTCTCTTCTGGAGGCTTCACTGGGGCCAGCAAGCTTTGACAGAGGAGCAGAGCATACAGTTAGGAGCACCACCTCCTGTGCTGCTGCAGTAAGGCTCCCTAGCATTCATTTAAGATTTCTGGAGATTTGTTAAGATTGCAGGGCATGTGGAATGATGGAAAAGGTTAAAGGAGGATAAAAAAAACAGAGATAGGTGCCCTTTTATTTCACGCATGAATGAATGTCATGTATGAATTCAAACACTGATTCCCATTTCATGTCCATATTTTTAGATTTACTGCATTTGCTAATAGGTCTGTACAGTGAAAAGCCACACTACTGCTATCTCTCTCAATATCGATCTACCACTGGAAAAATACATTACTGACTGTTACTGAGCAATACACGAGCATTATTCACAAATTGAATTAAAAAATGAAACCTTGTCATATGTACTTTCTTTATTCTGTCAATTTCTACAGCCATCCTAAAGATGTAGTTTATTTGTTAAACCAGCTTGTCCTTTTCAAAACCAGCCTGTCTTGTTTAAATTAGAAGTTGTACCATTTTTTCTCTCTCTTAAAAGGAAAACAGCATTATCCTGAATGGAACTGTGATGGTCAGCCCATCGCGACTGCCAAGTTCTTCTTATGGGGAACAGTTTAATAACGGCAACTGGCTGCGTTTCAAGCTCTGTATGTGTGCAGATGGGACACTGTTCAAGGTTCAGGTGACAGGTTATAACATGGGTTGTCAGACTTCTGTCAATCCGTGCGGAGCCACGCACTAAAACGCAAACCACTACCAGGAGAGTTCTCTTTTGTGTTTACATATATTTGTATGGAGTAATTGCATGCTTTAAAGGATTTCTGTTTTTACAGCAGTTTATACTAACATTTACTACATAATATTTTTAAGCAGAGGCTGTTACACTCAGCAGTATTATGTCATCATCCTGTTAGCTGGAATAGTGGCACTGATTTAGGAAGCTTTCAGGCTACGTGCATACTGAAGCACCTTCTGAATTGGGATTGGTAGAATATATTTAAAGAGCGTGATCTCAGCAACCACCGTGACTGCCTTCAGTGCCTTCAGAGGAGGTTTTTGTCCTACATCCCAAGACCTTGAGGGCTGCTGAGAACACAACTGCAATGTGAAGTACTTTGACAGAAATGTCGATTTGATGTTGGAAGTGGATTTGCCTAGGATGGCTGAAGTGACAGATTTTTGTCTTCTCTTCATTTTTTGCCAAAGGCTGATATAATGATTTCCCCCAAAATTACGTGGTTTACCATATGTGGAGAAGGAGAGAGGTAATGGCAGATTAATTTTTAAATATTGCATTAATTGTCTATATTTTCATGTAGTTAAGACCAAATAATACTAGCATAAATAATATTTGCAAAGTAATATTGAGTGCGGAAATGTAACATCAATTTTGAAATAGTCTTGCGAATATTGGAGTGTTACTTGAGCTCCCATTCTATCTGTGCAATTTAGGCATTCTACAGTTGTTTAATTTATGTAAAGTATTTATAAAACGTGTTTATATTCAAAGTACATTTTTAAAGATGTACTTATAGCCTGCTCACTACCCAAAAAAAGGATTTTCCTGGGTGCTTTAATGTGAACAATATATGAATCTATTATTCAACAAATAATAATCTAAAGCATGACCGTTACAGCAGTGTCTGAGATCAGATCTCTTTTTCCCCACAAATGTCAGTACTGATGCATTACTGAGAAACTCAGAATTAACTTCTGAAGTTAAACTGCAGGTCTGTAATTCTAAAGGTGATGGTATTGGATTCTGTAACAGCAGAGTAAATACATGTGTATGTGAATTTGTCAACAGTGAAACTGTGTCTATGGTGAACTGGGGCTGTATAGAAACTGTTACAGCCTTGTAACTGCTTTTGCAGAGGTAAGGTGTTATGTACTTCAAATAGACCAGCTCACTGTAAGATTCCTTCTTTCCCCACCCCATGTAGTTCTTCAGTTTAAAATAGTTTAGTTTTGTAGTAGCATCAAGTCATCTTAATAATGGAGGCCACAAAGGTGACTTTGCAAGTACCTTTTTGACAAGTTTTTCTAGGTAAGCACATACTTCTCTTCCTAAAAGTTGTGCAAATGTTACACATTAACTCCAGAACTGGTCATTTGTTACGGGGAGATAAACTATCTACCCTTGGTTTATAGCTCTCAAAGTACGTAGAATTCCACAAAATAAAAATCAGCTCCTGCTGCAGCAAGAATTTCGTATCCAAGGTCCCAATTCCTGTATTTACTAGAAGTCAGTAAGTCCTCATGCAGAGTGCGTAGGGCTGGAAGTGGTTTCTAGCAGGGGATCCTCAGGGCAGGCATTACACCACACAAGAGGTCAGTGGGGTCACGCTTCCCTCACTGCTCGAAGGCAGAGCCAGATTTCGCTGCTCAGTAGTTGTTGGGATTTTGGGGGCAGACAGCAGTGGAGCTGTTCTAACAGAATCAACAGAATAAAATGTAGCAAAAGCCACTGAATTGCTCACAGTAAAGGTTATGGGAAAGTACTAACATTTGCATACTGCCTTCATGAACTTCAGTTTTACTAGAGCTAATATTTATTAACCACTTTAACACACATTTTGCTGAAAACACACAGACGTGCTTGCTACTAAGTAGTGCCTCAATTAGTACCTCTTACAGTTAAGAGGAGGAAATTAACATTTTCAGAATTTTCACTCTCATGATAATGGAAGTTTGTTACTTTATTTTTGTATATGTAAAGATATATATATATTTACACACATAAAAATATAAGCAGCAGTATCCTCAAAGCTGAAAATGATCTTGAAAATGACAGATACTGCCTCAGTTGAATAGATTACACACACAAAGAGCATATTAAAGCTCTTCTCTAGTTAATACTGACATGCCTATGTGCTAGTATTGAATTCTTGTAATTATCAAGAGTTCTTTTTTAAATACTGTATGCAACATAGCTGAGAGATTTGTCACAAAGGTACTCTGAAATCATGGTCTGGAGAATCGTTTTTGAATTGTAGATTTTTTGTCAAAACATAGCAAAGCTGATCATACAAATACCAAATGGAATAAATTATCAATTTGTTAGCCACTTTTTATGTATTCTTAATATCTTTTGTTGCCTTCACTACACAGTTTCAGAAATGTTGGCACCACATATGCCTCATGTTGTGCATTTATTTGCCGGTTATCTTCTAACCGCCTAAGGCACATTTTTCTACACATATTTTAAACATTGTGCAGCACATTATTTATTTCAATCCCACAGATGCACTTAAGATTCTGGGTGTTTCAAGTACATTCTACATGACTCTGTAAAATACCATACTGGGTGTGTTGAAACAACTTATGTGTGAAGAGTTCTCAGCATATGTAAAGGTTGTAAAGGTGGCGGCTGTTTCAATAGGTGAAAGACAGTTGAATTTCTAATCTTTGTTTTGAAATGAAACAATAAATTCGAAGATGCAGCTGTGGCTCAGAAGTATTATTTGTAAGAATATAGTTTCTCATTAAAAACACATTGTTGTGTTATTGATAGGGAAGCTAGTATTTTATTAACTATGAGTATGAAAATCATTTCACATCTATTAGTCATGGATAGTATCTGGTGGACTTTGCTCGGCAGTAATTGTGTACAGTACCTGAAGCAGAGTTCAAAAGTCTCCATCGTTGGTAGTTCACGAGTTCCTGAGGAGCTGTGTTTCTCAACCGAAGGGCTGGAAAAGAAAGAAAAGGTTCGGATTGTTTTTGGAGAGAGGTAGGGGGAGGGGGAAGGTTACCAGTTTATGAATGTTCTTTTTGAAACATACCTAAGACTCCAAAACTGAATGTTTAAGGCAGAATGTTGGTAATGCTTTGGGTATTTGTTCAGCATAGATTTTTTTTTAATCTCGAAGTATTTCCACTTTTCATTTAACTCTTGTTATACTGAACTTACGACAATTTTACATTTTACATATAGATACTATGGATAGCTTTCACTTGAGCGTCATAGTTGTGGTCCTTTACTTTAATATTCCTGGATCAGTGGGAATCAAGTCACAGTGGATTCTTCGTGATTCACATCACCATTCAGACTGCCGGTGGGATGGGAAGTTCTCACTGAATTGTTCTTTTACCGGAATATCTGCTATTCCAGAAGACATACCTCAAACAGCAATAACGGCTGATTTTAGTTACAATAATATTAAAACTTTTCTGTGCACTAATGGAAGAAATGAAGAATGGATGCTAAAACACCTGAATCTCAGTAACAACCTGATTTCTGAGCTCTCCTTAACTACCTGTAGAGATTTACCCATTTTAGAAACTCTCAACCTCAATGGAAATGCCATCCACACCCTCACACTGGACATACCTACACCAGCACATGGGTCTAAGAAGTACGGAAAAGTCGATCATCTCCTGCCTGCTCTGAAAGTATTGTTAGTTGAAAGAAATAAACTTAATACAGTTCCAAAAGGTAAGCATTTCCAAATCGTTAAGGACCTCTCTCCCAAGGGGTAAGTTGGTTTTGGATGTGATTCAGTACATCTTACTGAATTCAGACTGGGACTGTCTCTTTTAGATATACTTCAGGTGAGGGAAAGTTCCACCTGCTTGCAAATACAGAGACTGAAGCAAATGGGTTGTGTTGGATTAGGTTGGGGTTTTTTATATTCAGTCTTTGCAACTGTAATGCCTTAATGTCAGTCAAATATAACCAAATGTATCATCTGAGAGCCCAAGCAGTATTCTCCACTGTTGTATAGAAAGAGAAGTAAGGATCTTTGGAAAAACACCAGTGGCCACAGCTCAGTCATGAGCCTTAACATCAAGAAAACTACAGATAATTAATGTCATGCTACTCTTCAGAAGAAAGTCCCTACTCTTTTAAATAAAATTTGCTCCAATTTCAGTATTTAATTAAGAAAATATATTTTGTTCAGTCAAAACAAATTTGTTTCTGCCATTTGACACCCAACCCAAGTGACACCTTTTAGTAACAAGAAAGGGCTGTAAGGTTTTGATAGATTTTAGAAAGTGTTTGCTAGTCACTGAACTGTGCTAGGCATCGTAGCTTTTGTGACAGCCTCTCTCCTCAAACAGGTGATTCACATTGTTCAAACAGCGTTCAAATGAAGCAGAAGCTGCAGTACAAGCAACACTATCCTATAAATTGTTTGCTGAACTAATTGGTCTCTGATAACATCATCACATTAATGAACTCTAGACTTTTAAAATACCTGGGGGGCAGGAGGACACAAACCAAAACCCACTTATCTCACAGTCAGACAAAGGAAATAATAGTTCTATTTTTCTCTGGTTTTGATACTTTTGATTACTAAATAATTCTCTGGCATGCAGGAAAGCATTTTGCTTAATTATTTTGTAGTATCTGTAAGGTTCCCATATAGACAGTATAGAAAAGCTTACATTACAAAATATATTGATGCGGATTTTATTTGTTTTGACAGATAGAACTACACATTGTAGGATGCCTCAGTGGGTCAGACAGATCGACCCTTTTCTATAAGAGACTCAATGTTTAGATGCTAAAAGTCAAATTGCTGTGCATCATACCACCATACTTCAAGTTATACTTAAATCCCATATTCATTTAAACACATGTTCTGAAGTTTATTTTCCTCCTCCAAAACACTTCACTAACATTCTAGCCTTTAAGCGCAGGCAAGAAGACACAAACCGAAGCACTCAAGCAGAGGGCACTGGCCACAGAGAAAACCTTCTCGCAACCGCTCCCCCATGTCAGGCTGCTGCCCACTGCTGACAGACCAGTGTATATTTTTGGCACAAATTTAGCCTCAGGGAAACATCCAAACTACAATTCTTCATGCAGGTGCAAGGAAGAATTTATGAACTGCCAGCGTTTCTGAATGCCTTTCCTATCAGCTACTTCTAGTTTTACAGCAGGAATTAATCATTCCCTCTGCTTTTCACAATAAATCCAAAGATCAATTACTCAGCGATCGGAACGGCCAACTGGAATAAGAGATTCCCAGTAACACAGGTGACACGAAGGACAGCATTTTAAAAGAGAACTGGTAGCTACTCAACAACGCTGTATGATCAGAAATCACTTCAGAGTGATGTTCAGGGGTGGTGCCGAGGGTTCCAGTGCCTGCTTTCCCACTGGAACTTGCAGGCTGGAGCTTCGGGGGCTGCCTGCACAGCACCCAAGAAAAACGAAGTATCAACTCCAGCATCCAAAAGGGCTACTTACGCAAGACTGATGCTGTTGTAACTAGGATATGCTGAAGAATATACTGTAATGCTTGATAATTCACAGACAGACAGGCATAAGCAACACCATCTTTTTGTTTTCAGTCAGGTCTACATCCAATTAATATGGTTCAAATAATTCCACATATGAAAAACTCCCATAAACTTGCAGATAGCAATGAATAGGAGATAGTGTATCACCTTTTTATCTCCATCTTTTGTTTACAAATAACATTCGAAATTTATAAACTGAGTATAGTCTCCCCTTTTCACACTTCTCCTTTCCTACCTTCAGTTGTCCAGAGAAGTGTGCTCAAAGTACAGAGATCACAGTTGGAATAATTTTGATAGCACAAAGGAATGTTACTGCTTTTATGGAGATGTAAATTTTTAAAACATACACTGATTGTGAATGTACTAATGTGCCTGCTGTTGATGGCACATGACTTTTAGAATGGAACAGCCACTAAATAGAAAAGGAGCAATAATTCGAAGCCTGCAGCCACTCAACAGACAGAAATGGAAAGAATTTTGTTGTAAAGAATTTTAAAAAGCCACTTGACACACTTGGGAAAACAAGAACATGAAATGTAAAATAGTTTTGTTCTTCCTAGGACTAGGCCTGCTGCAGTCTTTACACACTGTCCATATGTCATCCAACGGCATACAACAGATTGATGTGAATGATTTTCAAAACTGTTCACAGCTGAAGGACGTCGACTTGCAAAACAACAAGATAACTAAAATTCATCCAGACGCCTTCAGGGATCTCAACAAATTACAGGTTGTAAAGCAGTATTACAACTGTTTCAATGTTTTGTGTTAATCACCATTAGAGAAATTAATTAACAATTCAGATTGATTATATTGGTCTTTGATTATTATATTAGTATACAATTATAAAAATTAAAGCAAATGGTGAAAGTAATTATTTTTATATATTTGCTCTTCATACATAGGAAAACACACACACTTGTAAATATAAAAAATATAACCACAAATTCACCATTTATCTATGCCACAAACCATTCCATAACTGTCTTGAACACACACACACACACCCACACACCCTGTTCTACCCCCATCCCTTCCACAGCAAGAGCCCTGCAGCTTCCCATTCACACAGAAGTAGTATACCACAGGAGAACTGTAAATATACCACTATTTAAAATTTTCATTTACATTAAAAAGCTTAGAGCAATATTCTTGAAATCCTAGCCAGATGTATTGTTCCCATAACTGCAAAAGTGCTTGTGTACTAAAATAATGTTGATACTGCAACTAGGATTCCATTGTAAGGCTTAGCAAAATAATTCTGAATTATTTCCAAATAGGTTGTGGATCTCCGTGAAAATGCTCTGACAACCCCCCTACCACAGATATTAATCAGTCTGAACTTCTTTCAACTTGAAGTGGACTTGTCAAATAATGCCTGGATATATAACTGCAGACTAAATGCTTTCAAGCATTTATTTCATTTTCTTTTTGACCCCACGAGGAAAAAATGGAGTATTTCATACAATCAATCTGCCAACAACTCGCAGAAACCTCTGCTGTATCTTTCAAGTTTCCATTTAAACTGCAGTGACAGTGTTTTGCTCAAGAGGGCTGTAATCCCAACAGGGAAGACATCAGTGCTAAACTGTGACTTGGACAACACAAGGGGTATGTAAAACAGGGACTCCACCCACATGCTGCTAAAATCCAGATGCATGCAAAATGATCAAAGAAATCTGGCTTCAAAAGTGGATTCCTAAAGATACTGCTTAAAAAAAACCTGAACAACAATTTAATACACAAAGTATTTCATTAGAAAGTAGTATACCAGTTAAAATATCTGAAAGGCATGTTTCCCAAAAAAATTCTTCATCTCCTTCCTTACATTAATAAGTGATGCCAAATTACACACAAATAAATTTCAGTAAGTAGTACGTTGCAAATTTATCAGCTGATTTTGGAGTGCAGACAAAGGATTGAATAGTGGGGTGGTGCTTCTGGGGCATGTAGAAAACCGAGAAGGATACAATGGTTTTTCTAGTATTCAGTTACTGCAAAATGAAATTAAAGTTTATTTGCAAGAGAAAGGATTTCTGTTTCTTCTAAAAATGTACAACTACTGTTGCATAAGGTTCACTTAGAAAATTAATTCAGAATTTACAATTAATACAGAGCACTTGAAGGACAAATGACAAAACCTACAGAGTTAAGACCTTCCATGCAGAAGTGGAAACTAAGACCAAACTTAGAGTAGAAGGTGTATTTGTCATGTACCACATGGCAAAACAGTTTAACTGTAATGGACTAACAGTACTTTGAGGTAGTGAGGCTTTCCCCTTGGAACACTATCCCCAAATGAAAATACGTAGGGTCTATCAGAAATACCACCTGCTTTGTCTGTTAACAGGGAAAGTCATGGAAACTCTGATCGTGGGATTAAAAATCAACCCACTTGATTGCACCAAAACTCAACTGGGAACGCAAGCAGACCCAAAGGCAAAGGTGTACAAACAACCCTGAAACATGTTCCAAAAGGCAACAACCAGCCATGGCCCACACTAGCTAAAGTTTGGAACAAATGCTTGGTAGATACAAATGTCCTTGGTTTTCAAACCTTTTTGCTGCAGTTGGAGCAGTAACTACAGGAAAATCACAGTGGTTAAAACACTGACAGTTACCTAGTGAGGTTGTCTTTCCTAACTGCACACAGTGACCGTGGGTGGTCACGCTGGGGAACAGCTGGCTCTAAACATGGATCTTCCACCAGCGAGAGCAGCAGGTGTTTCTAGTATGACCCAGAACCCACTTAGATAATTTCAGTGACCTCCTCCCTCACCCACATCATTCTTCTTGTAAAGTCTGCTCTTAAGACCCCATACATACTGTGTTTTAAATGTGCGGGGGAAATATATGATGGTTTAACAGGTATTTGGTACCATGTAAAATGACTATGGGTGGATAAAAAGAAAATGGATTTTATAATAGTTAAATAAATACAAATAGTTTAAATTATCAAAGATAGGTCACAGTACGTTCTTATAGAAATAACTTGACCCTGCAAACCAAGTAACCTATACGTTTAAGAAAGATTCAGTATTTATTTTCTTTTATTTCAGGTCATGGGGTCTCTTGGTGGACACCTAAAGGCAGAATTGCAAAAGATAATAGTCTTCCTCATATGATACTGGATAAAATGAATAATTTAGTGATATACAATGCTGAGAAATCTGCTGAAGGGCTATATTTGTGTATTTTTAATGCAACAAAAAAGAAATATCTCATCTACAATATACAGGTCAAAGAAAAGGTTTCAACATTTTTGGTTAGAAAAGCCCGGGACACTAACACTGTTTTTAGACAAGGAAGAACACAGCAAGACCTTGCATTGGCTGTCTGCCTCTCGGTGCTCATTACGTTTGTTTGTGCTTTTTGTCTGGGAGTTTTTGCTAGACCCTACCTTGTGAGCCTGTGGAGACTCATGCGCAGGAACAAAAATTCAGGTTCAGAACATACATATTCTAATCAAGCTTTTTCAGATGAAACTTTGAGCAGAGGGTGCTCTGCAAGCAAATCAACAAATACACATTGTAATCTGCTCATTTGTAATGAGAATTCTTCAAGAAGCAAATGCGTTTTTCCTACAGAAACTTGTACTTTGCATGAAAATGTCATTAGTAGCAGTGTACATGCACCGAATACTGAAGAAGAGTACCAGAAACAAAGCAATGAGATCAATGTGAAGAAAAAAACAGTGTTTTCAGACATCAAAACTAGTATCAGCAATGATGAAAACATAAATGTAGATGACAATGGACTATTTTCTGTAAGGATAGATTACAAGAACAGCAATGACATAATGCCAAGAAAATTAATGAATAATGACATTTCATTATGGAAAGATTCAAAATATGCAAATCAAGAAGACTCAGACAAGAGCAGGATCTCTGCCGGACCCAGGAGACTAAATGCTGACTCTTACTCAAATCACACTGATTCTTCAGATTCGGATTTAACCTTCACAGGAGAAACTGGCTTTCCATTTTCCACAATACAAACACATACTGTTGCACAAGATTCTAGGAACAACAAGGTGAGCAACAAATCTGGTCTGCTGCAGTCCAAACTCACAAAGGCTACACCAGATTATCCTGACAGAAAAGGTATCATTTCACATAACAAACCCATGAGCACTACAGAATTTATGTCTGGAAGGCAAAGCTGTGATGAACAGCTTGGACTAAACAGCAACATAAACATAACCAGTGACATGGGAGATCTTATTTTACCTGGTAGCTGCAAGAAAGATACAAATATTGAGAATTTAAGTGTCTACCAAACAGTAGAAAACTCTCCTCTTACAGAGTACGACTGTAAAATGGTATGTAGAAATGAAAAAGACGCTTCAGCAGATATATTTGGTGACAGTTCTTCAGATGAAGGGATTCCATTCACAATGAGTGACTGCAGTTCTTTAGCAGACTTTGAAGTGAAACAACCTGATGTTAGTGACAACCTGCCGGTCTGTCAGTCATCACCAGAAGAAGCTGATATGAACAGTGGAACCGAGTTCTCAACACTGACAGAGACTCCAAACATTACTGCTGAAATTCAGCATACTGGGAGAAATGAAGGCAAGAACAACACGTATTTTGAAACCACTATTAATTATGGATCAGATACCATCATGCCTGAAACGGCACCACCTTACGCTGATAAACGTAGTGACCATGTAAACACGTCAGATTCAGACACAATTAGTTCTTCCAGTCAAGAAGTTCCTGATACATTTGACTGTTTTACTAACGAAGAGTCAACAGCACAAAACTCTATTTCTGATTCTCTCCACAATCAAAATACAAATTTTGGTAATACATTACTTTCGTTAGAACATTCTCCCATGTATGACACAGACACAGACAACACTCCCGAAGAGGCTGAACTGCAGCTGTATCAGTTTCCCACCGAACCTCAGCATCCCCTCAGCTACAGTCCCACTGAACAGAAAGAAAATGCACCCAAGGGAAGTACAGATGAGCACATAGAGAGGAACTCCCCTGAAAAGAATCACGGTGAAGGGGACATAACATTAAGAACTAGCATTAGTACGTTTGAGGACGATGATTTTGGTTTTGCTCCCATTGATACTGGTTTGAATGAAATTGTTAAAAAACTATCACTACTGCATTCTGGCAACGAGTCATCTCTTCAATCTCTGCCTGAACACACAGCTGAAAAACATTTTACGGTTATTACAGAGAAAGACAACTTTCTACCACAGGCGAAGCAGGTGACCACAACTATGGCTTATGCAGATAAAATGCAAAGATATTTTAAGGAGAAAAACTGTGATGCATACACAGAACTACAGGATACCAGCCAATGTAGTCTGCCCGAAGAAACGCAGTCTTGTGATCTTACAGCAGGTTTGCTGCATCCTCATTCTTCTGGGAAAAAACAATCAGTCTTCAACACAGATCATTCACAAATTGATCAGAGTGACAAGGATGCGTATTCCTTCTTGGTCCCACAAGGCTTCTTCAATAAAAGTACACGACGCAGTTCATGTTCATTCCCACAGAAGACTACAGAAAATACAACCTCCAAAAGCACTGACTCCAGCACGATGGAGGATGACACGACTTTGACAGGACTGGAGAACAATTCTACAACAGCTTTCAACCTCCAAAATTCAAGTGAAAAACTCAGTCAAAAAAGTCAGACCAATTTAGGACAGGGCCAGTTTTTTGTTAAGAAGAAAAGGGCATTTGATGGATTTGCTAACGTTTTGCAAAGCAGGACAACAGACTTCAATAGCTGAGACACAAAACTGTAATACTAATCTCCTATGTCATATAGTAGGTACAAAAATGATTGTGTCTTCAAGTTAAGTGTGTAGCCTTTAGTTATTGTTAAAATACCATGGGTTGTTTTCAGTTCTGTTTTGGGGTTTTTTTGGTTTGTTTTTTTTTTTTTTTCCCCCCCCTCTGTACAATTACCTATATGCCTTTAACTTCAGAAACCCAAGTTACAGAACTAGATTTAACAATGAGGCTGGATCTATCCAACTGAAAACACTGTAATTCCAAAGGCCAGAAGTCATGGACTTTTGTTGAGAAGGGTACTTGTAAAAAAAACAAGAGTAAATTTTATTAAAAACAACTCTAGGACACTCAAATGAGTAAACTACTCTGTAGCTGTAATTGATAATAAAGCATTTAGTGAGTTATAATAATAATATATATTTACTTTCTCATTATTGTTGGTACCAAGATATTAGTTTCCCTTAGAATTTGCCTCTGATATGCTCTGTTTTTTTTTGTCTAAAATAAATGCAACATTTAAATTATCATTACATTATTACTATTATTGCATTTTCCTGTGGGACTCACCCTATACAGCAAAATAATACTATAGTCTGCTTTTTGAACCAAATTTGTGGATTAAGTGTCTCTGAATTCACAGAATTTTGCAAAGATAGGTGAAGTCGGAGCAGTATCCAATTACATTTAAAAAATTACTTTTTAACTTGGCAAGACATAGAGACTAATGAAATGCTTCTTTCTCAAAGAAACAGAATAGAATTTAAACCTTGCAGGAAGTCAGTTATAGAGATCTTGCTACTGGTGGGATATCACCTGTAGTTTGCACATATGATGACATGAACAGGGTAATTTGAAAAAAGACAACCTACTACTACTAAGCTGTAATACCCTATAAAAGAAGGATCCTATACCCACTTCAGAATTTTACTGAGAGGGACAAATCAAAAGCAGCTCAAAACTGCTGTATTAGACTATTATTAGCTTGATATACAGTAAGTTTTTCTAAGACAAAAGATAACAAATGTAACATAAAATGTTCTCTGAAGGTGGCCCAAGGTGCTTTTACCATACACAGTATCATTGATGTAGTCCTTGAAGGCGAATGCCATCACAAAGAGGAACAGGCCCATGTGCCCAGAAAATACAGGGGGCTGGCCAGCAGCTCTGGGAAAAGTCTGTTATGAAGCCACAATTAATTCACTAAGAACTCCAAACCGTAGGAACGCATTTCAGTTGCATCAGATGAGGAGCACGTCCAATGGCACAGTACATCTTTGAAACTATCTTTAATGACAAAGCCAGGAAAGACCAAAGAGATGCTGACAGATGCTAGTAATTTTTGTTAGCTTCATATACTCAGAACTGAAAAAAAAAAAGTATCGCAAAAAACTTAAGAGGCAAGTGAAAGCAACTGAAGGAGACCAGTACTGATATTACTTGATCTTCCGGAGACTATTTTCTTTAGAGCTTTGAATTCCTTTTAAATAATTGTTTTACACATCTAGCATCACAAATTATCAGTTATATATTTAATGATCCAAGTCACCTATGCTTAGATCTCCTATTGGTTTGGTTTGGGTTTTTTTCTGGCTGATTTTCTCAAATTCCCTACCATAACTCAAAATAGATTACATGGCAGTTTCAGGTAGGTGTTGTATGGTTTTGATCTAGGTCACCACGGTGTTTGCACGTAACTGCACTCAGTAACATCTGTAATTCAATTACAAGCAATGCCTCTGCTGTCATTCACACAGATCTTGTTTTCCAGGTAGTTCTTGGAAGATTTCTGTTCTTTTTGCTCCAGTACTCAGCAATATCTAAACTGCCAACTAAGAAGTTTTTCTAAGAACAGGTGTGGGCTTCGTTCCTTTGGTAGGAATCTGCTCAGGAACCAAGAATGAAGTAATCTTCTGAAAAAATTGATAATTTGTCATCAAATTATTAATGAGTTTAAGGGTCTGATTTTGTGTTCTGTTTTTCAAACACCAGAGAAAGTTTTACACATGTAACTGTCCAGAATTGTTCATATAGTCTGAGTAGACAAGAACTAAATGACAAAACACTTAAATCCGCAAAAATTACAGCTTTCCCAGAAGTGTTAAAAATAAAGTAACTCTAAAACAAAGTATGTTTCCCAATACAACTCACTCCTTGGTTCTATAAATGTCTGTAAATGTTATATCCTGGTTCTACTGCAATTTTTCTCTCCTAATCACCACGGTCTCAATAGTCATGTAATACCTTGGCTCCTATTGAATTTAAGGCTGCTGTTCTCAGAGAACAGTGTGCGAATAAACCCAGCAACTGTGTTTTTAGAGGCTGCCTACAAGTAAAGAACTGGGCAATTTAAGCACAATCCCTCATAGAACAGCTACATAGCCATCAGGAGCAGAAAACAGAACAGAACTTCCTCACCACCAGCGCTTTTCTTAGTGCCCATAACCAGCTTTCAGTTAAGCTCATTACACACAGAAGTTACTTGTGGCCAAAGTAACTTTAAAAATTGAATGCATAAGGAAGTGCAGACTTGCTCTTTACGGTATGTATGAGTCTTCAAACACTGTGCTAATAGAACTCTCTAAGGTCTGTCATCTTTTGGCTGTACCAGCTGATAATATATTAAGAAATCTAACTACATAAGCAAGCCAATTTCATGGGTCATGGGAAAAAAAAACCATCTACTTGAGTGGCTCTACTGATGTCTCATACACAGCAATGTTTTGTCATTTGTTTCTGCTACAGTTCATCAGGCTTTCAAATATATATTGGAAACTTACTTTCTCATCTTTTCACTGACTATGGGAACGTTGCTGTGGTCACACAGATGGTACACTAGTTTTGAGAAGCTGTGAGTTTTCTAGGCCTCTCTTTATGCCAAAGTTACAGAAAAATGTTATCTGCCGTTCTCATCAGAGAAAATAGATTTGCTTCTTCACCAAGGGATTTTTAACATGTGAAAAAGTACTTCATTCTACTGTCAGAGTATTGTTGACATTCTGTCTCAAACTTACCTTCAGATTTCTGCCTAATCTTGCACCTTTCCTTTGCTATGAATTGCTCCCGACACTCATTATCACTTGTTCATTCAAACACTCAGCTGCTTCTCCCTCAAATTAGTTCACTTCCTTAGCAACTGCTCTTAAAGTTAAGACAAAACCTTTTACACATCTTCTGTGGCTTCCAAGCAGTACTCTTCACACTCTGCTCCTCTCCATCCATCCTATTGCTCCATGCCCTTCTGTATACAACAGCTACAGTCCCCCATTCACTGACTCCCTCTGAGATTTTATCCGCTCACTTTTCTTTACATTTCAGCTGGTATCAATCCACTGTACCTCATTCACACTGAAAGTTTGGTCACCGAGAATTTTCTAGAATATTAGTACAAAACCAGTTGCAGTCATAGAAGCGTAAGTGTACATTATACAGACACATCCTCTTTTTTTCCCCCCTTCCTTTGCATAAGTTACAGTTGCAGTGAGGTGGAACAGCACCCACTCTAGGGCTGTTGAAACTTCTTTAGCTTCATCAGTAACTTCAGGTACCAAAACTCATGTTCAGATAAGGCTTATGGTACTAGCACAGCTGAGAGTGGGTAAACAGACCCAGTCGCAGAACAGGCTCGATAAAGGTGGCTGAGAGTATGCTGCATATATTCGTAAACGAAGCCTGAGATGGCAGCCAAGAGAATGTTGGTAATAGTCTGGGCACACCCTTCTCTCAGAACAAGGACATGCTCAGCTCCAGGTTTGACAGGACATAGTATCGCTCATACAGTGAATCAGTGTAAGAAACAAACCTGAAATCTTAAGAGTAGATTGAGAACTTCAGATACAGTAATCAGAATGGAACAAACCTCTCATTTTCAAGCACGTATGTAGGATACATTGATAATTACTAAGTTGTTTGCTGTAGGTACACAACATTTCAATCTTTCCAGAGTATGCTGATAACTGGGCTGGAAAACGACACTTGAATATAAAGAAAAGGCATTCACGTTTAACCGACATATAATTAACAACATAAACTATTTAAATAGTAGTATTAAAGTTTTCATGGCACAGAAGACTGTGACTCACCCCCTCTGATAAATACAAGCAGCAGGCTACATTCCGAGAACTGGTGAAGGCAACCCCAGCCTTCGTCGTCAACATGAACCTAATGACAAACTGCTTCTCTGGAATGGGCTCTACATTATAATATTCTAATTGTAACATAAATACATTCAACTTTAAATAATATTTTAAGTCTAGAGTCTTAGGACTGGTAGCTCAAATATTGGAAAATATTAAAAAAAAAATTATTGTGAAATCTCTTTACAAGTCAAATAATTTAAAAGCTCTTCTAAAAAGTAAGAAAAATACAAGTGTTTAAGGTCATGATCAAAATATCACCACATTTAGATAATACTAAACTGGTTTTCTCTTTCAGGATTACATTTGAGTAATTTAAGAGATTCTTCTTTAGCATACGCTTTTAGAAATCACAGCTTCACAGAAGGGTTGAGGTTGGAAGTGACCTCTGGAAGTCATCTAGTCCAATACCCCCTGCTCAAGCAGGGCCACGCAGAGCCAGTTGCCCAGGCCATGTCCAGATGGCTTCTGAGTATCGCCAAGACTGGAGATTCTACAACCTCCCCGGGCAACCTGTGCCAGTGCTTGGTCACCCTCACAGTCAAAAAGGGCTTCCTGATGTTCAGATGGAGCCTCCTGTGTTTCAATTTGTACCCACTGCCTCTGGTCCTGCCCCTGGGCACTGCTGAAAGGAGTCTGGCTCTGCCTTCTTTACACCTTCCCTTCAGATATTTAAATACATTAGTAAGATCCCTCCCTAGCACCTTCTCTTCTCCAGGCTAAACAGCCCCAGCTCTCTTAGCCTTTCCTCACAGGAGAGAAGCTTCAGTCCTTTCATCTTCATGGCCCTTTGCTGGACTCCCTCCAGTATGTTGGGGTGTCTCTGGTACTGAAGAGCCCAGAACTGGATGCAGGACTCCAGGTGTTGCCTCTCCAGTGCCGAGCAGAGGATAAGGATCATCTCTCTCCATCTGCTGGCAATATTTTGTCTAATGCAGCTCAAGATACCATTCACCTTCTTTGTGGCAAGTGCACGTTGCTGGCTCATCTTCAACTTGGTGTCCACCAGCAACCCCAGGTCCTTTTCTGCCAAGCTGCTTTCCAGCTGGGTGGCCCCAGCATATACTGGTGCAGGGGGTGGTTCCTACCCAGGTGCTGGCCTTGGCACTTCTCCAGGTTGAAGTTCATGAGGCTCCTGTCAGCCCATTTCTCCAGCCTGTCAAGATCCTTCTGGATGGCAGCATGACCCTCTAGTGTATCAGCCACTCCTCCCACTTTGGTGTCACCAACAAACTTGTTGAAGGTACACTCTGCCCCACCACCCAGGTCATTAATGAAGATGTTGAACAGGACTGGACCCAGCACTGACCCCTGGGGCACAGCCCTAGTCACTGATCTCCAACTAGACTCTGCACTGCTGACTACCACCCTCTGGACCCGGCCATTCAGCCAGTTTTCAGTCTACCTCACTGCTTGCTCATCCAGCCCATACATTAACAGCTTCTCTGAGGACCTCATGGGCCAAAACCCTGTACTGAGATGAGTTGGTAATGATCACACTTCTTGTAAAATTTTGCCTTAAGAGATATTACTGGTCAAATACACTCTTTTTGTTGAAACCTTTTGTATTACAATACTGTTTCACACTCACACACTCCATTTCAAACATACATTTTTTTCCAATAAAGTTTGAAATACTGATTTGCCTTACTATTAGAAATAAGGATGACAGGATTGTACACACAAGTTCTCTAATACTAAATGATAAAAGGTTGCCAGCTGACATGATATGCACGTTCAGATATGAGAATTTCAGAAGTATGAACCACAGAAAAATCTGAAGTCAGTTGCTGAAACCAACACAAATACTGTTTATTTGTGGGATGCCATTTTACATCAACACCAGCAAAAGACCTAAAAAAATCAACGGGATGAACTCATGTTAGGTGGCGTAACAGTATTTTCATCAGGCTGTGAGTCACAGGAGTTTAGCACACCTTATTTATGTAATATCCAAGGTAACTAAGACATAAAGCGTTCACAGTTACAGGTTAACTGCTGTTCCTGCAACAGCAGTGTCAGTAGGTACTATTTTGTGACAACACATGTACACACACACGCACACACAAACACACAGGGGGGGGGGGGAAATTTAAAAAATAAACCCCAAAAAATACCAAGCTGAGTTTTGGTCTCAATTACAGACAACAATTTAGTTGGTGGATGGATTCTATACACTTTTACAGCAACATGAAAGGACAAAATATAAGGCTTAAAAAGAGGTATTTTAGCAGTTATAATTAAAACCAGGGCACAAGCTAACCTTTAAAGCTGTCTATAAGAATTCCAAGAGTATTAAACAATGTTAGACTTGTGACCAAGGGTCAACAGAAATCTGGGAAAACCTGAACACAACTGAAGTCCATTTCTTGCCCTCCAAAAAAGTAACTTGGGAACACTAACCAAGTAGCAAGGAGTTGTAACTAATTTTGATTGTATGAGCATATTTGTGATGAAATAAAATTCATGTATTTGTGGTAAAATGGGAGAAGCCTCTAGTGCTCTACAACTGTCAGAAAAGGCTACAAAATGGTAACCCAAATCTTTATTGTAGCTTAAAGACAACTTTAAACAGGTTTTAACTGAAAACTCAAGTACACAAAGGATCCCAATAAATTCCATCCTCTTCATCTTGCTTTCCATGAAAAAGAAGTGAAAAAACAACAGTAACACAGAATTATATTAATATTTTAAATACCTAATATTATTTTGCTGTAGAATTAAAGTTAATTTGTAGACTGTTTCAGTTACTAATATTTGTAAAATTACAGAATCATTTAGGTTGGAAAAGACCCTTAAGATCATAGAGTCCAAAAAGCTTCAAATGTTTGTCATCTATCAACTCAGAGTGTCCACTTCTATAGTCTCTGGATGCTGTTTTACCTTCACTAACTGGCCTTCCACTTTACATCTCCCAAATACCAATCATGAATTGCACATAGATCATCAAGTTTCTGCTATAAGGACAGTAACAGTACACCAGAAAGACTGGCATAAGTCCCATGACACTTCTGCCAGAATGACCTCTCAGTGTCTTGACTAAGAGGTCAGCATATTCTGTGTATCATTTTTCAAAAGGAAAAAAAACTCTAAAACGCTACATCAACTATATGATGGCATAACTAAGAAAAGAGCAAACATTAAACTTGTACTAAATACAAGGTAAACTGAGTAGCTTAAGTTTCCACAAATATTTAAAAATGAGAGGGAATTTCTCCAAAATAGGCAAGAGCTGTCAATGTTAGTGTCCTCTGCTTATCAGGATATATAGCAAAACCAGAAGGATGGATAGCACAGGGAACCTTATCAAGCCATACGGGTCCATTTGTTCGCTACATCAGTAAAGCTGTCTACCAGCTGCAATTGAATTTGTGGTTTATTTTATGAAGAGGCATGTTTATAAAGCAGCTGAAGACTACAGATTCATCCTGCTTGAAAGTGAAAGAAAAAAAAATAGCAGCATCTAGCTAATGCATTTCCAAACACATCTGTCCTTTCCATCATTCCTTATTACTTTTACCCAAAGAAAAAATGAAGTTTGTTTACTTATACAGCATGAGTACCTTCTGAGTTTCTTTTTCTCTCTTTTTTTTTGGTTTTTCATTAAATTTTGTATTCTGCTAAACATTAGCAAAACTTGGAAAAAAAAGCACCTGGTTATGCTTAACAGATTTCTGTTGACCCTGTTATATGAAAGTTATACCTATAGGAGTAATAGATTAAAAGTTTCTTTGGCTCTTGCTTCCATTACTAGAAGCCAAATTATTTGTGACACACAAAACCTTTTATGCAAACCTTGTATTTGTTGCAGGATTCATGCCAATTTGTGCTAAACTGTTTTCTAGAGTCAGTAACTCACTTAATGTTTAAGAACAATTACAGTATTTCACTTAAAATCTTAGCAACCACACTTTAGCCTAATGTTACAAGTTATATTGCTTCTAAGGCCATTCTTTTAAAATGAAACCAGCAGCTCCATTGATATTTCCTTATGGTTATACTATGGTAATATACACATTTACATCTGAAGACTTAATAAAATGTGTGTGTTTTAGTAAGAGGCTTATTGTAAACATTAAATACCACACTCCACTGAATTAATTTCTTGTGCAAACTGGCAAACATGGAATTAAGGTTATGTGCATTAGTACATGAGAAAGCAATGACTATGTATCTTTCACCACTATTATCTTTAGAGAGATCTATTTAGTGTCATGACTATTTCACAGGAAAGGTAGTATTTTCTTCTTAGCATCATAAAATTCTAGTTTTGTATATGCATACATATTGTATATTTATGTGTATACAAATATACACAAACACACACAATTTTTGTCTTTGGCAGCTGAGTTTGACAAACAAAACACACCACCACCAAACAGATTTGAATACAGCTGACCAGCTGTAGCACCACAATTACAACCTCCTGGTCCAGGGCAGCAAACTATTGTGTTTTTGCTAAACTAGGCTTAATCCTGAAAGTAGGGAAGTTAATGACAGTTGTTCCTGACTTCAGTGACGGCAGAATAGGACCTTCAACACAGCTGAAAATTTCACATTCAACTTAAAACGCTTCCTCCCCCTTCCCCTGGATTGCATTCGAGAGAAATAGCAAAACTGCCAATACCTTGCAAAATAGTTCTATAGAAAAGTAATGTTATTCTTAGTTCCAAAACATCCACTGGCCTTTTCTTGTTAAATGCTCCACGAATCAATATGGAACATTTTAATGAATCCTTAGGGAGGAAAGTTTAATAGCACCAGATACTTCAAGGACCTATTTATAAAAATCAACACTAAAATTACTTAATAAAAAGGGTAAGGCAAAGACAATGTGACAAAATTACAGAACTTAAGCATAATTCCATTCATTCATTTTCCCCAAAATAATCACTAGAACTGTCCTATACAGATAAAGAAATTAATGAAAGAGGCAGTGGCCCTACTAAAAAGTACTGTCATTTAATGCTGGTGTTTATCATGCCCATTGCCTGCAATGGACATTCTGCTAGGAAATTCCAATCCCCAGAATGAAAGAAAAAGTAATGTTTTGACTACTCATTATCATATTGTTAATTATTTAGAAAAACAAAGTTAGAGACTCTGGGAAAGACTAATGTTACAAACAAAACAAACCCAAATTTGTATTATCTATGTGCTAGGGGTGAGCAGACTTTATTCCCCAAACCACTAACTTTAGCTAGAACTTTCAATTTCACTAGATCACAACATAGACCAAACACTCGTGGTACACCAAAAATTAAAAGGAGTATGCCAAAGGCAATTTACAAAAGTCTAAAACCCATTTTTAAAAGGTACTTTAATTTGTTCATTTGTACCTGTAATGACTACTGCATTTTTAACATTAAAAAGTCAGTACTTTTTTCTTCAAATGGAAATAATCTGTGGCATGTACAACTATTACAGTGTTTTAATATTTATATGTGTGTATATATATATATTTATATATATTTTAAGACACCAATGTTTCATTCCTATTAAGCAATAGGTCAGGTTTGGCGAATTCCGGTGAAGTCAGTCACAGCATGTCTTCTCTCTCAAAAATTGGCATCTCAAATAATAACATTAAAATTGACAATAGTTCTTCACATAACTGTGTCCAAGCAGTCTGTTCATTTCATTTTCTGAAATGCTACATTTGAGACCAAAAGAAAAAAAAACCCTTAAGTTTCAAACATGTAAGTGATGACTAGAAATATGCCACAAAATTATTTTTACAATACATTTCTGCAGAAATAATCCCTAGGTGAAGCTTTTTTTTTATACACATATACAAAATTTAGACAGCAATATACACATAATCACAGTGAAGACGCTGGCAAGTTCACCAATTCGTAGTGTAAATACAAAATGCAAAGCAGCCTTCAAAGAGAACAATGCTACACAGCAAGCATAGCTAGCTTGTTAAATAGCAAACATCAAAAGTTCCCTGCAAAAGGGATGCAGTGCAAGAAAAGCAGCATGCACTTTGATACAAATAGCAGTTTATGGCTAATGGTTGACATAACTGTGGTAACAGTGACTCTTGAGTGGCTGTGCATAGTTAAACTTCTATGTCATCTGTTTTCCTTTATACCATTCCACAAACTCATCCAACAACACTGGCCCTGTAGAGAGATCAAATAACTGTATTTTACAAAATTTTGTAAAAGGACACTGGATGATTAAGCTCAGAGAAATAAATTATTTTAGAATACCAACATATGGTAGTACTTACAGGCTCCATCTTCATCATAGTTACTGAGGTCAAGGTTAATTGTTCTGCTGAATTCAAGAACGTTACACCATTGGTCCTTATTGATAACTTTGTATTTTGATTGCTGCTTAAGACAAGAAACAGAAGTTACTAAAATATATTTTCAACTCCCCCAAATTCAGATTTTCTTACAGAAAATTTAAGCCTTGTGATGAATTATTACTTTAATCTGCATGCCATCTAAAACTAAACAGGATTAAAGAAACCACTAAGGAGTCGAGCTAGTGTTGAATAACTCATGTTTCCGATTAAGACACCTTTTAGTGGACAAACAATACAGCAATAAAATGAAAGTCCAAAAGCAAATCAAAGACATTCTACACTTTGTCCTGCATTAAATAAACCTTAACGTCATAGGGATTTGGGGAAAAGGAAGAAAGGAAAGATAGCTAGTTACAAGTGCTGCTTGGGGGTTAGTGTATTCTAAATCTGAACAAAAACATTCTTAGCTCTACCTGAACAAAAACATTCTTAATTCTACCTCTAGTTAAAGTATCAGAGAAGACAGATCAAAAAACGTAATTCCATTTCAAACTTCATACCTCTAGAAACTGGTGAAATACTGGAAAAAGGGACCATGTTTTTCCTAAAAGAAGGCCCAACATACACTTGGCAGTATTGATATCTAGGCTGCGCTGGTCCTTTTCCTGCATAAAAAGGAAAAGGTCAAGAAGGAAAAATGAACATGATTACAGGATTTTTCACTTCCCCTACTGCCTGTACTACAGTTCACCCATACATAACATAAATTAGCAAATAAATGAATCAATAGCAGTATCTAACAGTGTTTTTTAATAAAACGCAACTTCCTAGTAAAATTTCCTTCCTCAGAGCTAATGGTTTGCTATACAGAGATGCTGCTTTCTATAGACTTTCCCAAAAAACTGTCACTGCTACTGCAGATGAGGTGCACACTCCTGTTTGTGACTTCAGACCTTTATAGAAAGCAACGGCCATTAGATCCATACCCATGTTTGCACGTATGCCTCTGCATAGCCGTATCTCAAAACCGTATCGCTGCACATATTTCCTGCGGTATTCTTACAACTACATGAACTGTCAGTAGATATTTAAGTAGCTATCAAGCAACACTAACTAAGCAAGAGTGAACCAAAGAGGGTCTTCGTTCTGTTATTCTACCAATTGTATGAAATTCAGATTAAATTAATTATCTAATGAGCACAGGGAACATAAAATACTAGTACCTGGAGACCCCTGTCAGAGCTGTCCCAGTTTTAGTTTAACATGGCAATAGTATACTAAGGCTTAGGGGGTGATTTTTTTGTTTCTGCCAAGAAAAAGAAGTACCCAGCAGATTCATTACATCTAATCAGTGGGAAAGTTAGTATATTTGGTAACAGAACTTCTGCAAATCTGATAGTAATGTCTGTACATAAAATAACAAAATGGAATCTTACAAGTACTTTATCCGTCTACATTTGTCATCTTGAAATTAAACACATTTTGGTGAGAGATGGGACATGAAATGCCACCCTTTTATGACCTGGTTACAGCATTAAGCTACAAATTCAAAAATTAATGAAATCACAGAAAATAAAGTTCCGTATTAGCTACTGTAGACCTTGATCTCTCTATATGTACTCATGACTGTAGACTGCAAAGTCTAAATTAAGAAAAAACAGGGATAGGGATATCCAGGAAACAGGGAGTGTCAAACACAACAGTGCAAGACAGCTACCCAAGACAAAAGGAATTGAGCCCTATGCCTCACTTGTACAGTTGTTTGTATTACAAAATACACATCTTTATTAAAAAAACAAGCTCAAAACATAACTGAATTGTCTTCTATCATGTTGGAAGGATGTGGCAGAGTGAGATCCAAGTTCTCAGACAACTGAATGCCTTAGTCACAAGGTTATCCTCTCGAAACCCATTTCATACAAAATACACCTCAATTCTAAAATTGGCTAGACAGAATTTAATGCAGAATTGGTTTTAAAGGAGAGTGGGGAGGCCAGCAACTCTGAAAACATCAGAAGCTGTTTTACATTCTGGTCACTGAATCAAAGAGGGACTTCATTCAATCTCATCTAGAGGGAAAAAAAGTAAATACCAGGATGAACAAAGCTTTTCAATTACTAATAAAGCTCAGAAACCTGCAAAGACATTTTTGTATTAGTACGGTACGGCTCTTTCACTGATTTCCAACATCAAATAGTTACAAAAGCTATTCCTCTTTCCAAAGTCCATTTACACCTCTGTCACAAACACCTTTAGGCAGAAATCATATTGCTGTGAGAATACTTTTTATTCTCTATACCATTTATACTCAGAATTCTTCCCACACACTCAAGTGTTAATGAAATCAGGCTCTGTTGACTTTACTGTGGCCATGCTGTTTTTCATACCTTACATTGTTAAGTTTCTACATTCTCCCTCTCTGACTGCCCTTCAGTACAAATTGCTTAGATAAGCCCTTTATATCCACGTCCAACTGCCTAATGGCATATCTGCCATGACAGATGCTCCAATTTAATTCTTAACATACATTCTAAATACTTACATTATCTTTCTTAGATACAGTGGAAACAATATATTGACAAACTGATAAATTTCAGTATTTATTTAACATTGGTGATAGACAGTCTTTCTAAGATCTTTTTGTTCCCCTGTATTTCAGATAAAAGACCTACTTAAGCCATAAAATCTGTGCATCTGTATATTCTCAAACTTTGCAATAACAATAGCAAACTGGGGATGAGGAATGTATTTGTGCTTAATACCAACATACAGTGTTTTAAATGATTTCCTCAAATCCATGCTGACTTACATCATGCATGCTGCATAAAACCTTGCTGATGCTTATTCTTCTTGACAAACTAACTCTAAATATCAAATCACAAAAGATGCTGTCAAAAATTCTCTCTTAAAACTTCAGAAGTTTAAACAAGTGTTTTTTGCCATGGAGCACTTCCCTGAAATGGTTATCCTTAGGATGGAAATTACACAATCTTCTGAATCAAAAATCAAAACTGCTCCCATCTGCTTTTTTCTATCAATCACTTCAATTATTCTGATAAAAATTATGTATAGACTCATCTGCTGCATGTAGATAAATATATCAGCCTTTGACAGCATTACTGTCTATTCTTACTGGATGCCATTCTCCTATAGACTTCTCCTGGCTCCACAGTATTAAAAGTTCAACAATCCTATTAATATAATATTGTTTTGACAGTTCCCCTGTTGATATGCCTTTGACTTGCAGTTCTACAATCTGGGGTTTTTTGTCACAAATGATGTCACAGCATCTGTGTCTCACTATTTAAATTCTTTTTCAAAACCACTGTTTGCTACATCAACTTGGCACCTCTTGAAAAAACTCCACCCACTCTCCTAAGTTTCTGCATTTACTTTTGACAGACCATTGGCTGGTGCAAGTTTGCTACTAGTAAAACATTTTTTTAATGTATTCCAAATATTTCATCAGTATCTTGAACTTCTTTGTCAACGTTAGTTATTTCTTGCCTTTGTATTTTATGTTGAGCAAGACTGGCAGAATAAATCTTCATACAGCAAAGGAGGAATTAAGATGTTGATATGGCTTTTTTCCTCTCATACTAGCTAATACCATATGTTCTGTCATGATCAGCTGTAGGTTTCCTTGGTTAAAAATGAACTGATATGAATCTCTGCATGCTAACATGCAGAACACATTGATGTACCACAAATCTGCATTACTTATGACAGACTTAACTATCAGAATTGCTATCAGTTCAATTTCTTATTATTTTTCTCATGTTACTTTTTTTGATGCAAAATTTATTGGTGTTTTAGGTTCTCCTGCACTGAAATAATGAGCTTCAGTTTTGCCTGTGATCATTTTTATGTGAAAACTTCTGTACATTCCATCATATTAGCAAGATGGATGTCCAAATTCCATGTCAAAATGTTAATTCCGAAAATCAAAGTTCTTTTATTGCTCCCTTTAAGTAGGAATAGTCTTATGCATATTATAGGTTCCAATACCAGGTACAATATTATCAGTACATACTTTCCAGTAGGAAGACTGGTATCAGGACATTGTTTAATAAATACCGAGAACACCACTGATGACCTCCCAACAGTCTTCTGAGCCAGTACTTACATCATATCCAGCTTTTATCATTCAGTTATTTTTACAACCTGCAGAAATGCCTGAAGTGCCTTCCTGTTTTAAGTATATTTATGCTCACAAAATTCAAACAGTAAGAAGAAAAAACAGGGTAATTATAAAATCAGTGGAAGTGACAAAGCTCCAATATGCAACAGAATAAGGCTTAAATTATTTCCTTCAAGTCGCAAAATAGCTTGAAGCAGAGAGGTAACAAAACATGTCAAAACACTAAAGCACTGAACATCAAGCATCCTATATACTTTTCTTTTCCAGTTCTGGGACTTTTGCATATACGTTTTTAGAACACAAACAGTTCAATTTGTCAGAAGCAATCTTGAGTGATATCTTATGAGAAACATACTTAGAGGTATACAGTCCTTCAATTATTACTTATGAAAGTAGAGTTTTCATTTCAGATACTGGTCTTCCACAGTACTCACCCGTGCAAAGTCAAATGCATATCTATAAATAAGTTTAAAATTGGTAGGCTCATTTAATAAAGATCTCAGGTAATCCAGAGAATTTCTCAATTTTTCTGTAGTATCACATCTGCAAGAAAAACACAAAGTAAATTTAGAGTCTGCATTCTTATACAAATGTGTGATGTTTTAGAAAATAATCTCGAACGTGTACCCCATCAATCTGTTCCAAATACATCACTCTGTGCAAAGGCATGTTTATGAGTTTGTCTGCATAAAATACCTTGATTAAACATACAGTGTGAAATGGATTTACATAAAATAGCAAAGTCTTACCCTGGTACTCTGATAAAAATTTGTTTGGCTTTGTGGAAAATGCACTCTCCAACAGATTAAACTAAGAGCTTGCCTACACATGGCAAACAACCAGCAAACCACAGCAGTGAAACAATACTTCTGTAGTTTTGCTGAAACTACAGAACTTCCTACACAGTTTTAGTGATTCTATTCTGGAAAAGAATCCAAAACACAGTTCTTTATCCAAGTCTCTCTGAAACACATGATTATTCAACTACATTTATGTTTATTATGCCATGAAGACAAGCTCTCAACTGGAGAAAGCAACTCTTACAATATGACAATGCAGAATCACAGAAAGGGTTTGTATTATTTAGTATTTTAAACTACACATGCTCTAACAACATACCAATATCTGATAGGTCCAATCCAGTGACAAAGACAGATGTCCTTGGGAACAGAAACAACATCAAGCCTCATGACATTTTTGTTTTCTTGAGACTGCAGATATTTTAATCCAACAGTACTTAAATGTGCAGCTGTCACGTTTCAAGTTGTCTCTAAATTGCCTTATTACCATAAATAGGACCAAAAATGTATGGCTTCTACTCCAAAGTACAGTGCTCTGCTTTAGGTGTTGTGAGTCAAAACAAAGTATATTTTTTCTTAAAAAAAAAAAAACCACACCAACCAAACAACAACAAAAAAAAAAACACAACAACAAAAAAAAAAAAAAAAAACAAAACAACCTGGCTTTACTGTAACAAATTCAAGAGGTTTTTCAAAGCACTTACTGTAGCGATGTCATTCCTTTTAACCATTCTTGTAACGTAAAGTAGCCCATGTTTTGTGCATCCAATTTCCATGCTAGTACAAGCATAACGACCTGTTTTCATGAAGAAAAAAAAAAAATTAAGACTGAGAAGAATTAACAAGAAGATCCACATGCTTTTCAAATAACTACTGTTTGACAGGCTACAAATGCTTCACTTGTATAAATGGGATGTTCAGATCTTTGCTACACTATTTTAAAAGTTAAAAAACCTGAATGTGACAAACCTGCCTGTAATCCAAACAAAGAGTGCAAAGATAGAGTCAACATCCAGACAAGTTACCAGTAGCCACCTTACTTCATCGTAGCATGCACAGTCATCTAGTGAGAAGTGCAGTGCAAGGAGGAAGATGAGTTGGGGCAAAAGCTATGGAAAAGTTTTCCCAAAACAACTACAAAATTTAAGCACCAATTTGATGACAAGTTACATTTGACATTTGTTAAAAGTTTTATCTAGATGAACATCAGTTGCAACCCATGAGCTCTGAAATCCAATTAGTCCAAAGCTAATAATGATCCCACCTGAATCCAGCTAACCCAGAGTACTATCAGCCTACCTAACTTTGCAGGTCTGAATGTGCAGTATAATTCAAGTAAAGCTAGATGAACTAACATGAATATACATCAAAACAGCGGCTGATACATAAATACTTCAGTTTTGCCCAAAAGGAAGCAGAGTCCTTTTCACATCCCACACAGAAGACTGAAGCAATAAAGAACTGAGATAAATTGATACCATAAATTTACTATCTTATTCAGGAACTTAAGAAACCAATTTTGACATATACATGGAAAAACCTGCAGGACAACTGACCCTGCATACTAGAAGAAAAAAAAATAATCAAGTAATTTAAATTTGCAACTCACCCATTAACTAGCTAATGTTAGTGCAGTTCTATACAGTTTTTAATGCTAAATCAAAATACCTACTTATATACCCAAACGTCTGCATATATCTCAAGGGTTCGTTATACCATAATCAACTCCAAAATTAGCAAATTACATCTTATATTTCCAGCAAATCTTTCAAAGCCACAACTGTCATTTTACTTAGTCAGAGATGATAGTTTACAAATCCTGCAAAAGATGAGACCTGCACATACATTTAAAAAGCAAAACTTGGGCTCTAGGAAAAAGCCTGTAAGGCACAACTATTCCTTTTTAAATTTTATTTAATCCTATATATACTTGTAAAATAGACGTAATTATAGATATTCCTTATTTGTGTTTTGAAATGGCATAATGGGAGTGCCAAAACTGCTCAAAGTATTTGAAATCCCTTTCTCTCATAGAAAACCTAAAGAAAACATTACTTGGTAGTTTTGTAGTTGCTACATTAAATCTTCAGTGTTGTCTCTGTTTCAAAAAAGACAACCAACCATCAGCTTTTTTTTTTTTTTTTTTAAATATCTTTCCTTTTTTGGGGCAGGAATGGGCAGGTAGTGGGGAGGTGAGGGGAGTAAAAGACAAATTGAATTTTTACAGGTTGACAGTTTGGGATTTAAATAAGTGCAAGTTGTTTCCAAATATGTATATAAACATCCTTTGTTTACATTTACATTTTTAAAAACTTCCAAGAATTTTTTAATACTTGATGGAAAAATAAGAGATACAAGAGTGGCTCATGTACACCATAACAGATTAGGCATCTTTTGAATAGACTTTGAACTTACATTTTCTGGTTCAACTCCAATGTCTTCACAAAATTTCTCCATACCTTCTGGCCCTACAATGTCATCAGTGCCTGCAAACAAAATGCATTTTACTTATCTCTGAAAATTAAAACAGTCTGACCTTTACAGCACAAGAGAAATGCAATTGTGCAAATCAATCTCAACTTCCATACAGGGTTTTTTTTTGTTGTTGTTTTGACATGCAATAACTATTTCCACACTTACTATCAGTACACTTAAATCTTTACCGCACCTTTGGAAAACAGATAGAAAAACTGTAAAACAACTTTTCATTCCTGACAATAACCTTTATTCTACCTATTTACTGAGATAATCTTGGAAGAGTAAATTAATTAGACCTTTAAGAATGCACTTAAAATTAGTAAAACATCCACAAAATATTACCACAGTTAAATGAGCAGACAATGGTTAGTGATACACATTTCTTGGCTTCAAACTCTACAGTTGTCACAAGATTTTATCACATAAAAATGTGATGCATAGCTATACAGGATATATGACATTATCATTCCCAGAATATCATTCCTTATTGTCTCATATACTATCTTTATATAATGTTATCTAAAAAATAGAGACTAAAATAAAAATCTCATGCTCCTGCTTATTCATATTGCCATACCATAGCCACACATTATCTGAATTTTAGTAACAGCAAGGGGAAAGAAGACATGAATTACAGCTATTTCTTTGCCAACTTACAAGGAAAAAAAGATTCAAAATATTAAAATGTACTACTGTTAAAACATGCTGTTAAATCAAGATACTTGTAACTTCTATAATACTCTTTTGAAAAAATTATATAGGCATTAAGAATTGTACTGTGCAATTTATTTTTTTTAAGTACATTTGAAGTATTTGGACTATTTTGTTAGAACTATTTTACTCATGTTTAAAAGGGCTCATTTTGGAAAACAAAAGCAGGCTGAAATGCCTACTTTCATCCAATATAAAGATTATAAAACCTCTTTTTCTGACACATGTAAAGGGAAGATCAGTCTGTGTTTTATTATTAGGTGACCTACTATTCTAGAAATAACAAGGTTTAATTATATCTTTTCCTATCTTCTCATGACATCCTCTCAGAGTTCTCTGTCTACACAACAGTCTAAAAAGACTGATTCTGTAATGTAAAGACACACTAGGGAAAAAAAGCAAATGCAGTGTCAACTGTCTGCATATATAAAAGAGAAGACTTATGAAGCAAGAACACAAAAGAGATTATTCTTTGAAAATTCTTTAGAATGTTACTCAATACTGTAAACAGAATCATACTCTCTGCTTTTCTCTGTTTTATCTTAGTGTACACATCCAATGGAAACCCTAAAGTTCTTTCACATACAGCCTTCCTTTCATTCCTTCTTTCCATTAAAGTCTTGACAAAAATGAGTTATCGCTGTTGCTAGAGTGATAAAATAAATCCAGCTGGTCAGAAAGGCAGAGAATTTAACAGATTAGATTTGCCTTGAATTTGTCTGAATCTCCTCTCACAAACTGCCATAGACAAGTGAGATCTTAAAGTACTTCATTTAGTTTATGTAATTTTATTAGAAGAAAAAAAAATATTTCATTACACCAAATTAAGTCAAGTCTTCATTATGTATAAGAAGCAGGCAAAACAGAACAAGCTGTGAGCAAAGTTATCTAAGATTGCATCAGAGAACTGCAAGATGACCTTATTTTCTTTGTCAATCATCTATTTAATTTCCTTTTGGTCTTTACAGTCATGAGATAATTTTTCCCCATACTTCCAGTTCTGCCCTTCAGAAAACCACATGTAAAAAAATGAACACAATGACCAACTTCACTATTAAAGGATTATCTTTTGTGACCACAGCTCAGAATTAACAATCCTAGAAATAATGCCTGAAGAAAGTTCTCATACACAAGAGCAAGAATAAATAGTTCAGTCTACCCCTTCCCTACACCTTGTGACATAAAACTATGTACAGACAAGACTAGCACAGAATACTTGAGTGTATTCACTACTATGCTTGAAACCATAAGCACCAGATTGAGCAGGAACAAAACTAATGTTACTACCTCCTCTAACTTTTTTTTTTTTGGTTGTTGTTTGGTGCTTTTTTGTTGTGTTTTTTTTTTGTTGTTGTTAGGTTTTTTTTGTTTTCTTTTGTCTTTTTCTCCTAAATTAAAAACATTCTTCTCTGGAAGCATAAGTCTGTACTGTTCAGCACCAACACAGCAGATAACAGAACTTCTAAAGCCAGTGAGGTAACAATATTTTGGACAGCAGTACAGCTTTAGCTATAATTTGAATAGTAAAGTATACATGTTCCAAAATAAGTCACAAACCTTCTGTATTCTTTTCATAGAATAGAGACAAAGACAAAATTGCCCCTAGAACTCTTCAACTTCACACTACACAAGAAAAATTTCTTTAAGATTTTTACAAAAAAACCCTCTATATTCAGTCTTGGAAAAGCTCAGTTAATGCATTTTTAATATACCAATGTAGATTAAACTGTTATTAGGAGGAAATTTGCATTTCACCCTTACCTGCATATTCATAAAACCATTCTAAGCATCTCTTACTTGAAAAGACTTCTTCCTCTGCTTTTATTCTAGTCGAATCATATTTTCTATACATACTTAAAAAAAGAAAGAGAAACAAGTAATTAATTCATCAATTTTTTAAAAGCAGTCTTTTAGTCAACAGCCACTGCAAGCAGCAATGGATTTCCTTTCATGAACCAGTTTATCCAACACTGTCCTCATATCCAGTCATTTGAGACACTGCTTAACAGAGTAAGGATCACTGAACCTAAATACTGTTTGCTCAGTCTGTCACACTCCAGCTGATTCGTAATCGTTATCCATGCACATGAACCTTCCTTACAACAAATACAGACTAGCTCAGATTCAACCCCAAACTGCTCTATATAAGGCCAGGCAAGACTTGTGCATGCCATTAGTTACCACAATCAACTGATGTGCCACAACTTGGCTGTGGGTCTAAACCCAGAGTAATTCCATGTCACAGTCCACAGTCTACCTGTAGGCACACATGTACCCTGTGCACTCTGAATTTTAAGGAGAGCTGCACATACTCTTTCTGACTCCTCAAAAATACTATAAAAAGCATAAAGGCCAAAACAGACATGACCCACACTTACATTATTCTAAAGCCAGTAAGTTGGTAGCACAAAAGAACAACAGAGAACAGGTTACAGGTCCTCACTGACAATAACTCAAGGAACCTCATTCATCATAGGGTAAACAGTTATCTGAACAGCTAGATCCATAGAGCCCCTTCCACCCAGAGATGACCGGTAAAGTAACATATTCCCCTTCAACAAGAAGCATAAGGAATTTTAACTACATTCAGGAAACAACACTGAAGTACTAAATCTCCTGAATGTATTATCTGAAACACCTAAAGCATGTAAGGCATAGCAGAAGTTGAGGAGTTACTCCACCCTGTTTAGACTTTCCTGAAACAGAGATAGTATCATTTGTGCCTATTAGAGGAAAGAAATACAGCAGTCCAAGTAGTTGTTCACTGCTGCATATGCATTCTCTGATACATTTCCACCACTCTGCAGTTGGACTCATAAAGGCTGAAAAGAGTCAAGCAACAAATCGCTTAGACTAGAGGAGGTAGCCAAAACCAGCTCTGTAAGTGTTCCAGGAGTGCAGCTCTTCCTCCTATGGTGTCAAGCCCTGATGGGGGAGGACAATAAAGTGGATAATTGGTTCAAGGAGAATTCTGAAACAACTTGATGAAATTAATTTGGAGTTGATTTCATCATCATATTGTCCTTCTAGAAAGACATGTAAAAGGTGTCTATACTTACGAGCTTAGAGTACACTGATCCTACTATCCTCTGCTTAGCTTGGCTATCAGCTATGAGGAACTGTAACTAGAAGCTAAGAGCACACAGATCATTCTGGCAGTAATTCAAAGAACTATTTCATGTTTATTATCACAGTTCCTTTCAATCAACTAACCATTAGGAAAGTAATACTAGTCAGAGCAAAATGATAAATCACTAATTGGAATACAAACAAAAATGACACTCTCAAGAAATTTCAAGATGGAAAGAAAAATTAACACTGTACTGAAACACACTGATCTGCAACAAAGTGAAACACTGCAGAAAAATGCCAGCCATACATGTCTCAGAAACACTTATTCATATACCCACAATTTGTAGGGTGGGTTTTCTTCATTTTCATTTTGAAAACACTTTTTTCTATTTTAATTACTTTGTATAAACCTTACTGCAGTTGCAAAGAAACAGGCTGACAGCACTGCCTAGTAAGAAAACAACTAAACCCAAAGGTGTGAGTCTGAATTGGAACAATTTTATTAAAAAAGAAAAAAAAGTCTGGTAACTTAACATTCTCATACTTGCCAAACAAACTGTGATTATCAAAGACCTATCTGATATTTTTTTAGCCTATTCTGAATTCAGAGGAATCAAAAAAAAGTCTTGACACAAAGAAAGGAGGCATTCTGCCACTTTGGCAAAAGTCTAATTATTCAGTATCCCCTTTTTTGTAGCAAACAAACATGACAAACACCAACTGGAATATCAAGTGGAAAACTGACTGTAGCAGGAGCTACTCTACATCTTTACTCTATTCTATTTATTCAAGAAGTCTGTAAGAGCACTGCTGGGACCTAGGACACGCAAAGCTAATGTGTTTCCCAAAGACAGACATTCATCACAAGACTCAATGTTTTTTTCTTACACAGGGATAACTAAGTCCCTTGCCCTGCTTATTCGTGTAATTCAACAATACATCAGTCTGTGAACAGTGGATTTGGAAAGGAACCCTCAAGAAGCGAATTTATTGACAGAGCTCTAGGTCACCCAGGTATTTCAGAAAAGGACTTCCTGCATCTACAAGTGGCAGAGCTAAATACTGTAGCCTGAACCAAGACACCTGCACCAGCAGTGTGTGTAACAGGAGCAGTGAATGAGAACAGAAAAAAACAGCCCTTTTTATATATTCACTGCATCTACGCATAGCAAGTTTTTATAGGACTGATATAGGACTGGCAAGTAACTCCAAGCAAAATGTCCTGGACCCAAACTTACCAGTGTTCAAAAAGCTCAGTATATGACCACTGGAGTTTGATTTTTGAGAAACCAGAACTGATTACAGGTCTTCCAACCTGTGCTGGTAAGAGAAATTATTTCACAGATTCAGAAAGAATATAATCTTGAGCTATCTCAGTCTCTTCTACCAGCTAATTATCCAGACACTCATTAAGAGTACAAGTACACCATATCGCATTTGTAATGAAAACAGACTATGCATGGCCAGAAGTATAAAACCACGCAACAAAAATGGCTGGGTGAATCTCAGATGCCTTTCTCTCAACCCAAAGGAACTAACAGCAGATCACGTATTCTGCAAGACAAGGATCACTTGAAAAGGAATACAACAGAAACAAGTAATACCAATGCAACAGAAACAAGTAATACCAATGCAGCCATGGAATCGGTGATTTCTCATGTATAAAGATGAAGCCTGTTCTCTCCCTGCTAACTCTAAACACCAAATTAATTTATCCCCCCAGTCTAGGCAAACCAGCTAGTTCTGTTAGCAAAAGACTCCTAATCCCTGAAGTGCTTGGTGAAGCAAGATGAGCAGGGAGATACAAGTAAGTAGACAAGTATCTGAGATTACAACCTAGGACAACCTGATTCAATTATCACAGTGAGCCCAACCTGGCAGCACAGGGTAAAGGTAATTCCAAAGACTGTCCCCTCTGAACTATCATTAATACAGACTTGATTGTCTCAAGAACCATATGTGCAGAGGAGAAAAACATAAACTGCCAGAGACATCTGGCATCCATTTTGTATCTTAGAATATTACTCATATCTTTGGAATTTCTCTGTACATACTGTAAAATGATGTGCCTTGTCTTCGTGCTAAGGACAGTGTCTCTTGCTATGCAGATAACTACAGACTGCTAGCGTGCACAGGGTAGATACCAGAATAATCTGGGGCACCAAACATCTACTGAATAGATCCAAGTTTCAAACAGCAAGTCATCAACATCTCACAGCTTCCTCAAGATGACCAGCACCAGTACCTTCAAATAGATGCACAACCACTATGCTGAGCATGTTACAGTTTGGTAATTTGCTTATAAATTGATGGTCCATAAGAGGAACCTGCAGAGTTTCAGTCACACACCAAAAGTGAAAGAACATACTGCTTAGAGTCTAGAGGAGAAAAAAAAAAAGGGATAGGGGGAGGGAAGTAAAAACCCCACAGACAGTTTCCATAAAGAAAGGGCCAATGAGTATACCTGGTACTTTTGGTACCAGAATTTGTACCACTGTCAGGCAATGATGACACTGGAACAGGATTGCTAAAGGGTATTTTATCCATCATCAGAGCTAGCAAGGTGCGTGCACAGCTTTTTCCCAGAATGTCTGCTATACCTATTATCACTGGACAACAATGAACTTGGGAGCCTTTGCATTTAGAGTTACCTTGCACTTCTGAACCCTGACATGCTGCCCATCAGGAACAGCAAGGAAAAAAAAAATTACCTATGGGCAAAGAGTATGAATTTGTGTCCCAGATAAGACACAAATGCAGGTACAATGACTCAGAAAAACCTCCGCTTGAAAAATAGTAGTTATTATTTTTATTGCATGACACTGTCAGTGTCAGGACAGTGACAGCAGACTTCAAAAAATGTTTCTTTGTATGATAACCAATATCCCCTTAAGGAGCATTTAGCTCTTTCTTTTTTATTATCTAACAGCCATTTACCAACTAGAGAGAGGAAAGAATGTGGGACAGGGCAGGGAAAAAGCATTACGAGATTAACCTGCCTAAATTTTATAGAAGTGATATCGACTACTTAACCACATTTAGATGAAGCTATTTTCACAGAAATGTTTGCATCTCCATTATCACGTAATAGCTGACTCATAACACCCATTTTTCAAACTTAACTTTGAAATATTCTTATGAGCTAGGAAATTGTAGGTTCTAATTGGAAGTTCTACAGGAAGATATGAACAAACTAATTAAAAAAATGGGTGTCTAGGCCTTTCACATTTCTTTAAATACACAATTATCCATATCTTTTACAGATTATTTTCCTCCATTTGTAACTGATTTGGTGGGAAAGCAAAAGCATGAAAATTCCATCCCACCACTATGGGGTGACTAGGCAAGCCATTGTAAGAGTACATGGTCATTGCCAGCAAAAAGAACAAGGTCACAGTAGTTCTCTTCAGCCTATTGCAGGCTTCAAAACTGGGTATCTAACCCTGTTCTGAGCATGCTTCAGCTGTACTGGAATTTGTTTGAGCTCCACCTAACACAGCAACAACTCTGGGCTGTGTGGCTCCAAAATATTCAAACTGAGATCAGTGAAAGCATGGAGTTCAGGTCACACAAAACATTCTCTTGATTGTGGAAGCCCCTAATAGCTCATTTGGGGTGGGGGGGTGGGGTGGGGGGGTGGTGGGAAAGAGGTACAATTTATTATGGTAAGTCAAAAGTTAACCCCTCATGATTTACAGCCTACTCATTTCAGATGGTGCTTACCAAATGAAAACATTAAGAAAATTACCAACAGCAGCTTTGTTTCTATGCAACCAAAACTTATTCAAAACCTTTACCTCATTTTGCTTGAGCTTCAAACTGAGTAACTAATTGCTTTCAGATTATATTTTGAAAGATGCAAACTTTTGATTGAAGATGCCCTCTATTACTTCCATTAATTTTATTTAGTAATTTAAAGTTTTGGCTGAGAATTTTCATCAGTGCAGCACAATTAAAGTATTTATATAAAGCCTTACCTAACCATTCAGAATTAAGATTTTAGCAATAGTTTCATAAATACTGTAGTAGAAAAAAGGGAGGGTAGGGGGAACAGAGATGTTCTGTGATTTGCAAGGCATGACAGACTGTCTAAAGCAACCCTCAGGACAAATTTACTTGACTGGTAAGTTTTATGAATGACTATGTCTTATCTCTCCTTATTTAAAGGCTTACAATCGTCTCTAAACTTTAAAATTAATGTCCGGAACTTCCATCAGGCTTACTTAAGGAGCAGTATGTATTACAGCATAGATGCTGATAGTCACATGTCCAGTTTAAGTTTCTTCAGAACTGTAAATTCGCTGAAAAGGTGTAGAAATGGGGAAAATTATACCTGTGTGTGCTTGAAAATCTCCGATTCAGGGAATAAGGTCTAGATAACTATGACACAGGCTGTCTGCAGGGAGCAGGACCAAGCCAGTCAGTAAACAACAGAACAAAAAAATATCTCGGCACTAAAGGTTTTGAAATCCTCCAAGGTTAGTACACTCTCATTTTACTTTCTCATGTTAATAATAGTGTGGTGACTGTGTTTTCAAAATTTATGGGTTTTGACTATAGAGTATGAAGCGTATTACTCAATGAAGAAAATCTATTTTTCATGTTAATAGGCCCCTATGCGGTCCATACACACATCCAGGACAAATTACACTCTAGATCTAATTTCTTGAAAACATAACTTTCAGGGAAGCAGATAAATTTTCCTAGTTTTCATCCTTCTAAGGTCCAAAAATCCATTACTATAAGATTTTTGCCCTCTGCATGATTCTGGAATAAGGAATAGAGTTATTTTTCAAATGAGACTATCAGAACGAAGAAAAGACATTATGTTACACATCTCATTTTTCCCTAAAGAAAAAGCCAATATTTGGGTAGAGATTGTGTAACAGATACACAGCATTAGATAATTATACAGTGAGGACTATATTCTTACCTAGCAAGTATCTTTACATGAACCTTATTTTAGCTGTCCTATGACCTCTAACACAGTGATGGAAGAGCAATGTACAGAAAAATGTATTTTTAGCTCCAATTTGAGAATACCCTATACTGTGTGAGAGCTGTCAGTACAATAAAGTCAAGATTGTGATACTGAGAGGAAAATACAAACCAAGTCTTCATGTTCTGGTGAGTGTGTGCTAGACTGTTTACTTCCAATAGCTGTTCTGTAAGACAGGGTAAATCTTACTGTGATCCAGAAATAAATACACTGAGTTCTTTTCATTATACATCATCTGGTATAAAAATTCCCTCCCACTGAAACACTGTGTTCAAGGTGACATTATGAACGTTAATTAACAAAATTCAAGCTCTTATTATGTAAGGGTGGGATGCTAAAGAACACGTTTGGAATCTTTGTTTTCCATAATCAGCCTTTGCATGAGATCAGCATTTCCAAGTAACTTCACAAACAACTAGATTTGTTCCGATAAATGTTTTTTCTCAATAGCCAGTCTCATTATTCCACTAACCCTTCCAAGATGAGGCTGAATCCCTAACAGTCTGGAACTGAGGGTGTAGGCTATTACAAGCTCCCTGGTATCACATATGTTTAAATTTATGAGTTTAAGAGCCTTTAGAAATCATCTTCTTTTTCAGCACAGAGCCCTGCTGAAATAAACTTTCTGGAATTAATACATATCTCAAAAATATTACTACCATAGTTAAAAGAGATTATAGGAACACACCACAAATAGTGAAGACGGAAAATATCACCCAACAAAACTACCCATGTAAGGATTAAAAAAATTAATTTCCTTTGTATGAACAAACTAGGAGGAATCATGAACATTTGGTCTCTGCTGTCTGTGATAACACAGTTAATGATGACATTCCTTTGATAATCTTCACACTACCGCTTAACATTTCTCACTGAAAGCAACCAGGAGACACACAATTACTGCATCTATTTGTTAACATTGCCCCTGTAAGTTTGCAACTGTAACTGAGAAACATACGAAACATCCTTCCATCAGCATTTGAAGTGACAAATCATCTCTGTTAGGAAATATAGTCCCTTCTGGAGAGCACACGTATTTTTTCCATTGAAAGCAGGCATTCAAGAACAGACACTGACTACCTTTTTTGCTTAATGCAGAATCCACACAGGCTAATGTCCCTTGAATGCTTATGCTAAGTTACTAGTATGCAACTTCTAGGAAGTCTACCTCTAAAACAGAAGCAGTGATAAAGAACTGGGCCTAGAAGCCCCTTATTCCATAAGCTGGCACTGCACTACCCATACTGCTGTTATTGTACACAGCATTCTCTGCATACAATGGAAGAGGAAATGGCTTTGCAAATAACTAGGTCTGCTATAGCACACTGCTGTAGGTGTTCCTGATTTCAGATTGGTTTCTGTTTGACAAACTGAGATGCTTGACCTCCAAAGACTAAATACGATAGGCATGAGTTCTGCCTGACAAACAAGCATGGAAGCAGAAGACAGCTTGCTCTTTGTCTAACTTGTTCACAGGTTACAGGGGCATAAACCAAATTTGAAGAAATCCTTCCTTCAAATAAAAAGAGAGCTCCAAAACTGAGCTGAATGTTCAGCACATGATTTCATATCACGATTCATGCTGAAATAAAAACTGTTTTCTTGAAGACCAAAATAGAATAAACTTATCCACTGGGAAGCAGAGAAAGCCTTAAAACCTTTAGAAGTTAAGAAGGAAGACAAATAAAAATTGGAACCACATCAGAGAAGGATATTCCCCTGTGGCCCATGACTGACAGATCTGGTTTCACCTCCACTTCTAAAAGCAGATTGAGGTATTCCTTTTAATAAAACCTTACGTGGCAGTAGAATGAAGACTAGATCCATTGGTTATAAACTGAAAGGCAGATAAAAAAAAATCCTTCAAATTATGCCTTCAAAAAGCTCTTAAAAATAATCATATATATACACACTACTGACAGACTAAGATATCAGTTTCTCATAATCTTCTTATTTGAATTACACAAATCAGTATCTATTACATGCAGACAACCTTACTTTCTAGGGGGTTTGGGTTGCTTTACCATCAGTGTCTTGGCAAAGGGAGGTAGAGTTAAATTTCATGAATCTCCCTCCTTAAGATTCTAGAAACATTCTGTCCTCGCTTCACTTCCATATTATAAACATACCTTTGAATACGCTGTAATGTCCTCTATCAACTATTTAGCTTTTGTATTTTATTATTTCTGAAAAGCAACAAAAAATATTAAGAACATGTACTGCTTTTTTGTTCTTGCTAGTGTTACATATGCAATGAAAGGGAGAGTTGAAATCTCTTTCTTCTGCATCAACAGATAATTCAATAAATTCCAGTGCAACTACAGTTCTGCAACCCTATTAAACACAATAGAGTTAGAGAGGCATAACCAAAGGCTTAATTTGGCTACCAGCATTTTTCTTACTCATGCTAGAGAATAAAAAAGAAAACAACCAGCCTGATTCTCAGGCTGACAGGAAAGAAACGCATCTTTTTACCTTCCTGAAGATACTTGTTATGGAAGCATGTGTTTTCTGAGTCACTGGTGATAAATTAACGTTATAGAGCTCAAATCTAATGACTGATGCAGTGGCAACCAAACTTTCTGGACGTATACATCACTTCTCAACATCAGGACAGCCCGGCACCTATCATGCCACATCGTACCTGTATTCCCACAAGTTCCAAATTTAGTGCACATAAATAGCAACTATCTTGCATACAAGGAGCACGTTTGATGAGGCTGACTGAACCTACATATACTGAAAAAAAATCAACACTTGCAAAAGTCTCAGCTATGCAACACCTATGCCAAAAGAATACACTGCTCATGCACACAGTTATAACCCACTTGTGCTTCTGTTGCCCAGAGGGAAGCTGAGTGGCACCGCCTCAATCACCACTCCACCACTGGCTATCACCTTGCCTGGGCAATCTTCACCTTTCCCTTACATGATCAGCATCAAATCACAACATGACAAAGTGAGACTAGCAAGACTTCAAGTAACAGCTGAGTAGGCTACAGCTACATTCACTTTTCTGACAGGCTGTAGATTGAGAATGCACAATCCAGATCTTACGCATGTGTACAGGAATGTATCACTGTATCTCTTAGAAGTTGTTTGTGAACAAACAAGTACGTCTATTTTGACAGCTGGCAAACTAGAACAAGAAGTTCCCTACAAGCTTCTTGGATGACTAGAAAAAGGCGAGATGCAAACTGAACCTAGATGTGCTTATCAATATCCCACAGTTCAATAACAGGCTATGGTTCCACATTGAGAAACCAAGCAAATTTGAATACCGTTTCCATCAGTATGTAAAAACATAATCATATCAGCTATTCAACTTTAGTTATTCCATCAGTCTTAGCTCACGGTAAGATGACATACCCATCATGTCTACTTTTCTTAGCAGATAAATCATCTCCTGCTGCAGGTCTCCTCTTTTTCCTTGGAGGCATCACTTTACTAAAGCAGTCTGATGAACTGCAAGACCGGAGACTTCCTACAGAGGGAATTAAAAACACCAGTACAAGAAATGAAACTGTTGCAGACCAGTTAAACTGTGTCCACTAATAGGCATATTACAAAGGGAAAGGAAGGGAGGAAGTTAGTGGATTTAAAAATTACAGAAGAAATGGTCTCCTTTCAATAAGCAAAATTCGTCTCACTTTTACATGGTGTGCTATGACCAGATTTCAGTTAAGGCCAAAAGTACTATACCAAAACATACAGTAGTGCTCGTGCTACTTCAGTCTAACAAAAGGCAAGAACTGATACTATCCTGAAGTATTTAAGTTCTCAAAAAGGCATCCTTATTTCTAGTCATTTATTCAAATCAGAACTTCTGAGACTTTTTCAAATACAAATGTGACTCAAAAACTAGAGCACCTACCTCTAGAAAACAGAACCTTTTTATTTTTAAGCCACAAGTTTTTCATGATGCAGAGAACAAGGGGTAGGAAAGGTTTTGTTTGGTCATTCTTTGGGGTTTGATTTCTTTGTTGTTGGTGGTTTTGTGCTTTGTTTTGGGTTTTTGTTGAGTGGGGGGGCCTCGGGGGAAGAGACATTCAGCAGCCACTAGGGATATAAGTAAGTGGCTGGCTGTATCATTTGGACTGGATAGTTCCCAGAGAATTAAGGTCTCCAAGCAGGGAACAGCCAATTCAAGACACTGATAACAGTCAAGTGGCAGTCTTTCCCTCCCCTTCTCTCTGCTACATACTCCTATGTCTCTGGTGCCTCTTCCGTGTGCCAATCCAGCTCACCAAACCTGTAGATAATTAACCCAAGCAAAAAAGAATAACAACTTTCTGTACATTAGCACAAGAAAGAGCACAGGACCAGCCCTTCTGACCACAGCAAGTCGTTAAATTGCCTTTGCTGTCTCATGAAAACAGTAGGCTAACACTCCAGGCAAAATTCTGTCCTACTTTCATATACTGAAGACCACATGAACACCTGAGAAAGGTGTATGTAAGAGCAGCTCAAAGAGCTATCAAAGCTCTAAATGTTACACAGAGAATTTTAAAAGGAAAGGAAGAGAGAGGTGAGGTATAAAAATCCAGACACAAAGCAATGCCAAAGAAACCTGCGAGAAAATATGAAGAACTCCAGCATGCCTGCGCTACCTTCTCTTAGCCTCAGCAGCATCCAGGTTTAGCTATGCTTTATTAAAATGCCCACAAAATCTTTTATTTTAAATCACAGCACAGAAGCAAGCAATGAAACTTTGACTACTTTTTGACACCAAGGGAGTAGACTGAAATCAGAGGCCCAATTCCCAACAAATACTAACAGCAATCTTTTGCTTACCTATTCTTCGTATCTTTGAAAGTCTCTCTCCTGTTATAGGAGAAACACATGTAAGGACCTTACACAGCCTCACAGGCTTTGCTACACGTACTTTATTTTAAACATGCACTGAAACTATGCATATGAAAGGATGGATTTTTCTAGTATTAGGGAAGATGATCAAACCAGTTTTTACATCAAGAGGAACTAATTTGGATTCAAGTAATAAAGCTTTTACACTTAGTATGCCTTCTTCGGTCTCACCTTTGTATTCATTTCTATTAAGAAAAGTAATCTCTCTAGTTCAAGAAACATTTTTTCCAATTCCAAAGTTCTTCCTATATTTCATTTATCTATTTATTTATTTATTTACCCTGAAGATCCCTCACCCCAGCATCCTCCCGGGAAAGTATGGCCATACCTACACTACCTTCTAGAAACAAAATTTTATGAGTATTGTAAATTCAAATTATAATTTAAATAGTTATCAAAAAATTTCCAAACATTTTATTCCCTAAACTATTATCACATGAAAAATCATAATGGCTGTGTCAGAAGAATATACTTCTAGAAGCACTGTCCAGAATACCTTACAAAAGGAAATTAACACTACTTATCATCTTCTCACCAATATCAGATATATTTGAAACAGGTAAGCCAGAGGCCATCAAAAACTCACAGTATGCCCAATGCATTTTACTACCCAGATTAAAGAAACTAAGGAACCTGACCTGCTGAATGTCACTTGTTCCATCCGACTATGCCTGCAAATTAATGATACCGCGAAACCATATTCCTGTAAGTTATTGAAGGTGTGATGCTTCGTGGCTTTTTAGATCAAGTTTTTGAATACTCTGCCAGTAAGTATTTTTTGAAAACCTACACGAACTAAAAACACTTAAAATGACAACAGAACTTAACAAATGGCTAGAGACAGCCAACAGACTCAGACACACACTAAATTTAATAAATGAAAACGTGCTAATGAACACCTTGCTTTGGAAAATATGTACGTACTTGAGTACAACCTACAGCTACGTCATTCCTCTGAGAGCAATTTGATAATTTTTAAATATCTTCCTATTTAAAAAAAAAAAAAAAAATTCTATTCGTGATGGCCACAGGCACTGGATGCTGGTAAAATGCAAGAGAAACCACCAACCCCCCCACAGGGTTTGTCCAGTTTACAAAATCATATAATGGCTTGGATTGGAAGGGACCTTAAACATTATCTAGTTCCAACCCCCCTGCCATAGGGGGTTATTTACTGGTTATTTGATTGGGAAAAGAAATATGCAAGGCCTCTGTCAAAAGAGAAGCATAGGAAAAGATGAAAATAAAATAAACAGTTATAGAAAAGGAAAATAATCTCATCAGATCTGCAACCCCATACAAACCAAAGAATTTAACCCAAGAATTCCTGCTTGAAGTTTTTTCCTCATTAAATAAGACATTTTTAGGAAGATTTCTTTAACTTGTTTTAAAGGCTTAAACTGCTAATAGAATTCAACATAACCCAATTTCTCCAATGACTCATATGAAAAACTTGTACCCTTTCCTGGTTTTAATGTATCTTGCTGCAGCTCTCAAACTGACAGAAAAAGGAAGAAAAGAGATAGCTCAAAAGTTGGTAAGTGGCTATTAAATGCAGGTGTACACTCCCCTCACACACAAACACACACACAGACATTAGGTGGACAAACATATTGTACATGCTGTCAGAGATTTAATATCTTAATAACTGATATTTGGACTAAGTCTTCACTAAGTTTTAACTGCTGAATGATCTCCAAACTACTAAAAAACACAGCATGTTATTTTAAAAATATTTCCTTTTATTCCTAGAATCAGTGCATTGAATTTAAAGGGCAGTTACAGTTTCCCTGTAACAAACTCTGAAAGTTAAACCAGCAGAATATTTCTCTTATTTCCATCTAAAGCTAAAAACTATCAGAGTTTGTTGTTTTTTTGTTTAAATTCTTGCAATTTCTTATTTTACACTATATCTCACTAAGTAGCATCAATATTAACCTTTCCTATAGAGAGATTTCTAATTCTAAATGTATTTTCTAGATCTAACCTTTCACAACTAATTTAGCTTCTCAAAGGTCTGATCATCTGCAAACGAACATGCAGCTCCCTCTGACTTCATGCAAAGTTTGACAGGAACTTTACTTACCGAGTGCAGCTTCTCTGATGTGATTATCTTCAAAGTTTCTTACTCCTGGGTCTCAACTCAAGATTGGCAGAACCCTCCTAGTTCCCACTGATTTTTTTGACACTTGAAGCTAGCATTTGCAAGGTAGAGCCTCCAAATGGCTGCTGAATAGGCCACCATCAGCCAAAAGCCTGCCGAGTATAAATGTTGTTTGCCAAACGTTTTATTCAATACTTCCAAATTTGCAGGAGACAAAGCTACCAAAGGGAATTATCAACTCAAGAGCTAAAATTCACCCTAAGAAATTTAAAACAGCATGCAAGATAATCACCACAAGGCAGGGACACTCCTAGAATAGCAACAAAACCAGAACAAACAAAAAAGAAAAAACAGAAGTCAATAAATAAGAATTCCACAAGCTCTGTCCCTACAGAAGTGATTTACAGACATGTAATTTTCACCTTCTCTCTAGATAATGCCCATGAATAATCCTGCTCTTCTGATGCTTAAGTAGAGGGATATTTCAAAGGAAAAATAATTAGAAACTATGAATGCTGAAGCAATTGTAAAGATATAGCTGCTCACTTAATGATGCAACAAGACCACCACAAGTACAGTTAACAATCATCATTTTTCAGATACAAGAGGAGAAAACTAAGATACTCATCAAAGCACCAAACAGCTTGCAATCTTGTAAAAGGAAAAATCATCTTCTCTATCTTGAATTCCACACTACTGAATTGCTTTGGACTCAAAAGGGTTTTCTTCTCTAAAACAACAAAAAATAGTAGAGGCAAAAGTAATTACACACACACGCACACGCACGCTTCAAGAACAGCAATGAAGCCTTGTTTTTGCTGAAGACATTACCTTGTTCTTTTAAACAAGCCAGGTGACAACAAGAAGTGTACTTTTAAAGACATTTTAGTCTGGATAGGTAAGTCAGAATTTAATAACCAAATCATGATTTTAAGCTATTAACAAGTTACTAGATTTGTGCTTATAACAAAAAAAAAATATTATTTCAAATTCTAGAGAGAGTTTTCCAAGCTAATGCATATACATAGTAGAAGAAAAAGGAATTGTTTACAGAATCTGAATGCTTATTTTTCTTATCCCTGCAAACAGGGGAAAAGGCAAAAGCCCGTGATACATTTACAACCTACTTCACCTACTTCCTACTTCATTTTTCAAATATTTATGCACACTGAATGCTAACACATTTTATGAGACTGTAATCGTTACAGGTGACTGGGCTTTTCAAGTGAGCTCCCAAATCACTGAAGGAATTCTGAAACTGCCAACCTCTAGCTCTTAAGATATTTAGGATCTGTTTCCAGAAAATAAATTTGGCTAATACTTAGAAAATATATATTTTGCTTAAAGTAATTTAGATGTCCAGTATATTTAGTTAGCTCAGAAACAACTACTTTGAAATAAATGTAATATGCACTAAAGCTCATTATAAATATAAAGCTAAAATTGAAATACTCAGGTTTTTTTAAATAGCTCTTAGAAATCTCAACCAAATGCAGATATGCATTAAGTTACCCCAAAAGCAGGGCCCACAATGTAATAACATTAATCAGGGTAGTTATGTCAGAAAACCATGAGTGTCAGTATAAAGCAGTTTATCAGAACCAGTGACATGCTCAAACACCTTCCAACAGAGATAAAGAGCGCTCTGAGGCTAATTTCTTATACTGACCTTTATGGCAGAAGTGCTAGGCAAGAGATAAGACCAATTCTGACTACCTTAACACTTACTGATTGATTTAGTGACAAAAGGGTACTACCTCAATGCTTCACAACAGCTTTTTGTGATTAAAAGTAAACAAAGATTATGGAATGTACTTTCACACATGAAATCAGTGTGCATCTGTGTTTAGTTAGAGCACCTGGAGCACAGAGAGGAAAATTCCAAGTCTCTACAAGGAAATGGGAAAAGACAACAGTTCTAACATATAGACAATAAAATCTCTGACTGTCTTGGACTACCTGCCTTACCCTCTTTTGCAGAGGTTTTTAGTTTATATGATCAGCTAATTTCAAGTATCAAATCACTAATCACACTGATAGAAAATAGATAGAAGCATTTTGTAGCTAGGGTAAGATAGTTCAACTAAAGTCATCTGTCACAGTATGAAGGAGAGTACATAAGCCCTAAGTGAGCTATGTCCAATCCCAAACAATGCAGTCCTATGCATCTCATACTGCTCTAGACTAAGTGTGCTAGATTTGTAAGTGTGTCCCAGAAATCTCCAGGAGAAGCTGACAGCTCTCTCTGATTTCTTAAGCACCCAAGGTAACATCAGCAAACATAGTCCGCACCTCAGAATAGAGAAAAACTTTGAGACAGATGGTAGAATAGATATGGTCAGTTTTAAAGAACAGTTATGCTGAGTGATCAGGGCTTGAAGCCAGTAAGTTATTTTCCTTCCTTCTTAGGTATCACGCCTAAAACACAGAAAGGAAGGAAGAAAAAGAAATCAAGGAAGATGCCAGCTCCTAAGTAACAAGCTGAGGAGGAGGTAACAAATGTTGCAAGACATCAAGTCACAAAGCACAAATGTTGATGAGTCAAGAATGGCAGCAAGCTAGTACCAGGCACCCGAGATGAAGGCCTTGAAAAATTATGACATTTTATTGAACAGAAAACAGATCTGGGCTAAAAAATAGCCCTTAGACAATGATTGAAAATCTGCCCAAGAAACAGAAACAACCTGCATCAAAACCACTCAAAAAAAAAAGCTGGGTTGTTTGGAGCACAGCATTTAAACTCGGTCACAGGCATCGCAACAGTCATAAGAGGTCTCGATACCGCCCTGTTCTCACTAATGCTCTTTCAAGAGTCAAAACACTGCAAGAACATGGATATTCTGCTAATCTAATGGTTTGAGTCCAAGGAGTGAGAGAAATTTTTCATGAAGTCTTCTAAAATATTTACACTAAGAAATTGTAAAACAATAGATGCTGCTGACACCCGTGCAAGCCCTTCACAACTGGATAAATTAAAAACATGACCATCTATTTTGAAGAAAACTTTAAAAAATCCTGGCACTTGTTTCTAAAACTCCTTTAGCTTCCTAAATACAATATTCAATGATGTTAGAGACAAATCTTTGAAGAAGCATGTTTAAATTGTTTCAATCTATTTCTACTGCATCCCTATTAAATACCTGTCTGGTGATCGTCTTGACCAGCGTCCTCTGTCAGATTCTGCAAGAGAATAGGAATGATACAGTTAAACAAGATGGTGATCTTCATCGTCCAGTTATGTTTTTAACCTTTACTTGATATTAGTATTAATCTTAATTACTTAAGGAGCATCTAGCTAAGACTGTAGAGCTTTGTGTTTTCAGTTCATATTTATCTAGAAAGTTCAAAGATAATGTTTAAATAATTTGAAACTTTATCAAAAACATATCAAACTGTTTCAAGAGTGGAAATAACCATTAATTGGATGGTGAATTTTGCATTGTTATACTGAACAATTCCATTAATAAATGCAGCATCAGAAAGACTGAATTTACCATTTACCACATAAATGGCTTTGCTTAAGGATAAACATGCATATGTTAAAGAAAACTGATTAAAAACCAACTGAAATCTTGGAAATTAGTTACCCCCTTTTTTAGGCATTCTTTTCCACTAAATTTGCAATGTACAAACAGAAGCCATATCAGCATTTCCAGCTATGCTTGCAATAAACAAATGTAAATGCACGGCAAACAAGCAAGGACAGTGTTCAAAAAAATCTTGTTTCACTCTCTGCATGGTTGTAAGAGGACTGGTTGCTCATTCAATATGTTTTCCGGAAGAACTGTAAGAAATTGGATAACAATGATGATTACCATCATTTGATATATCTAGGAAAGCTTCTTCTATTAAGACATCATCTAAATCCAGTGTTGCAGCAAACAGTGCCCAAACTCCACTCTGATCCCTAGAGTATAATTTGTCACTTTTTACTACTACTGCTTATCTCTTAACAGATTCAAACCCAACAGCCTCTCATACAAAAATGCAGTCACAGTTCTTAAAAGTGTAGTCAGTGATTTCAATCACCAAAAATTCTGGACTAAAGTCCTAGCTATTCTGGTTAGAGAAAATGGCAAGTCATTACCAGCCTATTGAGGGTGTGGTAAATCTTGTGAATATTTGCCAGTGTTGATAGGTGAGAATTCAGTTGAAAATCTAGAGGGGGAAAAACAAACAAAAACAAAAATTTTAAACTCTCTGGTTTCCAGTAGTAGCAACCAAAATTTTCTAATGTTCTGATCATTTAATAAAATCATCTCTACACTTTTTCAGCATCAACATTTTCAACACCAAGTGGAGTCAGTAAGTGAAATCTGCAAAAGATATCCTACATATGCAGTTTTCTTAAGGCATGGGTGACCCTCAGGAAAGCAGAACTAGAGCTAACTATAGCTAAATAAGAAATTCTGTTAAAAAAAAAAAAATTACATATTTACAACTTGTTTCCTTTGAACTGTGAATCATTGTAATTTCCATGCTACCCAGTCCTTGTTCCATCTATCCCAAAACCAAATTTAAGTACCATGTAACATCCTAAAATCATTGCTAAAAATGCTAGTGTTTAAAAAAGATAATTTTATTAATACACATGTACTTGCCTTTATACTAATTTCCTTGCAAAACTAAGTGACTATAATACATTTACACAGTTGAAATACATCTTTCGTGTAACAAACGAAGGGTCACAATACACCAGCTGTTAAGACCAGAGCCAATAAAACCAAAAATAAAATATTCTGACACTTCATGAAAGCAGCCATAGCATAGATGTTAACTTTGCTTCCATGCTCCAAAAATAAAACACTTCAGTTTGCTTCACTCACAAAAAAGCGACAAACTAATTTTTCTCTATTCTTTTAAATCCTCTACTTTTGCTAGAAATGTGTCAAGGACAAAACTGGAAAATAAGTAATTTACCAAAAAGATCAACTGCAATCCAGACAGGGAGCACGCAAACCAACAAGAATCTCAGTAGCTGGACACAGACCAGCTGACATGGATCAAAGATAGCCAACCACTATACAATATTTCCATTTAAATTAAAAGAAAATTAGCTACCCCACTCGAACTCGTGCACAAAACCACTCTAATTAGAGATATGTACTACAGGACAAGCAACGTTTTTCAAGCAAAATTCTTCCATATGTGAAAAGCTGTGTGTCTAGTGTCACCGTGCAGTTAATGCGTTAAAGCATTTCTACTATGAGACATTTAATTTGGCTTTGCCCATTAGTGGATACAAGATACAAATAAGGTCAAAAATGTAATTCCCACATTTCCATCCCACGCATTTCGAATTAATGCTCTCAAAATGCACTTAAGGTGACCCAGAATCTAAGGATAAACAAATCACCATTAAATATCAGATCCCCCAGTCAGTGAACCACACTGCTCTGAAGTTAAAAAGTGCATCTGAAAGAACTGCCTGCTGTAAGTGTACTTGTTACACACATTGTTAGGGAATTCTCGTCACAGTGGGTAAAAACAAATTCAAACTATACCTTTAGGAATCATACTTTTAATTTATTATGTTAGCTAGAGAGTATAATTTCACTAATTGGTATGTATTTCTTAATGTATTGTCCCCAATCCACCACCACAGCAATACGATTTCTGTAAGTCAGAAGTACCAAAAATGGAGTTTCCAAATCTAGATATACTTATCTATATGAAGTCAAAGACAATCCAAATCTTATCACGATATGATAGAAAGATCTTGTATGTTGAACAGGGTGCTAGATTTTTCCCTGCATTAAGTGCTCAGTAAAGTTCCATTTTTGCCAGTCAAGCAATACCATGCAGAACCATTCTGCAGAAAGCTAATCCTGAGTTTCTCAGCCAACTTTCAATTCAATGTTAAGGAATTGAAAAAAAAAAAAAGGGGGGGGGGTGCAGTGAGATGGAACATAAAAGACATTCTGAGAAGGGCAAGATTGAAAGGTAAGATTTATTTTGTTAACTGCCTAACCAGACTAAGCATTCTGGAATATGAATTTTGAAATTTCCCTTGTTGCTCAGCCTAAGATCTACAAAGCACATTAGTCTTTAGAGAAACCAGTTATACCTAGAGGAAACAAGCTAAGCAAGTATTTTATTCTAAGGTAATATTAAACAATAATTTGTAGATGGTACTCTTAAAAACAATAGAAAAATATTTTAAAATTAGGATTATGTATCTTGGGTATTGTCTTTGAAATAAAACATTCCTATGAACTTCAGAAATTTTAATTCATGCCAGTATGTTTCACACATCCACTGGAAATATTCTTACAATTTTAAGTTGTTACTTCAAAAATAGGTTACAAAATTATGATGGACTTCGAGGGGTTACACAAATATATTTTACAGCTCTTACACAACAAGAGTCACACCTTAGTTCACAAAGACTGGTATATGCATATGAATATGGAGGACCAGAGTCCAAAGTTTTCTCTCTTCCACAGAGAAAGCTTGCAAAGCAGGGATATTATCCAAGACTGAAAACAGGCTTCTTTTACAGTAACTGTTATAAAAGCATTTATGAGCAGCAGTCAATGAATTAAGAAGTTAAATTACAGCTCAGGACACCTTGCGAACTGGTCACAGTGTTTGCTATATCTATATTGCAAGGAAGATACACAAAGTATCCTATGCCATTGAGAAGGTGTATTTTGAAAAAAAAAATGTTTTTGAAGAAACAGAATCCAAAAAATACCTCCCATGTTCAAATAATACCATCTTGAAAACTAGTAAAGGGACAATGGTGTAGTCAACATGACAAGCAAGCGCTTCAACAGCTGGCAGCAAACATATGCTGCAGCAATATGCTCTCTCCCCTCCACTTCCAAAACTGCCACACTTGCTTATGCAGCCTCCGAGTTGTGCCTGCCTGCCTGACCCCCTAGGTCAGCCCACTACCCCAGGAACCTTATCTGCACAAGTTCTAAACACACAAACCCAGCCAGCTCAGTGATCCGAACCAGATCACCAAGGAGATGTAACACCACAGAAGCTGAGTTAGAGCAAGAAACAGGAAAGACCCTCCAAGTGCGAGCAAAATAGTCTTCTGTGGCAGCAGCAATGTGTAAATCAAACCAACTGTCCACCCCAGCCCCACTGTGAGAAGCTACACACTCGGCAGGTGGTTGTGGAAACTTTATACGGAGAAGCTATTTTTCACTGCATACAAGAGTCTGAAAGCACATGAATTGGTCTGAAAATATTTCGGGTTTTTTTTTCCTACAGAAAAAAATATTTTATAGCAAAGTACCACACAGCGTTCTGATCTGGGATCAGAGGTAGATGTGCTTGCTTCCTGTATGCTGAAATGTTTGCTAAGACTTTAAGAGGTGTACGTCAAACAAACGTACGTATTTTGTTGATTAAATTATTTTCCATGCAGATGTTAGCTCCTCTTTAGCAAGGACTGAAGCAACGGAAATTCCCAATAGTATTAAATACTTCGCAGTAATTCAGAAAGTAACAGCTAATGAAAAGAAAGAAAGAAAAAAAAAAAAATCTGAGTAAAATAATTGCAAATCCAGAATCTGGAAAGGAAATAAATACTAGAGCCAACCTTATACCATGGAATTTAAACCTTGTCTGCAGTTTATCATTAGCACTTCATGTGAAGTGTTAAAGTTTGGGTTAGTCAATTAGTCACAATCATATACAATTTAAAAGTAAAAAGCAAACGGTTTTAAAATAGCTTGTAAAATACAATAAATTAAGGTTTACACTATAGACCTGACAGTTATGGAGAGACAAAACAAACACCAGCTAGCTGGGCTTGCTTCCCTAACAAGCTAGACAAAAATCCTCCTACACCCCCCTCATTAAGACAAACAAAAAACCTGCTGTATCTTAAATATAAGCAAATTATACACAAGAACTGAACTTGAATACTCTAATTTCCTATCTGAAATGAAAAAGCTTTAAAAGGTCAGGTCCAATTTTTTGTTTGAAGGAACCACATGTTGCCAAACTATTCAAATAAAACCACAAATGAATATCTAACAAAAAAAAGAAAGCCCAAAAACTTAATTCTGCCTAGGCGTCTACTCACACATAGACACATACCTGCCTGAACAAAAACTTTTAACTTGGTTCCTGCTGCCAAAATTATCATTTTAGAGCTTGCACAAAACACAGCTACAGGGTGCACTACAATCTACTAGAAATCTAGTAAAAAAGTAACAATAGTACTAAAGCAAAACAGCAACTGACTCCAAGTTCCCTTTAAAATCTTCTAGATTCTTTTCCCGAGCACAGAATACCTATACAAAATCGCACAGTAACAGTAGAGCCAAAAATATTTATTCTAGACAGACATGCCACGTAAATGCTATAGATACAACTCTGTATTATAAGTTAAGTATGGAAATAGTCATAGTAATTTTTATTACTGCTAAAATATATCTGACTCAGTACAAATATTGTGGGTAATCTTCTGTAACCTTCTCAGAAAAAAATTAGATAGAAAACACATACTAGACAGATTCATTCCTGAAAATTAAAATGGAACATTTATGCTTTTACTTTTATTTAACTGGTTTCCTTGGTTTTAAATAAAAGAACTGGAGAAAATTTGTAGTAGTACTGGAAATAACAGTTCACAGTACTGTCTTCTTAATTAGTTTTAAATTATTCTTTTTTTGATAAGTAAAGTTTATTTAATCTATGACCTATACCATTTCATGTTCTGTAGTATACTTCCAGAATTATCCTAACAGTAAGACAATTTATACTGATTAATGAACTTAGACATTCAGATCTCAAACCTACACTTGGCGAAAGCCTTCAATACCTATGCTCAGGAAGCAGAATTTCTACATTCGTTATTAAATGCAGAAAACAAAAAAGTGCATCAGTTTTATTTTCATTTACATAAAAACAGCATAACACACCTAAAAACTGAGATTCCCAAACTGCAGTACAGCGCAGCTAGGAGCTGACGGCATTCCTGTCAAAAGACCGGATTAAGAATTCATTTCCAATGTGTCTGTAGCTGAACCTGGACAGGCAGTGACACCCTTTAGCAGGGGCAGCCTGCAGAAGAGACCTCTCTCCCAGTCCGTGATGTGAGAGCAAGCACGTGGGCACGGGGAAGCAGAGAAGAACAGGCCTGAAAAGCAGGGTCTCCCTCGATTTGGTAGAGTTGAACACAGGGCATGATTCAGAATGTAAGGCAAATCGAAGCGAATTCCAGCCTGGACAGTAAGGACATGCAATTAAACGGAAAGAGAAGGGGGATGATCCATCCCAGCTTGAGGAGCAACAGGACCCAGCCACTAGAGCTAAAGACATGGCACTGCAGCAGGACATTTCTCTGGCACACGTGCATACAGAGCTGCACCAAGCTCAGAGCTACTGCTGACAGCAGCGGCATCCAAACCCACAGTTGCAAATTTGTGTACGTTTTCTAAACACAACAGCCTAAAATGCACTGAAGCAAAACATGCAGTGATTTAAGCTATTAAAAAAAAAAAAAAAAAAAACAAACTACAAAAAAAAACAAACCAAAACAAAACAAAAACATCAAAATGTGGTTGAAATGAAACACACTAAAAAACCCCTATCATTTTAAGGTAAACATCCACATTCAACATTAACATTTGGTATTACCACATATAATCAGTCACTCTATCTGCAACAAAGTGTTTTTAAATTACTGCATGCTACATAGATAGGGAAAAGCATTCACTTTTTTCTTCCCCCACAGGAACAAATCCTTATTCTACCCAGGTATTTAAAAAGTAGTCTGGTCTGAAGTCTTGTTTATGAGAAGAGCTACTGCAGTTGAAAGTTTATCGAGAATTTTAGAGCAATTTAACCAGTGCAAAAGCTGTGTAATTGTTACTTTAGTTTGAAGGCATCTCCATTTACCTTAAACTGACTCTGAACAAGTCAGAGCTATGCAAATATATGCTATACTAACATATAGGATAAAAACCCCTGCACACTGGCTCATGGGGTTTTTCTGAGTTTGTTTTGTTTTGGGAGGGGTTAGCTGGGCATTCTGTTTTGTGCTTATATAAAAGACCTAACATCAAGTGTATTTCTGGCGCAAAACATCTGTTTCTGTTGCTGCAAATAGCACTTGTGTACCTACTACATGTATTCGATAAACATTCCTAATGGATATTCTTGCCAGAATATAATAAAGCTTGAGTGTCCAGCTGCAGCTGGAAAAGAATGAGTAAAACCAGTGGATAATTAGAGCTAATTTAAATCTGTTTCTAAAGCACGTATTACCAAATCAAACAGCATCTCTGATTCCATGTCACTCAGACTGTGAACAGACATGCTTTCAGTGTACAATTCAAAAACATAGGAAACTGAGCTACAAAGCATCTAATACAGAACCGACTTTACACACATTTGACACAAAGTGTTTATCCAGTCTAACTCTTACCCTACTGACAAATTAATTGCAAAAAGTGTGAGTTAGTTTTGCATCATCAGCTGCTATGGCCTGAGAGTTGTTTGCCAGCACTACTCTTAACTTCATGCCAGATTAGGTGTCATCTGTCATCCTACAAAGGGCATAAAGCTAATAAAAACTTTATATCTCGTGCTCTAGCTAATTCAGCAGAAATGCAACCCTGTCAACTACGCACTACTAGGGTATCCAGCACCATGCAGATCTGGTATACATCACCATGGATTTGCAGCAGTTTGGGAATAGCTATGCCAGTCAAAAGCATTACTGTCCCAGCTGTTTGCTTCTTCCTCTCTGCCAAAAGTTACAGACCCCACAGCTCTGCCAGCAGCACAGGTCATGGGCGCATTCCCTAATCCACTTCAGGCAACCATCAGCCATGTCAGTTTAGACAATTTAAGTAAGTGGCAAGAGCTAACCCAGATACATTGGGCTGAGTGGATTAGAGAGTGCTCCTACAAACCACTTTACCAGTAGAGCAAGGGAAGTAGTAATCTACAGCTAATGGGCAGTAATGAGCAGCTGCAGTAGACAGAGTCCTACAGTCTGTGCAGCTACACTTCTGCATCAAGTGACACAGAAGCATGTGTCACACCAGCTGGTTCTTGAGGACAAGTTAAATCTCTGTAGTTCTAACAACAATATATATATTTATATAAATATATATATACACACACACAATGACACATATATAAAAATCACGGAGCAAACTGGTAGCTATTTCTATCTCTTTATGAGCTAAAAGTAGAAATTCTGTTTAAACTCAGACCTATGATTTTAAATAAAACAACTTAATCAGACAGTATAAGAAAAATACTGGCACATCTAAAACAAGGGTTCTGCTTGAAAACCTTGTTAGTAGTCTTACTGTAGAAGAAATAACCACACTATTAAATGCTCTAATATTTAAATCGGGTACAAGAATTATACCTTTTCATGGTATTTACCATAGTTCCTACTGCAATGCTTTTTGGCAAGCACAGGACAGACAAATTAAGCAAGTTTTATTCTGCTTAAAGACAAAAACAAAATTAGGAAATAATGCTTTGAAAAAGATCAAAGTCTTTGTTTTCGATTTTTCCAAAATAAAGGGGGGGAAAAAAAAAGTAAAGAAAATATAGGATTAATAAGCCACTTAAAGTTCGCACAAAAACTACTCAGACAAAAATTAATTTAAAGCAAGTGCTGCGATTAGATAAATGAAATCTCATCCCTATACAAAAGAAGGAAGAAAAGCAGTGATAAGACTGTTTACCTGCTTAACTCAACTTACTGTGTTGCCTTGAACAGAGAAGACATTTCCAATTATAGTTATTAGAATTGCAAGAAACTTTTAAGCAAACGTTTACAACAGAAAAAATGAAAGTTGATGTTTCTCATATAATTTAAAAGCAGAAAATAAAACTGAGACTGTGCAAAAATGTATTAATGGAGTTTTTATCATAAGAACAGATAAGAATCTAAGAAGGATCAAAAAGAAGGCTGAAAAGAAATGCTCAGTCAAGAAACAATCATAAACCAGCTTCTGTATGTGTAAAGATATGCTATGAACGCTTCTTGTTTCAGGCATTTAGATCAATGAGGGAAAAAAACTACTATGATGCTACAGTCAATGAAGTTAGTTAATTTAGGGAACCATTTCTATTTAAAATGACACATATATAAGGCCATAAACTGTCAAAAAAAAAAAAAAAAGTATTGAGGTGAAAGATTCAATCATTCCAAATGACATTTTTAAAGAGAAGCCAGTAACTGCCAAAGGCTAAGAAACAGTGCTCTTCTTGTTTTCTGCAGAGAAATTAAAAAAAAAACCAAAACAAAACAAAACCAAAACACTACATAGTCTTAACATCCTAGGTGAATGAGCATTGGAATATTTGCAACTGTAGTGAACATCTGTATATTGAAGACCTGCACCCTTTTTTGGACTGGGCACACAACAAAAGACACTGAACAGAAGGCATTTTCTAGAATAACTATCCTTCCATTTCAAACATGAGGCCGTTATTTGTGATTTAATGACAGCCTTAACCACCAACATATAATAATCCCTAAATATAAAGGTAAAATAAACCAGAACCACTAAAGAAATTACACAACCTTATGAGTTGGAGCCTTTAACCGGGCTGCAACTGTCCAATCTCTCGTTTTGAGAAACGCAGGAGGATTCAAGAAAACCCAGGCCTTACACAGCATTTCTTTCCATAGTTGCTTTCAGGACTTTGTCCAAAAGTCAGACCATCCTCCATTAACATGTGAAGGATGGCATCGATAAGCGTATCCGTTTTCCTTATGTTTCCCACAAGCGAATTCTGCAGCAATAAAGTGTCTCCGAGCTGCAACTCTCAGCACAGCGAGAACACCAGGAACGGGGAACACCGTTCTGCCGAGACAGCTCTGTGCTCGGGCTGACAGCCCCACCTCTCCAGTGCAGAGGGATGGAGCCTAGTCCTGAACCCCACCGCTACCCCACGGCCACGCAGGTGTGGAATCCCCCCACGCCAGGAAACATGCCTACGGTCCCGCCTGCTCCGACGGCAGTGCCAGAAACTACAGTGCAGGGACAAAGCCCCCCCCACGCTGCTCCGGAGGAGCCGGCGAGCGGCCTTGCCCGAGGGCAGGGCCCAGCGACCCCCCCCCGGCCCCCCGCGGGTACCGGGCTGCACCCCGCACCCCCCGCGCAAGGGGGAGGGGCAGCGCGCCGCAGCGCCTGCTGGGAGTTGTAGTCCCCCGCCTCCCACCAGCCTCCCCGCACGCGCGGGGCAGCCGCCGCACAGACTCCACCTCCCACAATGCGCCGCGGCCCCCATTCCCCTTCACAGCCCGTTTCTCCTGCACCGGCCCGGCGGAATCCGCTAAATTAACCTCCACCCACCTCCTCCCCCCCCTCCCTTCCACCCCCTCACATACAGACACGCACCGCTCCCACGCAGCGAGGCCGCCGGTCAGCTCCGCACCCGCGCCCGCCCTCCTCTCAACTGCCCCGGCTCCCCCCGCGGCCAGCCACGAGGGCCGGCCGCGGCCTCGCCCGCTCGGCAAGCCGGGTCGGGGAAACTGCGTCACACCCTTCGAGCGCCCCCGGTCCCCTCCGGGGCTGCTCCCCTCACCCGCTCCTACCCCAACCCTGGACTCTGCCGTACCCCACCCTGGGGGAGCCCGCCGAGGGCCGCGAGGCACCCGCCGTCCCCACGGAGCCCCTGCCCCCGGCTACGCACACTGCCTCTCTCCCTACCGGCTCCGTACCCCGCAGGCCCGACGCCCGCCCCCGCCACCGGGAGCCCCTGCGGCGCGCTGGGCCGAGTCTCCCTGGCGAGGGGCAGAAGCCGCCCCCACCCGGGAGGCAGCGCCCGCCGGCGGAAACGGCCGGGCTGGCGGCGGTGGGCGGGAGAGCGCGGCCCGGCTCCGCCGCTACTCACTGACAGCGGCAGCATCCGAGTGCATTTTCGTGCGGCGCATACACTGCCCTGCCCGGCCCGGCTCCCTCTGCCCCTCTCCCAATCACAGAGCCCAAGCGCGGACACCTTCCGCCCCGCCCACCGGCGGCACCCATTGGCTCGGGCTGCCCTCAGAGGCCGCACGCCCTGCTCTCCTAGTACAAAGAACTCCTGCCACTCTCCCTCTCCCCGCCCCTCGCCGCCTACCCCGCCCGCTCCCGGCCTCCTATTGGGCTCGAAGCAGAGCAGACCTCGCCCCCCTGCGCTCTGACTGGGCGTTACCGGTGCCAGTTTTCCCTGGCCTTGAAAGCGCGTGCAAAGAGCACCACTTTGTGTCATCCGTGGCACTGATTGGCTACTGAGGCTAAGGGCCGCGCCCCGATACGATTGGGTAAGCGGCGCAGGGGGCGGGGCCACCGCCGGCGGGCGGATCCCTCGGCCTCTCCCCTCCCGCCGCCCGTTAGAGGGGCGGTACAGGGGCCCGCTCTGGCCCCCCGCCGCCGGGACAAGCCCAGGCCTCGGTACGCCCGAAGGCTCGCCAGCCTCGTACCGGCCCTTACGCGGATAAAAGGTTGCTCGCAATGCCAGCCCCGGGGCAGCTGGGGCCGGCTGGTCACGTCCGGAGCAGGTAGCTGGCGTCCGGGAAGGAAGATTTCTGGGTTACGCCACCCTCCCTTTTGCTCGGTGAACCCCACTTCAAGTGTTGCCAAGTCGCCAGCTAGTTCAGAAAGATTTCTTTGTTTCTTCCATCTCCCTGAGTGGACAAGTGGCAGCCGGCCAACGCCAGCTGAATGCACCGAAGGGTCAGGTCGATGTTACAGCAGCAGCAAGCTGGGTGGGGGGGAGGTATTTGCGGGAGAGACAGTGGGGGTACATCAGGGCCCACAGCTGCTCCTTGCGGGTGGGTGAGACCCGTTCCCCCTGGTTACTGCTCCTGTTCCTGGAAATGTTGCACATGGATCCACCCTCCTCTCCCCTCCGCTCCCCTTGCAGCACAGGTTGCTCCCCGTTCCTGAGCCGGAGGAGGAAGACACCTTGCAGATCTGTGCTGCTTAGCACGGAGCGCAGCAGCCTGCGTCCTTTCAGGGATAACAGCCTTCCCCTGCCCTGCTCGGTGCTGACACAGATGAAAAGAGACTGCTGCAGCACCTCCTGTGCACAGTGGAAGATTATTAAACCATAAATTACTCATGAAAAAAAAAAAAAAAAAAACAAACCAAAAACAAAACCAACTTCCTCTAAGAGGTTAAGTTAAAAGAAAGTCAAGGACTCAGAATTGAAGAAATGCCAGATTTAAGGTATTTGTCCATTTGGAGCAATATATTAGCATGCAGTCCTGAATTAACTGACCACACACCTGTTTGGGGGGTTTTTTATGACCCTTATTGAGTGATCCAGTCAGAATGTGCAAGCGCAGCCAATTTATTTTGCAGAGCACCATCTTATGTTTTTGACTGCCTGGTTTACACAGAAGAAGATGGAGTCCCTAAGAATATGAATTCTTGCTTCAAAAGTCATGCACTAAGACCATCTCAGAGCAACGAGAGCGCCCATTATTTGAAATTCTCACTTGTTCACTAACTCCTTGAAAGTATTTCTGGAGAACTTCTTGCCTCTATCTCTGATGCTTTCCTATTTGTACCATCTTTTCTTTACTTTAGCAACTGTATATTTTATGCTACTCCCTTAAAAAAAAAAAAAAATCACAAAGCAGTACAAGCTCGGTTTCACTTCTTGGGTAGTTTTAACATCCCACATGCCAGACATTCACATCTGTGCGTGTCATCCCAAACTCTTATACCCAATAGGGGCACCACTGAGTTGCAATTCATCTGATCTGTTCTAATTCTGGATTGGGATGAACAATTCCTCTAGGGGTGCCTGTTTGTTCACATTGACCATAAAAAGCACATAGACCACTAGTTCAGAATAAAAACGTATTCAAAAATAAATCACCTTCTGTATCTCACAGAGCTGAAAACTGATGCAGATCTAGAGAAAGGTGGTGCAGAAAAACTGTCTGGTTGTATCTGAAGTCAGAAATCTTTGTACTTTTCCCCCTCATTTATATTAGTCTAAAACGAAAGGTACTACTTGGCTTTACAAATCTTTCCTTAGACTACAACTTCCATAACTATTGCTATCCATAAGTGTAAAGCAAGTAAAACTGTAGGTTTGACAAACAAAGGTTCAAAATATTTTTGAATAGTTGAATGCACAAGTATAATCCCTGACCCTTAAAAACTAGATCTGCAAATAATCCATAGAGAAACACAAAAGAGACTTTGTTTTCTGCTTCTGCCTGCTAAACAAGGGAATGTATGCTTCAGCCAGAAAAGGGCTGCCCCACAAGAACAAGGCCCATTACAACATGCACCTTCGTTCCAACCTCAAGAAGGTATAAATATCCCCTTTGTTACCACTGTATAAACCACTTTGGAATATAGATATCCCATATATCCCTGTTCGTAAACCACTGTGGAAGCCTTGAGGCTGACAGATGTTACAAAGTCACATCTGTATTGCCTTTCTGAAGACTGAGTTTCCAAAACATAGAAATACTTTGATTTACATAGAGCAGATTAATCAGGTCATGGTTGATCAAGCATTGTCTCAAGGACAGAGACAGTTTAAGCAGCTCCAGCATTAGCCTCTTAATCCTAGCGATCCTGGCATCCTTTCTTTTGTGACAGTGCAACCATTTGGACAGCTAGAAAGCAAGGCAGCTCAAAGAGCAAGACTGCCTGCAACACCCCCAAAGAGCAAAGACCCAAAACAAAACAAAAAAAACATCAGCACTTCTTTTGGTTTTGTTAGTCTGTTTGTTTGCCTAGCCAGATTAATACCCTGATCTGGCTTAGTACACATATGTGCAAATGCTCCCATCAACATATAGGAGAGGAATAGTAAAACAAGAACGAGAGAGGGGCAAGAAAAGCATCAGTCAGGTTACACACTGCTAGATCAGACTTAAAACTCCATACTTTTTTTTTTGTTGTTGTTAAGGAGAAAGACTGTCACAGTTTGCCTTTTATGTTTGTGTTGCTTTTTTTAATTTATAGCTAAAATGGCAATCACATAAAAAACCCACCATAGACTATGAAAAAGAGAATCATATAATAGTTGGGGTTTGAAGGGACCTTAAAGATCATCGGGTTCCAACCCCCCTGCCACGGGCAGGGACACCTTCCACCAGACCAGGTTGCTCAAAGCCCCGTCCAACCTGGCCTTGAACCCTGCCAGGGAAGGGGCAGCCACAGCTGTTCTGGGCACCCTGTGCCACTGTCTCACACTAAAGAATTTCTTCCTTATAACTAATCTAAATCTACCCTCTTTCAGTTTAAACCTGTTACCCCTTGTCCTATCCCTACACCCCCTGATGAAGAGTCCCTCCTCACCTTTCCTGTAACCCCCTTTAAGTACTGCAAGGCCGCTATAAGGTCTCCCCAGAGCCTTCTCTTCTCCAGGCTGAACAACCCCAGCTCTCTCAGCCTGTCCTCATCAGGGAGGTGCTCCAGCCCCCTGATCACCTTTGCGGCCTCCTCTGGACCTGCTCGAGCAGCTCCATGTCCTTCTTATGGTTGGGGTCCCCAGAGCTGGACACAGCACTGCAGGTGGGGTCTCAGAAGAGTGGAGTAGAGGGTGAGAATCCCTCCCTTGACCTGCTGGCCACACTCCTCTTGATGCAGCCCAGGGCACAGTTGGCTTTCTGGGCTGCGAGTACACATTGCTGGCTCATGGTCAGTTTTCCAGCCACTGACACCCTCAAGTCCTTCTCCGCAGGGCTGCTCTCAATCCACTCATCCCCCAGCCTGTGTTTGTGCTTGGGATTGCCCTGACCCATGTGCAGGACCTTGCACTTGGCTTTGTTGAACTTCATGAGGTTTGCATGTGCCCACCTCTCCAGCCTGTCTCTGCCCTTGATGTCTCTGGTCAGATTTAATTCTATCAGGGCTTTGGCACTCCCAACCTGATCCCTGGCTACCCGGACAGTTTCTCTGTATTCCTACCAAACTCTGTCTTTGCTTCCATGCCCTGTAAGCTTCCTTTTTGTGTTTGAGCTTGTCCAGGAGCAACTTGTTCATCCATGCAGGCCTCCTGGAGGTCTTACCTGACTTCCTCTTTGTCTGGATGCATCACTCCTGAGCTTAGAGGAGGTGATCCTTGAATATTAACCAGCTTTCTTGGCCCCCTCTTCCCTCCAGGGCTTTATCCCATGCTAGTCTACCAAGTAGATCACCGAAGAGACCAAAGTCTGCTCTCCTGAATTCCAGGGTAGTGAGTTTGATGTGCACCTTCCTCACTGCCTTAAAGACCTTGAGCTCCACCATTTCATGGTCACTGCAGGCAAGGCTGCCCCTGAGCTTCACAGCCCCTCTGTGTTGGTGAGAACAAGGTCCAGCATAGCACTTCTTCCCATTGGCTCCTCTATCACTTCAAGAAGGAGGTTATCATCAAGGCATTCCAGGAACCTCCTGGATTGCTTGTGCCATGCTGTGTTGTCCCTCTAACAGATATCAGAGTGGCTGAAGTCCCCCATGAGGACCAGGGCCTGCGAACGTGAGGCTGCTCCTATCTGTCTATAGAGGGACTCATCTGCTGTGTCTTTCTGGTTGGGTGGCCTGCAGCAGACCCCCACTATAACATCTCCTGTCCCTGCCTTCCCTTTAATCCTGACCCATAAACTCTTAGCTGGTGTGAAAGACGTGACAGTCAGCTCCTCAAATACTAACATGAGAAAGAGGAGCCATTTACTTAGTTTTATCTTCTTCACTATTAGAAACATAGTGTAGCACCATCTTTGAGAAAGATAATGCCTTCTGTTTCCAAAGAGTATCAGATTCCAAATTGCTAAAGCCACAGCATCTCTCAAATACCTTCACTCACCTTGCTTTGATTAGAAATAATATTGAAAGTTAATTTTGGGCAACAGAATCACAAGACATTATGTGTTTTACAAGTCAGAGGGGGAAGAGAATAAAAACATTAGGAAAACAGAATTTTCCAAACATTCACAGATAAAGCTGCAAAAAACACAGTACAGGGCATTGTAAGAAAAGAAACAAATTGTCTGCCAGAAGCCCAGCAGTCACAGTTCTGAATAATTTGCAGATATGAAAAAGTAACTGATATCCGAGGAAATACAAACAGCTGAATGTAATCCTTCTGAAAAGATTTTTCACCCTCAGAGTTACAATGGAACATCTCAACTGTGCATTATTCTTGTGTGGTAGCAGCAGAACAGTACTGATGGGGGATAAAAGAGGACCTCAGGTGGCAGAAAGTAGCAGCTGCAGATTATAGAACTTTCAAACCACTCCTCATGAAACAATTCAGCTCATTTTAATTGCCCTGTCTCATGGACTCATACTATGCTCCTTGTTGAAGTAAAAAAGGTTTGTTCTGTTACACTTGCTCCACAGATATATGATTTTGACCCCAAAGGTCCTTTTGTAACACCCTGTAAACAAATGTAATTTTACATCCATGAGAAAAAACATGTTTCAGGGCTGTTGGTAACTCATATTTAAACCTTAGATTTGATTTTTTTTTTCTTAGTTTCAAATTGAATTATTTTTTTTTTTTTTAAATCTGCTTAATTCATAATTAGGAAGCTCTAAGCAGCCAAACTTAAGAGAGCAGCTCAGAATTTCTGCCTGAACTCTAGAGGTGCATCAAAAGAACCAGCACCTTTGACGGGGGCCAAGAAGCTCCCTCATGGTCAGTAAAGGACTCTGAACATTTTTGGTGTTCTGTTTCAGTGAGACAGGTGGGAGCTGGTCACCTGCACACTTAAACAGCATCCAACTTGTTTCAGTAACATCAACTCCAATTCAAAACCAAAGGGTATGCCCAACTTTTGTTTAGTAAGTTTGTAGCTGCAACACCCTTTCTGAAAATGGGAAATAACAATTTCAGGTCCTTCTTAGCCCAAGAGGTTTGAACTGCAGCTCCCAGGTTTGAGTGCTCTGTGACAACACTGGAGGTAGTGCTCCTGAAGCTAAGCTTGCAATACACACAGAAATGCCTGAGTCAAGGCCCCAAAACAGGAATATATGTAAGAGGAGACTTGAGTCTCCACCCTACTGAAGAATCCAGTACAATTACTCTCAGAAGTTGCTCTCTTATATGTTACCTAGAGTCCTTCTTTCTTATTCTGAGACAGACACTGGTAGGCTCCCGATGTACTGCTGTCTCTTCCTGTATATTCCCAGAAACTTCAACTGATCTGCACAGAATGTCAGAGAGGATGGAATTAGGAGTGCAAGAGAATACATATTTTTCAGAAGTCAGATTATATATAATCTAGAATTTTACTGCCAGCAAAAGTTCAAACCTTTAGAAAATAATGTCTATTTTGTAAATTTTATCTTTTCATCCTATCTCTGAATGCATAAAGGTATCCACAGACTTTCTCTTTCATAACATACTATCTTATGAAAGCTAAGATGAAGAGAGTATGATTAGAAAATAGCAAGATTAGTCATACGCCCCTGCAGCAGGACCTGTTCTAGCACATTTCTTTCATAGTTTGAAACACAGTGATTGTGACTGAGAGATGTACCGCACATTTTTCTAAAACAGTCAGATACAGGGGATTAGATCGGTGTGCAGATTCAAGGACAAATAAAGTGTAGTTTTAGCTTCCCAATTCTAACCACAGTAGTAGAAACAGTATACAAAGAGTTCATGGTCATAGTTTTTCTTAGTCATTCTGATAAAATAATGGAAGACTCAACAAACACTTGTTACTCATTATATTTGCACACAGTGTTTTCGGATATTAGGCATTATGAGGTATGGGTCCACCAATGTGAAATTACATGAGCTACTCAGAGAAAGAAAATATTAAAACTTTATATTTTATCAATGTCTACATGAACATTTCTAATGGGGCAAACATTTCTAAATTCTGTGAAAATCCATCCACGTATGCTCACAGAGTTTGGAGATTACACACAGAGATCACATATAGTCCGATCTGTTACTCAAGTCATGCTTTGGTGTCAGACTTCTTAAAAAAAGAATTAGGGTGTTTTTCAATTGTTAAAAAATGTAAGGGGTTTTCAAGCTTTTTATGTTTATGAGTATCATTTCTTGCATCTCAGATGAATGACGTGCTCACATTACAAGGTATTTGCAGAGTCAGCCTGTGGAGAATGTTAAGTAGTGTGGCGAAATAATGTTATGTTTTGTCCAGGCAAACCTGTGGCTGGACGTGCGTCAGAGCTAGCATGAGAGCTCGCTGCAAAGAAGCGAGGATACTCAGAGCTGCTGTGCAGTGCTGGTGCCAGTGCCAGCTGCTGTTGAACGCTGGGAGAAGAGAGAGACATGACCTACTAGAGTTTGCAGAAGAAAACTGCTGAAAGCACAAGGAAGTCACTCCCATCACTCTGAAACCGAATTTATCCTGTGTTGCTGGAGAGCCACACAGAGAACAAGTTGAGAGGATTTCAAATCTTACCTAAAGGATATCTAAACCGGAATGTTTGTTTAGACTTCCTTGGGCTTGTAAAGACAAACACAGCACCTCTAGGTGAGAAGTAAACTCGTTCAAGAGTGGCTGGTTAATTGTAACTAACAAACTCAGGCTTTCTAATACCACCTGAGATGAAGCTGTGGTGGCTATGTATTCCCCCAGTGCCCTTCAGATAGCCTCTGCCCACAAAGATCAGTGAAGTGCTTCACTGTCAGAAACACAGTCCTAAAAATGAGGGGGCAAAATGGTGGGTGACCAGGATAAAATGACAAGCTTGGTGATGGTAGCAGTTACCTGACTCCACAGAACAAGAAACCCTGAGTAAAGATACATCCTGCACGTTTACATAGAGAAACAATAAAACTGAATATGCTCAAGCTGTTCTCAAAAGCACATGGTGAAGAATCAGAATGAGAAGAAACCCTCTCTCTTTCCTGCAACATGTCCTATTCCTTTCAGTTACAATGTTTAGGTATTACTGGAAAGACAGATAGTACTAAATAGCAACATCACAACCGTGGTTTCCGAGTGGAGAGGGTCATTTAAATAAAGCATCTAACATGTTTCTCAGAAACACGAAACTTCCTTTGGACAACACTGAAGATGTTCTCATTGTTTACGGGAAGCTCTACACATATACTGAAGGATCAGGAGTTAAGTATAAAAGACATTGCCAAAAGACTCTGAGAAAACACAATGTTATATATTGTTTTATGTGTGTGTTACATAATAGGTAATTCACAGCCTAGGTCAAAAAAAAAAAAAACCCTCTTCTATTTAGTCCCACTGAAGTGTAATGCTAGCAAAGGAACAATGCATTTTTGTTGTTTATTAAAGTTAATTTTAATAAAAATTACAATCAACTTTTATCCCTTCTAAGAAACCTTGTCATTTTTGAACATGATTGTTTTTAATTCTTCTGCAGCATGTTCAGTGTCCCATAGCAATAACTATTCAGAGGTACTTTACTCTTCTCTTTATAAAAGCACTGTAGTGTCTAATGTCTTGTTTAAAATGAAAGTCTGTAAAAGTCCCCACCTTTTCTCCAATGTTATGAGCATCAGTCATCTGTAAAATATTCTAATAAATCTCATTTCAGAATAAAATACGGAGTAGCAACAGATCTAAATACTGTTTCACTAAGTCAAAAATGCACACACTTCAAACACATAGTTACTGTATTTCTCCCAATTAAAAACCATATTAATCCCATTCCTATTTCGAAAAACCTAAGGCCAAGCTTTTAATTGCAATAGCAGCAGGACTACAAAGTGCAGCGTATATCAAGAGGTTACCTACACTACCACATTATTTTCCTTTGCCTCAGTCATCAAAAAAGAGTGAAAGTCAGCTAAAATTCCTTGCTCATGATTATTCAGATGAGCTCCCAGAAGAGGAAAGGGAATATAGCTGGACCCTAAAGAAAAGGTGGATAGACACATTCAACTCTGAAACAGCACAATATAGGCTACCTTCAAAAAAGTTGAAGAACTTATTGCCAGTGTAAGTTCCCACCCTTGCTTTGCTGCATACAATGCAGGTATCTGGTCCAGCCAGATACCAATTTATCAAAATGAATGCGTCCTCCCTCCCTCCCAGTGATGACAACTCATTAAAAAAAGTCACCAACTATTACACAGACATTCAGAGTGTTCTGCGGCATGGGAGTTCCTCATCCTTAAACAATGTAGTCTTTTTGGCTGACAATTCAGTTTCAAGCAACAAACCTTTCTTGTTGGTCCCAGTGATTTTCTCATTTTAATTTGTCTGTTTAAAATATTTAGGAGTGCTCATATGAAAGTGATGAATAGGTTCATAATTATGTCCATCTTTATAAGATCCAAACCTAAGGAAAACATTCAACATAGCAAACCCATTACAACACGATTTAACCCACAAAATTAAATCATACGGTTACTACAGTATAATGAACACTTCTTCTGAATGTTCTGGATAGTTTATTTCAGAAACAGGCCACAACTCTACTTACATATAAATCATAATCTATGTAAGCTATCTAACAAGAGGTTTTTCAGTATAATGGAGATGTTTAATTACACTGATTGGATTAATGCCATAGGCACTGAATAAATGGAACTCCAGCTGACAAAGGTGAGCAGTGTGTTTACCTAGTTGAATCCTATGCTCTTTAAGTTTTTGCTACTAACTTCAGTGAAAGTATAATTTAATCTCCCATAGTATCCAAATAGTCAACCATATTGTTAATATTGCACATCTTTTGAAAATTATGGTGAAAACTGAACTGTTTCATGTCATATTTAAATCTGAAAGGTTTGACTACTATTACAGTAGATATATTTGCAAAGGTAAAATGTAGTACCTATTAAAAATATCAGTGCTAAATAACATTTAAGAACAGTGCCACTGTATTTCAAAAGAACTATAGTTAATTGGAAAAAAGTTAAACTTACTCCTCAAGGGTATAGATTTTCTGCTTATAGGCAAACATAAAAGAAATCAGGACAAGAAAAATATTCTGCGCTGAAATCGACTGAGAGAAATCTGAATGTGAATGCTAACCTTCAACAAGTTTTGTCATGTGGAAAAGACTGGGCAAACTCCTGCTTAGAGAGGAAGCCAGTGACTGAGTGGTAAATAGGAAGTGAGTAAGCTCAACTGTTAGGTTTATATAAGAAATTAATATATTCTGTATTATGCATGTTAGTAGTAGTAGATATGCATTGCTGGAAATCGTCTCTCTGTGGCAACATCTATCTCAAACTTCATGACTTTTACACAGATACTCAGTGCAGAATAAATACCTTTCTCCCTATTTCTTTCTTATGCAATGCCAGTGGAAAAATACTTCATTCTAGAAATAAATAACTTTTTTATGTAAAAACCCAGCCCTTTTTTCTTCTTGACACGTTACATACTGCCTCAGGTATTCTTCTTCATTTTTACTCCAGTTATATAGCATGTTTTAAAATGCTTATGCAGAGAGTATTTAATGTATATATTGTATTTTGTGTTCTAAGTAACAGTATATTAAGACCCCAATCTTCAAAAATACTGAGAAGCATGGGAGATCTCTCATCATCTATAAAATGAGTCACTGCACCACTTGGCAAATATCCTTATCAAACAATCTCAGAAATTAATCATCTGGGTGAAATAAGCATTACTTTCAATGTATGCTACGACACAGTAGACCGATTTTCCCAAGGCACATGCCAAGTCAGTAGAAAAAAATGGAATGACAAAACAGAAGTTCCTGCCTACTAATCTTCTGCTCAGTTTGGTACTGACCAGTGCCTCCCACTTTAAGAACAATTTTGTTCCTAGACTTCTCTTTTACAAGGTATCATCCCCTTAATTTCTTATGAGATACACCGACCTGGGATTGAAATGGATGTCCTCAGGAACTTGGCTGGGATCAGTGACAATTCTGTCATTGTCAACATAGCTATCCACGTGATCTGGGATCCTAAATTTGGCCATCTGGACTTCTGAATCACTTAAACCAGCATGAGATATGCGGGCATAGCCCAACCTATCAGATACAAGAAGGGTTAGTTTGAAGAAATAACTCAAGGCAATTTCACCACATTCTTAATTCATGTCTCTTTTCCAACAGTTACTATTTAACCTAGCAACATAAATTTCCTTATCTGTGAATCTCACCTTCAAAAAACTTCAAGTGCTTTATAAACATGAGCATCATAACACAATGTCACAAGTAGAAAAACTGAGAAAGCATACGTGTTTGAAAACAAAAATAAGTTCTAGAGCTAGAAACTTACCTTTAAAATTAGTTTTAGAACATGCATACTGGTATAAGCTCACCAACTTTTTTCACTGAAGAGATTTTGAAATTTAAGAAAGGAACTCAAGCATCAATGGAATGAGTAATAAGAAAAATTAGATTGCAAATGATTGTGTTGGGTTTTTTGTTGCTTTCTTTTTTTTTTACTCAACACTGTTAGTTAAGACAGCTATCTAGTTTACTGGTTTTACTCCTGTGAACACTGCAGAATTTGCAGTTTATTCAGAATAAGCTAAATTCCATTCTGGTACATACATCACCAAGAGAATGATTTACAAGAAACCTGGTATTAAAAGACATGGAATGCATAGGCCCCAGCAGAGGAAAGTGCTTCAATATGGGCTTACATATTTGAAGTTTTCATTAAATCCAGCATAAAGTTTAACTGGATTAGATCAGCATTTTGCTTCAACAAACCCTACAATCATAGTTCGAAATTTGTATCTTCTGTGTCACATACAAATTAGGGCTTAGACTTCACATTTTAGAATGAAGATGCAAAGCCAGAGCTTTGGAAAAAAGTAGTTTTATGTTACCAAAGCAGATTAGATCTGAAGGCTTTTGACACAGAAGGATGAAACCTGTAATACTGTCTTTGTAGATTATATTCAGAAATACACCAGTTCATCCTGAGATCAGTGTTTCACATTACTTCATGATATATCTAACCGTCCATATATAATTGTTTAGGGATATAAGACTCTTCCACAATTACCTACAGGAGGGTGTAAAACTGACTGTCAAAGTTATTTAAAACCAATCAGTAAGTGATCCACTTTAACATACCTTATTACTCCGCGATACATAATATAACTACACCATCTGTCATGATCAGTACTGTCAATATCCTATGAACGGAAGGGGAAAAAAAGTCAAACAAATAAGGCAAGATTTCCTTATGGGTAAGTTTTAAATCAGTATCAGAATCAATGTGTAAACCTGGTGCACATTTAAGTAAAATTGTTTTACTTAAAACACTGTAATAAGGTAGAAAGACACAGACAAATCAGACAACTTTTTCACATCTTCTGACAGAAAACCAAACTGCAGAACTCAGTTTTAAAACAAAAGACTCACAGAATTAGAGGATGGAAGGGATGTCTGGAGGTCACCCAACTCCCAACCCCATCCTCTTGAATCCCTTGTTCAGGGCCTTCTGCAACCAACTTTTTAATATTTCCAAGGATGGGTATTTCACAACTTCTCTGGGCCCCTGTTTTAATGCTTGACAACCATAACTGTGATTATTTATATTTTTTCTTCTTCTAACTGACATTTCTCTTGTGGCAACTGCTGTCCATTGCCTCACATTCTTTCATTGTGCAGCTCCACCTTCTCTATAATATGTCACGAGGTAGCTGAAGAACGCATTTGAAAATTTTAATGTATTTTCTTTTAAGTCTATTTCAAAGTTACTCATTTGAAATACTAAGCCGAATGTATCAAATATACATTATCTCTAACTGCTAAAAGTAGTAGTATTTTCTCACTACCTGGACATTTCCATCTTCTATTAATCTGGTATAATCTCTGGACCCAGGAGCTGAAGTGATGTATCCTAGAAATACAACTTGCTTAGAGCTAGTCTTCAATAAATTTGAAACAGCTATAGCCTGGAGTTTTCTGTCCAAGTCCTCTCTGAAAGAAATGGAAAAGACTTTAACATATATATATTTTAGTTCAGAATCTTTGTGCTATAACATAGTAAACCATAAATTAATTTTGTACCTTTTTTATTGCTCAGTATTAGAGAGTATGAAAGTCTACAGAAAGCTCACCGATTCAAAATGATCACGGTGTTCGCTAAAAACCACATGGTTGTGGTAGATGTAGTTACTGTCCTCTTTCTAACCATTATAGGAACAACTTTTTCTATTACTGTTTTGTTTTTAATACTGATCTCATCACTAGGAAATGTGAATATAAGTGCTTTGGTTATCCAAGGCTTTGTCTCTGCCTGCACTTGAAATTTAATTGTGCTACAACAGCGTGCTGTGTAACAAAGAACTCACATGCTAACAAAACTTTCATGATGGGCAGGTCATAGTAAATATAATCTTAAAGTCTGGGTCACATCATTTATGAAATATAACCTAAGAGCTACATTAACACTACTCAACAACGTTTGACAGGTATTATGCATCTCTTTAACAAGATTTACACAACAGTTCCAACATGACCAAAAGCGACAGCGTAAGTGGAGCCTGGTAAAATACTGCAATAGATTCCATTCCCTGTCTTTGGATTTGTCATAACATAATGCAAAGGCAGTTCTTGTTCTATGGCTCTTCATGTTAATAACTTTAAACAGTTGTGTAAAGCATGTTCTCTTCTGTATTTTGGTAGGCTGGGCTAAATACCCTTGAGACAGGGAGCTGATTTTCGAATCTGTAATCCCAAAAGAAGACAAGAATTTTAATGCTGCTATGCTTTCTAAATAGCAGTACTTTTGACTGAAGCAAATGCACTAGGGAGAAGAGCACACAAACAGGAGACAAAAAACCACAACCATTTAAATATAAGCCTGACCTAGGTATATGCGAAGTTGCATGCTCAGCTAGTTGTTCTTTCCAAAATTACACCTCTCTAGAAGATCTGTTCTTTTAAATGACACAGACATTGTTCTATTCCTACATTTTAAAAACAGATTTTGAAAAAATCCCTAGTTATCCAGGATTCTATAGTTACCCAGTATTCCATAGTTTATAATTAAGCAGATAAAAAAAAAAAGATTAAAAACAAGCAGTTGTGTGTGCCATTTAATTACAAATTCATTCACCTCAAACACAATCTAATTTGCACTCGTTTCCCATGTGTCTCCTCCTATTTTCTGCTTCATCTTTCTCTCATGTCTCTGTGAGATATTTTCTCCTGTTTTGACAAACAGTTTCTCAGAGAGGCAAGTCTAATCACCTGTGTGAAGCACAGAATGAAATTCCTTTCTATAGTTCAGATTGGGAGTGGTTTCTGACAACTATATATGCTTAGTAAAAGGGACATCTATACACAATTTGCATGCTTGGAGCACAGCTTCTACACACGGGAAGGAAATGGGCAAGTTCAGTATGGGATAATGAGAATTCCTACTGCTTTCTAAGTAGCTTCTTTGAGTATTATATTCTGCACTTAATCCATAAAGTCGCCTCTCCATGAATTATAATATAAAAATAAAATTTCAAATCTTATTACATAACCACAAACATATTAAAAATTGCAGCAAATAAACCAGAAAATACAGCTACACAGATCACAAAACTATCCCTTATTAATATTCATTACACACAAGTAATCAAAACATTGTTTTAAAGTAAAGAACTGAAATATATACCTTAATCTCTTCCATCACTTATTTGGATTATTGTTATAATTCTTCCTTTCAGAATCCAGAGATCAGATTTCGTATTTCCAGTTTCACATAGTCAGAAAGACACTGAATGGCTATTTTTGTTGCTGTTTCAACACTGCCCTTTCTTGAAGGTTTCAGAATTGTTACTTTTTATTTTAATAAACATCAATTGTCCAATAATGCTATCTATCTGTAACTGTCTTCACTCATTGTGGAATATAACAGATCTATTCCACATGCAGAAAGTCAGAAGGATGCTATCCCACACTGAGATGTACCTGTAGCCCTATTACTTGTTGTGGTTTTGCAGAATTATGTATCTCTAGTAACTCAGATATTAGGCTCAGCTGAGTTTTGCATGACATATTTGTCCCTTTTAAAAAATATTTCAAGATTTTAAACTAGTAACTATGTCACAGTATTTCTTCCAATATGCCTTGTTAGAACCAGTACTACAGCAGCAGATTTTAAAGCACACAAAAGAAAACCCAGAAGTTCACAAATCACAATTACGTTCCATGACTTTGCATGACATATGTAACAATAAATAAAATACACACTCTTCATTTCCAAAGTGGGCAACAACAAAATCAACCAGTTTCCCTGTGAAGTTGACAGTCATGGAGATGGCAGGTGCAATCTCTCCCTCTGGAGACGGAAGGAGGTGATGGGTAGATTTTACAATTGGATACCTTGATAGCACCATAATCCTACATGAGAAGAGAGAAACAGTTACATTTTGTAGTTCACAAGCATCACAAATGTGAACTAAGCAGACAAATGTGAGCAGAAGACTAACAATCAATGAACTCAAACCATCAGACCAGAACACAAACCGTATCTAGTGGATTGTTCCGAATTTAGGTTTTCCTCTAAAATATTACTGAAGCACATGTCTAAAAATGTATTATCAAATTAATTTCTACACTAAGAAATACCATTCCATATACATGAATTCTTACACTGAGCCTTTCGTAATCTGCATCCTCAGATAAAACAGAATTTCATACTACCAGTAATTGAAATGTATCTTATTAGAAGCAGAGAGAAATACATTTTTAAAGTGAGAGATTTCTCATTCTTTCAGTTTCTGTTTAGAATCAACTTGAAAACCATTTTTCATCTGGTTTTTCAAAATATTTAATGAAAACATTTCAGAGCATTACTTTTCTGCCCCATTCTGCATCACTTAATGACACCGACTCCGGAAGAGGCAAGTTATTAAATTCCCCTCACATACAACAAAAATTAAATAGCCATGGGGAGATCCCTAGGAAGTTCCATCTACCACAGAGATCTACATATCCCCCTGAAAAAAAAAGCCACTTCATAAGCCACTATTTTCCAGAGGGCAAAGATATGCAACTGGTAGTTGGTCAAGCATTAAAGTAAAATCAGACACAAAAAATCTGGTCAAATAGACACATGCCTTTCTATGCCCATTTCTCCCTATACAGCCCAAGCTAGATTCAATGAATTCAAAATTTCTCATAAGTCCAGGTGGTGACATTTTCCAACTGTTATCATATTTTTAAGTCTGAAACCTTAAGTTCTCATAGCCTCAAAGTGCTCTCAAATAATGAGAAAAGGGAATCAGATATAGGACTTAGAATGCCAGACTTCCAAATCTGTACATTAAGGGGCAGGATGCCAATCCCTGTATCACCAAAGCCAAAATAGCTTACAGAGGCAGGCACCAAAAACTGATCACTTTGAACAACGAGAAAACTTCATCTGCACTGCATTGTAATGCTAAGGAATCAAAGCGTGTTCTTAAAAACAAGCTCCAACAAGTGATTACAGTGATTATTGTTCCAGTTATTCTTTGCTCATGTTCTACTGGAGTTAGTACTGGGTAGTGTATTTACATTTATTTACTGTTACTGTGTGTGTAAAGATGACTCACCCCCAAGTGTGATCTCTTGTGCTTGGACCAAAATCTGTGTAAAACCCTAGTCTTTCTCCTAGCCACATTGTTGGATCGTTGTTCCCAATGAATGGTTTAGAGGCATCACTCTCTATAATAGTGATAAAATCTGCATCTAAAATGGGGAAGAAAAAAAAGAAAATATTTTCAAATTTATAACTGTGACCTATAAATGTGATTTATAAATGACTACATAATGTTGTCATTTCCCTTTTGATTACACAGGGATGGACACAAGCTCTTCAGGAGTCAATCAGGGCAAATCTTAATGCTGGCCACAAAGTCACGCTGAAGCTTTTGGTCGCTGTAGGCTACACAACCTCTGTTGGAGAGGTACCTCGTGTATGGTTGCCATAGCTCGTCCCTGGTGCATAACCACATGCACATGAGACAGCACAGTACAGCTGGCCTGCACATACCCAGTGCAGACCATTTCAAAAGCATTAGACAAAATGTGCATACAGATATTAACAGCACAGCAGCAAGTCTACTGCTTTCAACTTGATGAACAAGCACTATACAGCACATCCGCACTTACCTTCATCTAACAAATCCTATTCCGCTCCAAAGGGTCTTGTGCAAGAAGGAGCAGACTGCTGCTGCCAAAACATTAATCAGCCCTAGCAACCTAACACCTGCCCCCAGGCATGGTAACAGAAGGGTTCCCAGCTCCATCTGCAGCCACCTCACTTTCTCAGGGCGCTGTGGTCCCTCCCTGTTCACATGCTGAGGTGTAGTTTTGTCAGGGAAACATGGCAGGTTCCCCTATATTTTAGCAGCAGGATACAGGAAGAGCTATGCTGTCCCTCAAGGAACTGGCAGCTAAGGCAGCCCTGCCCGTGCCTGAAGGAAGGTGGGTGTCTGCAGGCTGGCCACAAGCTGCCTCAACCATCCAGGCTCAGCTTGAGCAGCAGGTCAGTACAGCTGCAAGCAGCAACAATCTCCTTTCTGCTGTGGTTATGCTCCCCTCAGAGTGCTCTCCTACCCTAGAAAGCAGATCGAGTCACCACTTCATCCACAGCCCTTCTATAAGGAATTAAGACTGCTCCATCCAGCACCACTCTTGCTGCGTAAGATTTTTTGCTTTTGAAATGTCTTATTTAGCACTATGAAAGCAAGGTTAGCAGGGAAAATGCTAGCTCAGAGTATTTTCAAGTGGACTCCCAGACTTTTGCTTCTACATCATCTACATGCTGGCCACAGAAACGATGACTGAAACCATCAAGAGGGGTTGATGTTAGTTCCCTTCAGGGCAGACAGGAGTTTCAGTCACAAAAGCCATTACATGTCACATCTTCACTATTCCAACAGAGAGATGAGCCCAAGGAATACACACCATCTCCCTTTAAAGATAACCCCTAAGCTGAAGAAGTCAGCCACTCTTTTCTCCATGGCTCTCAAAATCAACTACTTTTCTTCAGCAAACAAATTATTTAAGAATCTCCAGATTAACTCTGAATGCACTAATACATTTCCTGGAAATGTTAATGTGATATTTTAGATAACAAGATACATGTAACAAAACTCCAGAATATTGCTTCCAGAAATCATGAATTAAGTTTTAGTAATTTATATTTTTGAATTTGCTGCCTTTTTGACTTACCAATTACTTCTTTTAGAAGTGATACTTCATTACCACGAAGAAATGCTCAGTGGACATAACCAGGTAATCACTTTTTCTAACATTAATGAATTTAAACTATAAGTACCAGAAATAAATGCATTCATTACAGTTCATAATTAAATACGCAAAGATTAAACAAATACCCAGACATGAGCTATTGAATGCCATATCTACAAGAATGCCCCAAATTTAAATTCCTCAAATGTCCTAGTTGTTTTCTCCTATCACTGGACAGCCTGCATAGCTCAGCCCTCTGAACCTTTGATTACGGGACAACGGAGTGAAATATGTACAAATCAGCCTGTTCACTCTTCACTAATTCCTGGGCATCTCTGCCACAAAATCAAGGCTTGTGCAGCAGCACCGATGTCAGTGCCTTCCCACTGCTTGGGCCTGCCAAGCCCACGCTGCTCAGGAAAGCCCTGTGGTGCATTCACACCCCAGGAGGAGAGGAGAACAACTAATGCTGGAATGGCAGCAGGGATGCTTCCTAATCTCCTGAGCTGCTTTAAATCTTAAAGCAGCAGCTGCCAGTTTTCTTTGTCTCACAGGTATCACAGAAAACAAGTAACACCTACAAGCACCACTGGGCAATTCGTTTCAATGCACCCTGAAGCAGCACTAGTCTTTGGTCCAAATTCTTCATTTCCTATTGCTAATTTTCCAATCAAAATTCTGTTCACAAGCAACAAGTTAGACACCCTTCTTTACAATAAAATCATGACAACTCAACCAAGCTACAATCACTATCTATTTTTCTTTTATACATTGTTCTCGCTCAGTGACAGAAACAGACTTGTCTGTTTCTCCTCTGTATACCTTGTTTAGGGCACTTCAGTTTCAGACCCTTTAAGAATTATATGATGTTTCACATTTAAAAAAAAAAAAAAAAAAACAAAAAAACACAGAGAAGTTATAAAACATTATATTTGATCTAAAAGGATATTTATAATTATTTAATTTATTCAAAGAATTTCTCTATAGACAAATAACTCATCAGCAATATGAGAAAAAAATATCCAAACAAACAAAATATTTCTTCCAAGTAGAAATGTCTTTAAAATATGTTAAAAAAAATTATCACCTCTGCAAATGGATTTTTAACAGAAGTGATTATATTGGAACAGCTCAAATTCAAAAAGCCACTAGGTACAGGTTCCTGGGTTAATTCAAGAATTGACTCAGTTACCCAGCAGGTGTTCTTGCTTCTGTCTCTTCAGATGAACCCTCTCAAATATAAATGAAGTGGAAAAAAAGCATTACCTGTCTGATTAAGCAAATTAGCTGATCCTTCCAAATTAGACCATCCTTCATTGTCATATGCAAATCTAAAAGGCCAGATCATAGCAGAGAAGTCTCTTTTTGGAACCTCAAAAAAACAAATGGAAAAAAGTCAAGTACAATTTGACTTTATGTATTATACCTTTACAATCAACAACATCAGATACATGGTGCCATAAAAGACACACAAGAAGAGCTATTTCCACCAATATATTTTCGTAATAAAGCTGTCAGGATTACAAAAGACTTTGGGTGTTTTTGAGAAAAACCTTCTATTAACAAAGAGGAGAAAAGTCACCATAGTAAAAATGGATTTGTACAAGTAGCAGTAAATAAATGACCATAAAAGAGAATATATTTTTTTTTCATCTTTCTAAGACCAACTACCTACTTTTTTCCACATTATAAGGTATTACAAACATGGATGAGTTCTAAAAAGAAAGCCAACTGTACATACCTGTGTGCATGTGTAAACACGCAAGTGCATGCGGGTGCGTACACACACAGACACACCACTTCTACTTAGCTCTCATCACCTTTTCTGCATCTTTTCCTGCATTTGTCATCAGTGATTTCTCTAACAAAAAAACCCTACCAACAGGAATACATGTCAAGAGCAAGTTTCAAAGGATTATTTCCAAACTGCCATCAAAAGGAAAACGTCTAATTTACAATTGCAACCGACTGCATAAAAAATTCAATTTTGTATTAGTAATGAATTAAATCATAGAATGGAAACATGTTAATTTATAGGTGATCAAAACAGCTCTAAATTTTGAACTAAAATTACTGAACAGGCAAGAAACACACTTGGACAAATTGTAAGTAATCTAAACGCTAAACTATGCGAGCATTAAGCTTCTTAATTGTTACTATTATTGCAATACTTAGTTTTTGCCAAATAGAAAACTGCAATCTTCCAAATTTTATCTCATTTCTATAACTAGTCTAATTCTAATCTAAGTCAACCAACTTTTCACAGAGGTTCAGTTCCAAGCTATGCATATAAAAATAGAAGCATAGAATTCCTTTGGCTGGAAGGAACCTCGGGAGGTTATCTGTTCAAACTTCTCTAATGTGAGATCAAGGCTGCCAAAAGCATTGTGCAGTCAAGCTTTAAATACAATGCAAATAAACTCATTTATAAAAGTAACATTCAAATTTAATATGAGGCAAGCATCTCTCAGTTTTTCAGAGTATTTTTTTCCTTCATAGCAGCACTATAAATCTCCAAAGACCCAGACATTTCACATGTTCAACATGAATTTACACATTAAACTTCTTGCACCTTAATTTCTGCATTAATTTTGCTGAATACTTGTATACTGGTACAAAGCCTTCTTCAGCACCAACCAGCCATCACATGCAGATTTTACTGTATATTTGAAAATTGTAATTTTCACAAACACACTACTCACCCCTTGGCCCAACTTCCTCTGGTAAGTTTTATAACGTAGACCCAATCCTAGCATACCAACACCAACAAACAGCCACAATACTTGAAACAGAAAAACACAGAAAAGTTGTTTTTAAAGCAAGAGAAAACAGTGTTATTATTGCAGTTAAACAGAACTGGACACACTGTCATTCTAAGGTGTGCTATTCATAGAATGAGAAATATATACATTTAAATTTCCACATATGGCAGTGATAACACCATTCCAAAGCAGTGTACTTGAGAGTATATATATGCATGCAGAATATTTATGTGTGTGCAGATACACTTACATTCTCCAAAAACACAAGGGGCTGAGCAGATACAAAATACCAAAACTCATTGGAATATTTATGTAAAAATGATACCTACCGAAGAATTCATTATAGGACATGAGAAAGAGCATCAGGTAAACCTTCCAGTGTTCTCCTCTCTGTGTTCCAGGTATGCATTTGCAGTATACAATTTTTATTTTGTATTAATACAATGCGTGGAAGAAAATTTCATTTACTTTGCAAGCCTTTAGATGTCAGAAAGATGTGATCCCTGCCAGACTAGTCCTTTGTTTGACATGTTCTTTGAAAGGCACTGGGGCTTCACAGAATGCAAATTCAGAGCCTTCCCAGTGCTCCTATAGCCTTCCAAATAACCGCAGTGGACACTTAGGAGCTCTCAGGGCTTGGCACATTGTAATTCAGTGATCAAACTCTTCTGCAGTTATTTCATTTACAGTGGCATACGTTATCTAAAATTATTTCAGTAACTCCCGTTTATTCTTTCATCAAATAAGATATGTAAATAACAGATACGTAATTAATTTTATGCAAGTTTCATGGAACAATTCTGTGTAAAATTTTAAAAAAATAAAAATTTATCATGGATGATGTCAGAAGAAAGGATGTGCTGTTTACATTAGCAAAAGTCAAGTGATTTCATACCCTGCAAGATGCAAAGGTGCTTAAAGGGGAAGCTGAGAAACAATACAAGCCTGGGCATGATGAGGAAGTATAAGAGTTACTGTTGTAAAGTCACAAAATTAGCTGAGCAAGGGCTGTGCTTTGTGACAGACAGTATTTAGAAGTATTTACTCACTTTAGTGAAATGTTTTTGAGTAATAATATTCAAACCACTGGCACTGGTGCTCACGTTGCCTCTAACACACTAACTCTCAGGGGGTACATTCTTCTCGCTCCTGAGTATATTGGGTAAAGACCTTCTTAAAGATTTCAGCAACAGTCCTGAAAAGTGGTGAAGCACTGTTGTCTCTGCTCCTCAAATGAGGCAAAATGAGGTACACAAATGGTAAGTGATTTGATCCAAAGTCACAGAGGAAAAAAAAGATGCAGGAATTTGAACCTTCAGCATCCTGATCTCTGTAGCGTTGGCATGCCCTAATGCCTAGCCATTTTTCCCTTTACCAAACGTCACAATATTGACAGACTTTGTCCTTAGAAAAAAAGTAAGTTAACAATGAAAACAAATATGAAACTCAAATGATTGCAGATAAATACTTGAAAACATAATTTGGATGGATTCCAGAGTTTGAAAAGCCAAAAAGCAGTAAAACCTCAAACATTTCACTTTTTCTTCAAAACCTAGGGAAAAAAGCAGACCTCATACACATCTGGAAAGCTGGGATCCCTAGGCATACTTCACAGGCAGTGACAAAATTTTCCTGAGGATAGGCCTGGTCTGGACATGCAGCAAGTCATCAGGATTGTGTTCTTACATCAGCCACAAGGCACTTTACAGGACTGCCTCCTCGTGCAGGAGGGGTGAGACTTTCTACAGCAGCTCCTGGGCCAGCTGAGTCCCATCCCAGTGCCAGCCAGCTCACGCAGCCCTATAAAGGGTGTCACACTGAACTGCTTCAAAATCAACATACCAAATGGGCTGAGAAATCATTCATATCTTTTGTATACACATGTAATAAATCCCAAGATCCAGAGAGGCCTCCTCCTCAACCACCAAAACTAAATCACAAATGATGTCAAATCCATTTTCACATTTTCTTTTTTCCCCAGTTCATTTTTCTTGTCTCCTTTTAACACACTCCATGAGGAATAGTGTCTCTCTCAACCATAATCGTAGTGAATCAGTTCCTCCAGTAGTATACGTCTTCATTAAAAATGGAACTAGGGCAATACCAACTACAAGTCTGGCTCTAAAACTAGCACCAAAAAAACATGTCTAAAACATCTGAGAAACACACTCCATTGTGTTACTCTTTTTCCTCACAGTATTCCTAGAGTCATGGAAGAAAGGAAGTAAAATTATACTTACATAGTTTAATATAGTTTTTACTCTTTTTGAGTAGTGGCTTTTGATTGTTTTTCACTTCAAAGACAGAGCTAAGGTCTTTCTTGGGTCCTGTTAGAAAGTCTACCCCAATACATAACATTATAAACCCTGTAAAAATATAAGTCATTAGTTTTTTCAAAGATCTTTAACATATTAAACATTGCTCATAAATGTACCATTTATAAACTCCCAGCTGTTGTGTTGCATTCAATCTTATAGCTTCAACAACAAAGACAATTCAAAGCACAAACACAGATAAATGCTATACCCATTGTAGTAATGCAGGCAATATGAGACTTCTTGATAGAGAAGATCTTACTTATCATTGTCACAGTATTCACCTCAACTATGCCAGCAGCACTTCAAAAATTTTTAATTTATATTGTTGTACTTGTTGACATGAGCATTGCTTCAAACAAAATGAGCTAGTTACATTAAACATGCCACTAATAATATTTCAAAAAATATTTCAAAATAGTAGGATTGCAATAAGAAATCAAAACTAAAAAATTATTTTAAAATGCCACTGAACACCTGTTTCACACAAAAATAATGAAGTTCAAAATTATACTGTTTAGGGTTGTTTTTTCAAATAAGCTTCCACTAAGATTTAATATATCTGAAACAGCCTTATGAAGACTGCTTTGTGCTGGTGACTGAAAAGCAGACCTAATAGTAGAAGTATCTAGCCAAAGACCCCTTCGTATTATGAACTCCAGACTATGGTGAGCTCCAAAATACAGTCCACCTTTAGGTCTTCCAGGCTGAGCACATGGCGGGCTACTGACACTAATGCAACTTGCAGCTGTTCTTGCTCTTCCTTTGCAACCCAGCAGTCTAAGGATCATGATGTTACCAGATAACTTTGTCCCCAGCATCAGGCTGCACTGGGTGCTAACGCAGAGATCCGCAGAAGCTGTCTTATTATTCACTATGGAAACGCAGAGATATTTTAACTCTGGGTCTCACTGCTGAGCATTTTATCAGGTTTCTTCTGTTAGTGAAATATTTGTTTAAAGCCATGTTTTCCCTTCCTCCATTCATGTAGCAATTGGGAAAACAATAAAAAAATATTTTAATCCTTTGACCTGGGGCAAAGTAGCAAATCTTTCAGCAGACCTCCACACCTTTGTGTATCCTAACACCAACTTCCAGAGAACGTCAAGCACACTTAGCCAGTATTTTCAAGCAAAGACTGATTTGCAGTACAGTTTCAGGGTATTACATCAAAAAGGCTAGCACACGGTAGGTAAATGATGCTAAAATGCTTCCAGGACCCTACTGACAGCTACAACTCTCAGTTCAGCCCAGTGCTTTCAAAATTTACTGGAATTAACCTGGACAGAACCATAAAATAACAGCTTGATGAAAAAATACGTTGTCGATTGTAGATGTCTGTTGTCTTTCCAGATGAACTGCTCTGTCACCACAGTACAAGTAACATATTTTTATATAGGAACTACAAAAGCAATTGCTCAACAGTTTGTTCTAAAACAGTATAAGCAGACTGCACCAGGTTTAACATGGCAGCATCTTATGTTCTTGTGCTCTAGAGCCAATAGAAGCAGCTGTGTGTTTTAAGAATAGAAAACTAAGCACACCTATAGACACATTTTAAAAGCTAGTAAGTGACTTCAGTGCACTAACTGTTGAAATGCATTGTGATTTTATCTTTTCAACAGGTAGTTCAGACTAATAGTACAAGCTCTTTCCCATCCCTTATGAGCTAAAGGATCCAATTACTTGCAAATAAAATGTGGGAGCATAACGAATCGCGTAAGAGCTCTGCTGGAGAAGACGTATTTCCTTAATATCTTTGTTGCACAGTTAATCAACTATAGAAGTAATGCCTTATTTCAGAGTTACAGCCGAAGATGAAATAAGAATTACTCAGTATTTTCTTATTGCTCTTACTTGCTACCTTAGCTGTAGTGCAAGTTTGCAAGCCTGGAAGCTGGGTCTGGTGCAATGAAGAAGGGGGCACACACAAAACCTCTCATAGAGAGACTGATGCAAAGCCATTAAAGTTGATGGAAGACCAGGGATCTGACCCCTCAGCGTTATGTTACATCACCATGAGGCAGCACAGAAGTTTTGAATACAAAGATCTTACTTTCACTGTCACTTTTTCCTGATGCAGTTCCCTACCCAAACTGCGGCAAGAGAAAGGCAGGATATTGGACAGGAGGAGAAAGCAAGAAATAGCACTTGCACCTGAAAGAAACCAGAAGAAAACAAGCAGTTTGCCAGAAAGCTGAGTTGTAAGGCTAGAAGCACAGCAACAAATACACAAACTCATTGTATAATTTGCAAATCTTTGATAAGTAATGGGATGGCATAAAAAAGACAGAAATTGGATTCTCAGATGGAATATAAACTCACATAGTGCCATCAGCTGAGATCGGTTCAGCTCACAGTTTTTGTTTTACCAACAAGAAAGTTAGGGCCATCTCTGTGTTACTATCCAGTGATCATGCCAGGTGAATTAATCACAAGTATGTATTTCAAGTGAATTGACAGAAAGGGATTTTCTATAACAGCTTTTCTTTCATCAAAGCATTACTTAAGAAAGCATTTGACACTCCTCTACCACATGCTTTCTTCATATAACTTCAAAAGATAAAATTAAATTAACTGAGATAACTGTTTTTACAGACCCCTCCAGAGTGCTTTCAGAACAAAGAAAACTACAATAAACATAATGGAACTCTCCTCAAAACATACCAAACTGAAACCCTGCGTGTGATTGCTGTAATATATGAAACACATATGGAGAGAGTAAGAAGCTGGAGTGACAGAAAGTGGTTGCAAAGACATTTACAAAATCTAAAACCATTGGAGCAAGAAGTCAAACACAGCATTCATTAATTCTTTTCAAACAAAATACAGGATAAGGTGTCACATTTTAAAATGTGCCACACACTTGGTCCAATACAATGTTTGCTATCGAAGCACACTAGCACCTATAAAGGAAATAATTCCGATGACAAAACCAGAGGGGGTTGGTTTCATTTCTATCTCCCTAGCTTCACCAAGGGATCATTTTCCTAAAACCTTTGTATTTGCTCACTTCAATTCTTCCTTACTGGCAGGTATCTGATAATTTCTTTTCTTCCTCTCCTGTTTGTATGTTTCTGACACTGCAGGCTTATCAACATTCCCCCAAACCTGCTGGTGTGTCCACAAAGCATAAGGTAGAGCCACATGGAAATGAAGCTCAGGTCGCAAATGCACACTAGCTAAATCAGCAGGATGCTGCACTTTGCTCCTCAGAGCTGGGTTAAATAATGCACTGAATTATATTACAGTCCCAGTAACACAACCTTCACAAACCCCTGGATTTGCAGAAACTACATTGTTTCCTGAAGTGCCCCACTGCTCTCTTAGGTAGCCAGCATACAGGTGCATTCACACCCTGGATTGCAGACATATTTTTAGGGTGACTGATTAACGGATCTCTTCCTCGGTTGTGTACGGAATTATCAGACTTTTTTCACTTTGCCATTTCCCCCCACCTGAATTCCATTTTCGGTTCATATTTTAAGCTATTTCTAACAGTAAAGAAACAAGTAGATTATTTTTTGCATGTCTCACTAATTTACTCATAGAACCTCTTCTGATAGCAAATCAAACAGCAGCTGAGCATTTGGAAAGACTATTTATACACTAGATACACTTTAAACATCTGGTTGAGGCTAAAGCAAGCATATTTGTATTTGTTGGTAGTCATAAATGTACCTAAGAGAAGATGAGAGCTTTCTCTAGCATAAATTCCTCCAGGGACAAATTTATATGCTGTACACCATACACAGAAGAATAACTCAAGAACATAGGCAAACATGGCTGTACTCATGGCTTTCCCAGGATGCAGACAGCTAACAAAGTGTCCAGTCAGTTGAGGCCACACACACATAGTAAAGACAGCAAGAAAGCTGCCTGCTACAGCAGCACTCCAGGTGTGTAAATAAAGGAGACCAGCTGAAGATGCCAAGCCTGTGGAGGGATAGAAAAGAATAAAGTCAGTCACAGTCAGGTATATTATCTGTCACCTTCTTTTTCACATTGTGTCTGGGAAATACAACTGTGCTTTGCAGCCATGAGAACTGGATCACTAGGACAGTTTTTCCCAATGGCCAAATACAACCTGTTGCTTTTCCCAGTATCTCATTCTCTTAAAGACTGACTATCCAGTTGAAAACAGTGCAGCAAAAAGACAGCAGAGAAACATCATCAAGAGCCAAAACTGACCAGTTTTTCTTACACAGAGCTCTCCTAGCCCAACAGCGGATGATGCAGTCTTTAAGAGATTAACAGGTCTGCCTGTTACAAACTTCCCTTAACATAATATAGAAAGAATCAAATAGGTTACTGTGAAGAGAAAACATGTATATCCTTGATCTTCTCTCCCTTCAGATAACCGTATGATGGGCAAGAAAACAACTATTAATCTTTTACTGATCGCAAGATCATTGATTTACCACACTGTCTTTCACTGTGACGAGATTTGACCACAAACAGAACATTAACCACCACAGAAACTCTCTATAACAGGACAACTTTATTTTAAAACTTTATTGTCGGCTAGAAAATATTTACTAACTTTCACATCATGATAGCAAATGTATTTAAATTTATCTCTTATACATCAAGGTTCTGAGTATTTTAGAACACAATGTTTGAATCAGCTAAAGAACCATTCTTTACATGTTTTAAATTAGCAATGTGTGTACATCAAAAATCAAATGCTCATACATTACAACCTGCACACGCATTTCTTAAAACTAACACCTTCACCAAAATGTAGGTTATTTGAGTAACTGATGGTTTAAGCATTGCCAATTCTTGTGCCTTTATTGTGACATTCCTGATATTTGACATTTTATTTTGGTTTCTGTCTAGGAGAAACTCAGTTTGCATTAAATTTCTTGTCTTCAAGGCTGTGGAAAATGACTTTAAAGTGTTGGCTCTTAAGTGCTTCAAAGGAAAAGGTGAATAAGAAACAAGCAAAACATAATGCATAATTCCTTTGGTCTCTGTATTTTGATAGGTCCCAATTTATTATTAAACATTTGTAGGAAGTAATACTTTGTCTTCTTGATATAAACGTCTACAAACAACTAGCTAAGGCCAAAAAAGAAGCAGAATTATGGTATTTTTAAACAGCATATATACCACTTAATTTCACTCAGATGGGCCTACAAATTAAGCCAAGTTTAATCCATCCATCCATGCTGAGAATGGACGGAAAATACACCTCTCCACAGTTCAAGAGCAGAATTATTTCCATCTCCTCCTACTTGCGCCATGCATAGCTTGCCTATACCATCCTCCTGAAAATGGATGTCTAGATCCAGCACTTGAATCTCTCTTCCCACCACCCAAGACCCACTGTATGCAGCCTGATTCACAAATACATTGCTCCAGCAGGACTGCTTTGATGTTCATACTATTTTACTGCCTGGAGATCTTGGCAACTAAGGATACAGGAAGCCAACTTGCCTCCAGGTGAACTGCTCATTAAATTACAAGTTATCATGTCTCCTGGGGAATCAAGAGAATTGTGTCATCTCAACCCCATAACCTTACACAGTGCAGACGGTGAGAACTGAGATGTTACTCATGGGAACAGAACCTCAACAGGGGCAACTGAAGAGCTGTTCTGCAATGGCCTGGAGATTTGACCCGTAACCCTCAGTCAGCTGGCCAAATGTGTAGATTACAGTCAGTGACAGAGAAAAAGATGCTTTGACTAGCAATTGACTTTTCTGAGGTGTGGTGTAGGGTCAGAGGGCTTGAGTAAAGAGAATAAAGTAATAGAAGCAAAAATTCTGCTCAGGATTTGCACCTACCTACAAGAAACCAGGCAAAACGCGTAATAGAAGACCAGCTCCAAAATGAAAGCATCAGTCCATGAGCCAGGCCCAAGAGAATTGTACCGCTAATACAACAATAAGGAAAAAGTAATCCTACATTAATATAATTTTATAAACACCTGGCATTGAAAAAGAAACTTCTAGACATACAAACAAGGATGCCTGGTAATATTTTATAATCCTTTTATTTTAAACAGAGCTCAATTTGAGCACAAATATTTTTTTACTGGATGGAAAAAATATCCAGTTGAAAATACTGGCAGTTTATCATAATGTAGAAGTAAGCTATGTTCAGCAGCAGAAACACTCCACTGAAACAGGGGGTACAAAAGGCAAAAAGAACTCAGAGAAAATGAGAGGGAGGAATCCACCCCAAACAGAAGAATTTTCTTCACGTCATATAGGGGATCCTACAGCATCTGACATTGCTATCAGTCTTGGGTAGCTCTTGTGTACACTAATTCAAAATTATTAACTACCTCACCTGCCACTACACAACACTGACTCCCAATAACTAATCTGGTCTCTTTCTAGATTTTGGAACTCCAAGTGAGAAACACACAGTAGTAGGACTGAATTCTCACTAACCAAAACTTCTACAGAAGCGTATCTTTGGATATTACACACAGTTTACTTTTTTCTTTATTTGCATGCATCTGTGATGTACACTGTTTCCTACTATCTCCTCTCTGAAGTCAACTGCTAGATTCATTTACTGTATTTTATAGATGCACTTCATTCATAAGTCCTTGAACCTCAGTCCTAATTTAAAAATTGTTTTGCAATGTGGTAAATTGAGTTTTTCTTATTGCTGAAAAAAAAAAATCACTCTGTTAGAAAATTTTAAGCTTCTTTGGTATAGACTCAATGCTCAGAGGACACAAAAGCAAGAATGAATCCACAATCTGTGTGATGTACCCTGTACCCACTTCATTCTACAGAAGTTCTTAAACCATTGTCTGGTTGAGTTTTAATGCATCACCCACTACAGCACTGGCTTTTGATTACTGTTTTGTTTAAATAAGAATAATGATGATGATGATGATAATAATAATAATAAACCACTTACCCATAAGGATTAGGATCTGGACCTGTATGTGGATGTCCACTTACTGCCCATCTAGAAACTAATGAGACTTCCCCAAATATCCACAGGGTGAGAAACATGAGGCTGCCAAAAGCAATCCCTGACAAAAACCAGTGAGGGTGGGAAACAGTCTCTCTAACTGCATTACCAGGTTTGTTTGCTTCTTCTTTCCTCTTGTCTCCACCTAGAATAAGAATAGAAATATAGCTGAGCAAACGTCAAATCACATCAGACAGTTACTGAGAAAAAGAAATAGCCAAGATCACAAAATTACCAAAATAAATTCCTGGCTTAGACACAAAAGCTAGCTTACCTGATCATTTGTGAAAATGATCAGACAAAAAAATTTCTAACAACATTTCTAGGTCTGTCAGGAAAAGCTACTCACCTTAAGTGTACAAAAATGGCAACCTACCCACATGATTATTCTTCATACAACTGGAATTTAAATAATTATATTGGCTTTGAAAATCAGCAGAAAAGTTATTAGAATTTGTTTAGAGGATTCTGTTCTCTGAAACTTTACACTCTGATAAGAACAAAACCCGACACTTCCAAGGAAGCCAGAAATAAACTCCCTTCCTTCTCTGCTTCTTTTTCCGTGCACTTTAGATCCTCTCTCATGTAAGGAGAAAGGATCACCTTTAATTGCATAGACATATTGCTTTGTCACCTAGGAAGAATACAGATTCCCTTCCTAATCTCCTGCAGCAGATTCCCTTTCTAAATTATGATGAAAGCTCAGGCTTAATTTAGGTCATGTATGCAAGTCTACCAACAATACACATGATGTCAATTTATTCCCACTTACACACAGGTAAAGTCTTACCTTTCAATTAATTCATTCAGGTTATACTGAGAAGGAAGGAAATTCTGAGGATTTAACATGAGCTGCCTTAACTAACCAACCCAACCTCTCTGTCTTCCTTGGCAATACTTCCTTCACAGTTTTTAAGTGTGCCTAGCCTATGCCAGCCAACCCTGCTTTGTGCTCTGTCCAGACACTCCAAGAACTCAGGCAAATTTTGACAAGGACAGCTTGTCCACTCTTCCAATTCTTTATTTTGCCACATGAGCTGTTGCCCAGCTTTGTCCTGTCTCCCCTTCTCTGTTAAAGGATATGCACTGTCAGAGAAACTCGAAGAGCAGACCGAATTAAGAAAATAACAGAAATACCACAGATGTTTCCTGTTGGAATAAGGATAACCCATTCTGGTTTTTACTGGTCTAGGTTATGCCTTTGCCTAACTGTCACATTATTGATACTGCAATTAGTTGGCAGTTCCAACACCAACTTACTACAGCTTGAATGAATTGTGATATAGATTCTGGCATGTTATGGGCATATGAAAGTACCCCGTAGTTTCTAAAGTCCGCAATGCTCATATATTAGGTCTAAAACCAGATTATACTGGGGAAAAAAACACAAAGAATCAAAACCCAGTGACATACAGATAGGTATACTTTAGAATGTTTTCATAACTGCTATCTTTGCTGTAATAAGCTTACCTGAATAAATTCGCTCCACTGATACTATAAAACCAATAGTCAGTATGACAGTATTGGCAGCTTGTGAGCTCCAGGCTGGGTTTAGTGATGTATACCAGATGCGAAGAACAAGGAGCATTATCTTGCCTAGCATGAAGCCCCATATCCTGATGAACCTGTAAAAATCAGTTTTTGAAATATTGATGCATTTGAGGAAAAAAAAAATAAATCTTAACTTCTCAGGAAAAAACCCCAAACTTCTAATATAAAGAAACGTCAGTTACAATCCCATCAGTGTAAGAAAATACCTTTGTAAACTGTTTCCTGACCACCATGTTACTGTTTGAACCAGCAACGAGGAAGAAACACCTGCAGCCAAGATGAATAGTCTGATTGAAGCATTTGGTGCCTGGTATGATGCTAAGCTTCCTAGAAACAAACACACACACACACAGAGGTTGCTTTAATGGGCAATAGAGATCAGGTAATAAGGATTCCCTATGCATTAGTTCAATCTTGTCTGTAATCTGGATGGCCATTCATCTGAAAACACATGACACCACACATTTTTAAACAAACAAAAGAAACGTATGTATGGATAGAAACTGGGTATATATGACATTATAGCAGTTACCACTTTCAGGAAAAAAAAATAACACAAACCAATTATCCAAGACTGCAGTGATTTCCTTAATTTAAGTACTTATGCTCACTGATTCCATAAATAGGATATATGGATAAAATATCTAAGCATACAGATATTCCTGAACAGTGCACTTACATAACTCAAAAGCCATAAAACTTTAGGTATGGTGACTGCTCCTTTCTGAAAAGGATATGGTTTTTGCCACAGCACACTTCCTTTTATGGCTTTTCAGTTATGTAAGTGCACTGTGGCAAAAGCCACACCCTTTTTAAAAAGGAGCAGCCACCACACATTGCACAAGGATTGGTTTATCAGCTGGGAACAAGGCTTTCTCTGGCCCCGTATTTGGTCTCAGAGTGGTCGTCAGCAGCCTGTGTCATCTTGTTACTGGAAACCATCCCTCTCCCAGTCACTGAAAGACCGTGCACACGCATGGCCACCACTTCCCAGGGCACAGTGACCTCACCTTTATCAACAGTTATAAACTCTGCTAGCAGGTTTCCAATTCAAGTGACTATGGGTCACACACATTCTCCTAACTTCAGTCAGTGTAGCAAATTCTGTCCCAAGACCAGTGACAAACAGCAGGAGAAGCAACATTGTTTTGCTACCAGATGTTTGCTAAGCAAGTATGAGCCAAACTCGAAGAGACGTTACGCAAGGAAAGACAGAAATGGAGCTGCTGATCCTGGCAATGCATGCTAGGAATCCTCCAACTGTCCATTTGCTCCTTCTACTCAGAGTAAAAGATGCAAAGCTTAAAGCAAAGATGGTAAAATGAAATCAGTGTGTAGTGAAGATGTACTTGTATGGACTTTAGCAGAGGTTGCATGCACAACGTACACAGATTTCTGTCGCTAAATTATACTGAAATCTGCAACTCTGCCTCTTCAAATCTTTCATCACCGAGGCTAGCCAGATTAAAGCTAGTATGGGTTTGCCTGCTTACAGCAGACACACCTTCTGATGCTGAGCAAGTACACCTACAATGTAAATATATCTATCCAAACATGCAAATTTATTGCACTTTGTCTGAAGACAGAGATCCAGATAGACACTACCACAAGGGTAGTTTGTTGTTAATTGGATTTTGAGGGTTTTTTCGTTTTATTTCTTTAACTAGAACACAAAATTAAGTAGTATGAAAGAATACAGAAATTAAAACAAGAGTGTGGGACAAAATAAAGCTTCCTGAAAAGGGAAGAAGAAAGATGACGATGATGAATAACCCTTTTCCATCAAAAACAACAAAAAAACCCACAACCCCCTAAATACTATGGTTTTAGCTAAGCATGAAGAATTTTCAGATTTTTTGATTGTGAAATTGAAGACTGAATATTTCCAGTGGCACAGGGTGGAGCATGCGTGGAATAGATTGTTCTGACTGATTTTGTTCAACAAGCCCCAACGGAAGGCCATGGCCTTTCTGAGAAAGGAAAAAGATCAAAAAGAAAAAGAAGGTAGAAGTGTCTAGGTATGAAGAAAGAAAGAAAGCAGGAAGAATTGAGGAACAGGAGAAACAGCAGCACAGTAAGACTGGACAGAAATAATTTAAAAGCCGGAATGAAGTGATGAGAACCAAACAAGAAGATACACACGGAAAGTCCTAAAACCCAGTGCTGCCTGTGCAAGGGCATCTGAATAACCTGAGAACCTGCAGTAGAAAGGCAAATAAAGAGTGAGAGTTACCACTGGCTGCTAAACTCCTTGCTGGAGAAAACGAGGGTGAGGAACACGCTCTGACGTCTTCCACAAATGCTAATGGTCACTGCAAGGCAACAGGTAAGGAGAATACTGAGGAAGTACAATAGAGTCGGGAGAGAATACTGTGTAGACTTGCCAAGGGGTGGACAATATTAAGAGTGTTTGGGAAGCATGGTCACTGAGGGAACAGTTCCCATTCAGGCAGGAATGAAGGAGAGATCATATCTGTGCACAGCAATGCTCAGGTTAGCCCAGGCTGAGGATGCGTACAGCTTCAGTCTCCCCATGCTCCAAGTCTTCTATGAGCAACTCCATTAGTACATCCTTTCCTCAAATTCTTGCTGAAGACGTTAGCTTTTCGTTTGTAGTTAGTATCTTCAGGAGCTTGCTATTCAGGTGAAGCAAACAGGCATAAACCAACAGACTTTACACACCATTATAGGTCTGTCACTGCTCTTTACTTCGCAGAACAAAAAGTACACACATTTAAGTGATTTCCATCTCTTTTGGTGAACTAGTAAAGACAACAAGATGATCTGAAGGACTAATCTTAAACACAGCGAATTTTGTATTACTATTATGTCTGAAGGAAGGCAGGGTACAATCTGAAATGCCTACCCTCATTTCTAGTTTCTAAATTAGCAGATACAACACTAGATTAAATTTCTAGATTAGCAGAAATCAATACACTGAGCACCACTGTGGGAAGCTGAAGTGGAAGACTCTGCTCATTGAAAAGCTTATTAAAAAAAAAAAAAAGCATTAGGATGGATACGATGGAAAAAGTAGAAAAAGAAAAGCACATGATAAAACTATACTTCATCTACACTGATGACACCAGCAAACCATGTTCGCTTCTAGAATCTTTCTAGAGACAAAGAACAAGAATGCTTTAAAAAAAAAAATCATGCCAGGAAAGTAAATATTGTGACCCTGTCCTGTCATCTAACAGTAAAAATTATATGGAAAATGATTCTCTGATTATCATCTTATATTGACAAACGAGGAGCCAGGAACTGCTTCTTCTGAAACACACCACTTAGCAGCAGCATTTTCACTCTATCCAGGATGGAGACCCTTGTCTCCTCTGAGTTCATCCAGCTGTTGCAAACTCATTAGCAATAACTTGCTTCTAAATGCAGCTGTAGCTGTTAAACCTTCTCCCAACAAACTTTCAGAGAATCAACAAGAGCTAAGATTTGCACCCGTTAGCTGAAGAACAAAGGGGGAATCCCAGCAAGTCTTGGTTTAAGGAGGAACGTGTGGGACAGGTAGTGACGCAGCTTTATGTTGAATTTAAAACCAAACTTTCTTCCTGTGCAACAGACAATATGAAAGCCATCTCACATTTAGGATGAGCCTGTAACCCCATCAACATGCTACAGGCATACAGGTAGATTTAATAAATTAAAAAAAAATGTTTTAAGAAAAAACTGCCTCAGAAACTAAGCCTACCAAAAAGAACACTTCACTCACAGCAGGTTAGTTTTATAATAGCCCCAAGCTGTTCCATAACATCTTGTCCCTACCTATTGTCACAGACACAGAACTGCTATACAGAAAACACCTGCTCTGCTGATCTCTGTGCAATACTGAAAACATTATTCCTATTGGGCATGACTTGTACTAACTTAAAAGCTTCTAGAAATAAGTGAAATGAGATTTGTCTTTAATTATGCAGTATAGGTCTAAAAACCAATACATGCAAACAATATTCCTCTGACCATATCTTAAAGCTCAAGAGAAAAAGAAAAACATGAGTTTGAGAGAGTAAGAACTTCTTAATCCTGTCTCTTTTCAGAATCTCTGAATTTTGAAGCAATTTGGAATATTTATTCTTATGCCTTGATACCAAGATGAAATCTGTAACTCACTACAGTACATACTTACCAACCATAGTCAGTCTCAGAAGGGCTAGGATGTACTTATTGTTAGCAAACCTCCAAAAAGGGCCAATTATCAAGAATATTGGAGAAAAGAAGGCAACAGCAAAGACTTCTAGACCCGTGAGTGCCAATGTCTGAAGAGGGAAGTAATAGATCATTGGTGGTAGTGCATGGTAAAGAGACCAAGAAATGTAGCCTGAAAAAAACAAAACAAAAAAAAAAAAAACCTAAATGCATTATATATTTTCAACAGTATGGTTTTCTAGAGATTACTTAAAAATATACCGTTTTATACTCCCAAATGTAGAATATCAAATGTATTTGAAAGTAGTTCAGGAAACAATAGCCACCTTCTATGAAGAAATATTTGCTATTTCAAGTTAAATAAACACCTTTTCCCAGGAAATAGAACGATGAGAAGAAGACAACTCTTCCTCAACTTAGACAGTAGTTCCTACTTCGATCTCCAGTGAAGGAGTGCTCAGCCTAGGGAGGGGTAGCGTGCCGAGGGAACCAGGCTGGCTCCATAAGCAGCCCACCCCCCGTCCCAGGGCTCCTCAAAGACAGCTCGCTGGCTAATTATGCCAGTTAATCGGTGCGCCGCGCTCCCCTGAAGACACCTTGCCGAGGCACACAACCCCCGCACTACGGTTCGCCCCGCGTTTTGCGGGAGCCACAGCGAGGCGCGGCGCCCGCCGCCCGTGGGCCCCGTGGGCCGGGGCGCGCCCCCCCCCGCCCGGCAGCCCCTCACAGCCCGGGCCCGGCACCTGCGCCGCAGAGCCTCGGCTGACCCCAGCAACAAAAGGCGTTCCAGCGCTGGAAGGAGAAACAAACAAACAAGAACCCCAAGAAGAACGCTCAGCGGGGATCATTATTTACTCGTTTCCCACGGAGGAGCTTTCCACCGGCAACACCTCCCCACGCACGGCACCCTGCCGGCGCTGCCCCGCCACGGGCGCCCGCCGTTCCCGGTAGAGCCGCCCGCGCCGCCCAGCCGCAGGGCTCCCGAGCGGGGCTGAGGGAGGCCGGTCGGAGCCGTTATCCGCCTCCCGGCCCGGCGCAACGCGGCTCCTCGCAGCCCTCCGCTCCCCGGCCGCCGTCGGGCGGCACCGCCACCACCTACCCAGGAGGCTCTCGGAGACAACGGCCCTCCACAGCGGGAACATCGCGACGCGGCCCGGCGAGGGTTTCGCCCCGCTCGCCCGGAGCCGAGCCCCGAGTGCCGGGGGGACCGCGCGCCGCCGCCGCCGCCCCGGCCGCCTCACGGAGCCCGCGGGGCACGCGGCCGCCGGGCGGGCGGGCGGGCGCCGCCTGGCGGAGCGCGCTGGGCTCGGCGCCGGGCGCCCCGGCCGTGACGGGGCAGCAGCGGCGGGAGCGGGAGCCGCTACCCCCGGCGCTGGGGGCGGCGCGACCCCGGGATTGCGCGGCTGCGAGGAGGGGCAGGGAGAGGAGGCCTGCCGCGTAGGGGCGGCGGCTGGCCAGGGCTGGGTGGGATTGGCGTCACCAGGCCGCCTCCGTTCACCTTGGCCCGTCTGCCGTCGCTGATAAAAATGGCGGCTCCCTTCGGCCCCTGGCTACTGAGGGCCGAGTTTGAGTTCTCATTCCTGTGCTCTGGCTGACGAGGGAGGAGAGCGACCCCTGGCCGAGCCCCCAGGGTGGCTGGGGAGCAGGCAGAGCCCTGGCGAAGCCCCACAGACCTGGTGGCTGTGCCTGTGGTGGCGAAGCCCACACGAGATGGCACTTGGGCTAGAGAGCTTGGCGTGGCGTGAGGCGACTGTGAAGAGATACTCACTTAAACCCGGCATTTCTTCACGGAGGTCAGCCTGGAACGTCCGGAGTTTATACTTCACAGCCCTATGACAAGGAACAGTAAGGTGAGCTCACCCCTTCACTACTGCATTACCAAAGGAGTGTTTGTCCACTGGATTGTCACACCAGCAAGTAACTAAACAGAAGCAAAGGATTGTCGTCTCACAGGTTGATGGGGAAAAGAGGAGCTAACTCAATTCCTAGTTGCATAAATATGTAGTTGATTAACTGTGGTTACCTGTCTTTTTTTTTTTTGGGGGGGGGGGGGAGGGGGGGTACAGTGGTGGTGTTCAGATAGGTGCTGTGCCCATCTTAATGAAATGCACTTTGCTTTTAGAGCAGACTAAGGACTTCTGATAACCAATCCTGACTGCAAAAAGCACTAAAAGAAGCATTTAGTTTGATGAGATTCCTGGGTTAAGCTTAAGCGTCTGTGTTAGATTTATAGGAAAACTTGAACTATATGAACCCAGCCATGATCGCAGATGCCAAGTTCTGGCAAAAGGATTACATAAACAAAATCTGAATTTTAGAATTTAATTTTTGGCATGAAAAGTAAATTTTTAACTGAATTAAGAACTAAAAAGCCCATTTGCTGTTGGAATACGTAGTCTTCTTCAGTTTTACTGATCTGCCAGCTGTATTTTCTCATTTGTGTTAAAACTGCTATCCCTTTCTAACAAACCTTGTGATACGCACCTGTGAAACTCCAAATCCATATGCATAAACGATAAACCCCTGACACCTAAATGTTAAACATGACTTATTACTAGCAATAAATTTCTGTCAAAACATTTGGAGGGGGCAGAGTACTAAGGAAAAGCTTGTCCCAGTAGTCTCACAATCGAGTAGTTCGTTTACCCTGAGGTATAATGGGGTTTGGCTAGCTACAGAAACTCTCTTGAATTGTAGTTGATATTTGAACACATATATATGTTCATATATATATATATATCCACAAAAGAATTGAAGGATTTTGATGAAAAAGTCGACCTCTCTAGGTGAGGAAGAACGAGACTCATAGGTTTAATGACCTTCTTTTTCTTTTCGCCAAGTTCTGTGTTATTAAAGGCATCTTTTATTTTCTTCGTTTAAGAAAAGCCATCCTAAACTAGTCACCAAGTTCACTTACCACTGGTTTAGTATTATGCTAGTGATGACACCATTTCATCTTCCTGTGGTGTGATGCAAGTGGAACTTGTAAGATGAGATCTTTGGCCAGAGTAAACCCAGAACATGTCTGCTTTTGTAGCTGCGTAGCAAGACTGAGTCTCACAGGATGTATTCAGCCAATAAATATTTGAAACAATTTTGCAACACTTTTTGTAATTACAGTATCTTGCTTCATGGTTCAGAGGTGGAGTTCCAGTAAAACTAGACATGACTGGAATCATGAACCTGACATGCTTGTGTGGCTTCCATTAAGCTCATGATGCAATGAAAATAATGCGATTCCTGACAGATTTAGACCTTGTGTTCTGGGTACTCTCTCTGAGTTTCTTAGTACCTTCTAAGTTTGGATTCAAATATAACAAAGTTACATTCCAGCTCTCTGCACTGAGTTGACAAACACTTAAGCATCAGAGTACGAGAGAAGGGAGTTTTCAGGTATAATGTGTTTTGAAATTAAAACAGGCATGTCTTAAGTAAAAAGGTCAGTGCTTACAAGGTGCTTCATTACACATATGTAGGACATACATGTGTAGGATTGCCTTTCACTATATTTTTTTTTGTTCTTGGAGTGCCACATGTGTAGCTGATGAAAAATAAAGCAATAGCTTTTGATCTATACAGGAATACAGTCATGTCAAACCAGCCAAACTAAGATAGCATACTACAGTAGGAGTTTGCACTCACAGGAAAAAAAAGCATCTTCATTTTAGAATAGTATTTAATATACCCTTAACCTAAGGCAGACATTAAAAAATCACCTGAATTTAACAGAAAATAAATGACACCACCACAATTATATTGGTATTGACAGGGGTAAACCTCTCTAAAGCTAGTGATTGTAAAAAACAGTGCTTTATTTGTGTTCAAACTATGATACAAGCGTGTTTTGAAACCTGAAATAAGCACGTGGAATTTAAAAGAACTGTCAGACACCTGGGAGAAGTTGTCCTTGCATATCGCCCAGTAGAGAGGTGCCTGAATGGGCATGATTAAGAAGTAGAAGAAAGTGCCAGAGAAATAGACAAAAAAGCATAAAAGTACAAACATGAATTAGGATTAAGTAACTCTGGAAAAAAGATGGGGTGGATGAGATTACAGTTAGGCACCTGCCACACTAGCGGTGGAAACACAAAGACTTGCAGGTCATTAGATGCCTATTCTGTTTGCACAACAGTGCAAAGCTTCTTAGTCATTACCTTTACACGTGTTACGCAAAACTCTATATGCATATTCATACTCAACATTCATTTGGCTGTCATTTTCTCAAGGTTACAGTATGTTGGCTAGAAAATAACTGCTCATTTGTTACACCTGGGCTGAAGTGTAACCTCATCTCTTGTAAATTAGCCCTAAAATGCAGAGCTAATAAATACTGAGGCTCGTTAATGGTCTTTTTCAGTAAAATGTTCTGTGGAACATGGTACACGAACATTGCCCCAGAGTAATTCCAGTAACATGCTCCATATAATAGGTCTTGATTAATTTCAATACGTATTAGAAATGGCAGGTACAATCAAGTCTGATTACAGGATCTGAGCACCTATAAACCCATTGATATCAGCTAGTGTTGCAGGTCTTTAGGGGAGAAAAGAAACTACACCTACAGCTGTGCAGCTGGAGAGAAGAGAAAAGTCTGGCCGTTTTACTGGCTTCTTCACACTGAGAAGTGGAAATCCTAAACCTTAAACTTCTGGTAACTGTCAGCCATTAATTTCTACTAAAAGATAGGCGAGACCAAGTGTAAAATAGATTTAAGTACACTCAAGAATCAGACAGGACATAGGAAACCATTACACAATTTATTGTACGTATTGAGGACAGTTTAAGCTTTTACTCAGAAGTATGTTGACTGTTGACTGTTTCCTACTGTGACTTTTCATGTCTTTTCATTCACCCTTAACTCCTACTCCCATTAGCATGAGAACAATGCCCTACAGTGTAATTCTTACGTGGTTTTCCATGCTTCAGATGTTTTTATTACTGATACATTTTTGTAACCACACTGTGGTTCCATTATTCCAGGTCTTTGTTTCTCATGGAATTTTTAAGGAATTAACCATCTTCATGATTTTATAATGGACAAGCAAACCATATTTATCATAGTTGGTAATAGTGCTTTCTTCTCTCGTGCTGTATGTGTACCTGAGTGCATGCATACAGTGTTTGTATTAAATATGCACACTGGGAAGGCTTTGCCTTTGGTGAATGTGGTGAACCTCAGGATCCTGGCAGCCCTGCAGTGTTTTTTAAAAGGTTCTTCAGACAAGCAGCTAGAGCCTGTAAACCTTCCCCAAGTTTGTGAACTCTCAGCGCCTTGATCCTCCTTGTACTCTGACATCAGAAAATTCTTCAGCCGAGCATTCAACTCCATATTGTTGGTTTTATTTTCGTTTCTCTTTTTTTTTTTTTTATATGTAAGGTTGGTTTTGTCCTGGGAAGGCTGAGGATCTCTCTTCTGGTTTGTGTTTATTATTCTGAATCGCTGACGTATTGGTTTCTGTCCATCAGCTTCTCTCTTTTTTTACAGCTCCGAAGTACTTTCAGGTAAATGTTAAAAACAAAGCATGTTTGAGGAACATACTCAGTTGTGATAGACAACTTTAAAGTTAAAATTTAAAAAGTCTAACCTTATTTAGAATAGGCACTTTTACACAGGAAGGTGCAAGAATCCAAGCAACTACTGTCCCCGAGCGTGCGTATGCCCCATGAGGAAATTGTCAGTGCTCTTTCATTTTATGACCTGTTTAAACTGGACCAGCTGAGAAATTATTGGTTATTAGGGACTCACCCCACATGACATTTTCTTACGTATTGTATTTTTCAGAATAGCATGTAGCCAGTATCTACTAAATAGTTTTAATGTATGATTTCATATGTAAGATGACACATAAGACCTACGAATACCTCTTAGATCACAGGAGATATTAGGTACACTTTTAAGAGCTGTTTTATGACATCACTCTTGCCAGACCTCTATGTGAAGAGCACGTTTTGCAGCAGCAAAGCTCAAGGGTCTGGTGTGGCTGGCAAGAGCGAGAGAATACTCCGGGGAAGGGGTCTTCAGGCAGCCAAGACTTCTGGAAGCTGAAAGGCTTTTTGGACTTAAGAAAATGAACTACAACTTATGTTTATTATGAAATAGAGATGCTGAGGTCATGCAAGAGGAGGAAGTATAATGGTGATCTCGCAATTTATTCATTTCATGATAAGCACCGGAGTGTCCTATCACCATGTAGGATACTCTAATAAAAATTACTATGTCTCCCTGTAAAAACAAAACAAAAATTGAGACAGTTTTTATTAAAGATAAAATGCAAAATAAATCTCAGGTTTACATGCTTTGTTTAAGAAACCTTATTGTTAAAGAAACACATTGCATTTCTCATTTCAGAAAAAGTGGAATGATTTTTTTCAGTATTCCAAGAGGAACAACCCCTCCCCCCTGGCCTGCTCTGAACTGACATTTTCAGGATAACTTTTTCTTGCAAGATTATTTTTGACTGATGAAAGTATTTTTCGTGTTAGTTTAATTTATTTCTTCTTGATATTAAACCGTATTGATTTACTTAGTATTAAAATCAGAGTAGCTAAGCAATGCTTTTCATTCCAAAATAGTCAAAATGGAATCTGCCACTTCTTTTCTTAAAGAACAAGATTTCATTAAGTTTCCACAATATGTTTTCCATTCGTGGGACACCCCCCAGCACCGCATGTCGTACGCTGTTAGGTGTCTTCACTTCATTAGCGAACACCGTCGCTGAAACAGTGTTCCCCGTTCCTCCTGGGAAACAGGAGCCCGGGGGAGGAATCCCGTTAGCCCGCTCACAGGTTTTTCTCCCGGCGCAGCCCATGGGGAGGCGCGAACTGCTCGTTTAGTAACAGGTCCCGGTCGGCCGCAGGAGCCGGGGGGGGAGGCGAGCTCGGCGGGGCACCCTCCGCACCCCCTGCCCCGGCGCCTGCCCGGGGCTCCGTGGGGGCCGTGGGCTGCCCGCCCCGCCGGCGGCCAGGAGATGGCGGCGGAGCCCGGCGGCAGCGGCGGCTCGGTGCCCGCGGAGGCTGAGGCGGGCGGCCGGGCCCCCCCCCCATCCCCGCTCCTCAGGGCCTTCCGGGGCCGGCCCTGCCCCGGGTGGAGCGGGCCGCCCTTTTCCCCTTCCCCTTCCTCCGCTGGCTCGGCGCCCCGCGGGAGGTAAGCGCTGCCCGCGGCCGCGGCTCGCCGCCGGCCACCTTCCGCGCCTCGGCCCGGGGGAGCCTCGGTCTCCTCCTTTCCGTCCCGGAGGGGCTCGGCTCCGCCGTGCCGGATTTCTCCGGCGTCACGGCGGGAGGAAAGCCGGGGCTGGAGCGGCTCTCGGGGGCCGGCCCGGGGCAGGCGGCGGCTCATACGGGGAGCTTCCCGCCAGCGCCGGTACCTTGACCTCTCCCCAGCCCCGCTGGGTTGGGCTGGAACCGGCCCGGCGGCCGGGTCAGAGGGAAGGCGGCTGCCTGCCCTGGGCCTGATGGCAACCGCTCTCGCCTCGTGTAAAACCCAGACCGCTCGGCGTTTTGCACGTCTCCAGCCTGATCCTCATCCCTCGGAGCAAGGGCAAAGCAGTTCCCTGTGGCGTCTGGGCGTGCTGCGCGCTGGGTGAGCGGCTGTCTGCAGGCGGCCGAGCAGGTGCTGCGGTGGCATGCACCCACTGCGTGGTGTCCTCCCAGTTGTTGGTAGCGAGCTTCTCACCGAAGACCCAGTGCAGCTGCTCGGTTGACTCTCCTTCGAAATAAGAGCCTGGATTTAAAATAAAGAGCCAGTTCAGAAGATATGTGTGTGAAACATGATGGTGAGTCTTCCCCTCTTCCTCACAGCGGACACTCAGCCCTGGAAGAGCCTCTCTGAAGCCCTAACTGAATTGTCTCGGTGATCGTTGCGTTTCAGTGGCACCTGCCCTGGACAAATGCACAGTATCTCAGTTGTAGGTCACAGTCAACCACTTAACACATGCGGTTTGGGCTCCCACCTTCTCCCCAAGTAATCTTAGAAATTATGTGGTCACCATTCTTATTTAGAAGGAGGCTTCTTACTGAAAGCAGATCATATGGAGTTGGTAATTCTCACATCTGAAAAACTGTGTTATCTTTTTTCATACTGCTTCTTTATCGACCAGTTAGAAGAATCAAACCCGTGAGATCTTTTAGGAGTCTTATATTAGCCTTTTCTTCTGTAAATGAATAAATGATCCAGAACAGTTCTTGTAGAATAGGAAGAATCACGTGTTATACAGGTATTTCAGTTAAAAAGAAGAATAATGTAATTGGGGAATTCTTTCAAAGGCAGCTAAGAGAATATAACATTAACTGTTACAATTACATAGTTGAGAAAACAGCAATAAGCGTTACGGTAAAAATGTGAAGAAGATTACATTTTTTTAATAGGTCAGTGCAAATAAAGATATTTTGGGGGGTAACAGTTTTCTTTCCAAGACACAATGTCCCAAAATACTGGAATGCTTTTACATTCTTCAGATAGGAGGCGGTGTGTCTGCAAAGTACTAATATTAAGAATTCAATTAAATAATATTTTTATGAACTTGACTCTGTCTCTTTGCTTTGTTCTTGCCCCTGTATCTTTCATCCCAAGTGGGAGAAGTACCAGGAAGCTGCTTGAGGGGCAGAGGTTTGGGGATTCTTTGTTACTTTGAAGCAGAAGTGTAGCTGAATAACTTCTAATTCTAGAGAAATGTATGCTGAAGACAGTACAGGAGGTTAACGGGAAGCTGCAAATTTTTATAACCTAATTTATACTCATTTATTTATTGATTTCCTCCAATGACTCAGCTTTGTTATTCTCATGGAAAAGACGAGTACTTCTGTTGCAGGAGTTATAAACCATATCAGTCAGTAGTACTTTTCAATGATGCTTTTTATGCAGCCATCTGCACAGGTAGGCTTTGTGAGCAGATAAGAATAAGAAAATTTTGTGTCTTTGATTGGCGTAAACCACTTTAAAGTTTCATGCATTGTTCTCATCTTCTATCTCCTTTTTTTACATTAAGTGATGAGAGACTGGTGGAAAATGAAATTGCTCTTAGAGTGAGGTAGATGGTGAAGATCTGTGGGCTTTGCCAGTATGTGGATTTTCAAACTTTAATTTTTTCAAAGACACAGTGGTCATTGTCATTTTTGAGAGTGGCTGAGAATAAAGTGCAGATTGGTGTGAATGCAATGTTTGAGTCTTTTTACCAAGGGAAAGGAGGCCGTGCTGCTTCTGTTCCATTACTTAAAAAATCGTTGCTGTCTGAATATCCAGTGTGCGTGAAGCAGACGTTGCTTGAACTTTATAGGTGTGTAACTGACCCCAAAATAAGTGCAGAAAGTGGTTTATACAGTAATATTATAAATGCCAAAACCCATTCAGGTTATTAAATTGTTGCGTATGTTTCTTGTTTAACTCTGTCCTTCACAGTCCCCTTAGCTTTGCTCAGTGCCACCATTCTCAGAAGGTACTTTTGAAAAGCAGCAGTACCCTGTATGCTGATGAATAAAGTGCCAGACCATGCAGCAAAGTGCTAGGTAAAAATTACAGTTTAGTTGTTTGAATTACTTCAGAAATAAATGGGAATCCTTGCTTTTCCCTAGCAGCACAATTCTCAGACATGGAAGACTTCAGTTCCGAAACTCTTTGGAATCTATTTATTTTTACAGAATTTTTTTTTTTTTTAAAGTGCCTCTGTAACTGGATTATGTTTGTTGGAAACAGAGATGTGATTTGTGATAGGCTTGCATTGTGTGTCTTGTAGAATCAAAACTTCAGATGATGGCAATGAAGATAGCAGTAGTACAGTGATTCTGGACAGCACACTAAAGAAGCTAAATTTCTGACCTACAATACAATAAAAACTAGAAAGGTTTTTAATGACTTGCTCATATTTGTTCTCATTTCTTTATGATTGAGAGTCCTGTTCTAGATCATGATCCAGCATCTAACTGTGCTTACCAGCTTCCCTGTTTGAATTAGGCTACACAACTCTGTATTGCTAATAAGTCATATGCTGTACTGTAAATTGTATATAATCAGGTGATTGGATGCTATCTGCTGTAAAAAAATATACTTCTTTCAACTTGGTCACTACTACTTCTAGGTGAACACTGAATTTACAGTATCAATGTGATACTTTGGCTTTTTACCTTTGTACCTAGCAGAAAGAGAAGTAGCCAAGCATAAAACACACAATTTCTGCTGACCAAGATCAGTGCCAGGGTACGAGGAAGGAGACAATGTCTTCTGAAACAACCCAGCAGGAAAGTCAGACATCTCCACTAAAGCAAACTGGATGGGTAAGCTGGGTTTTCTCGTTTTACTTTGATGCTATTGCTAGTGAATAACTGGGATTTTGTATTGGTCACTTACTGAAGAGAGAAACAGATGTCTGTTTGCTTAAGCGTATAAATGAAGAGAGGAAAGGGCTGTGTGTTGTTCTTCCTGATTCACTGCACTCAGAGGGCTAGGAGCTTTTGAGTCGGGAGATAGTAGGCTCTGATTTGTGCTATGCTAGTTAAACTAGTTACAAACTGAGAGAGCCCTAGTGTCTTGAGTACTAGTCCAGTATAACCTGTCCCAGAAAGGGAGAAGGAGACACTGGTGCACAAGAGCCTGCCCTCCAGCGCTACGGCATTTGAGCATTCTCCTCTGCTGGAGAAAGCAGCTACCCACAGGCATTCAGATTTTACTATTTTATGCTATAAGCATGTAATTAACCACAAGGAATTCATATGTGGTATGACCTTGTTGCTAACCAGTCACTGCCAGCGAGCAGCAAAAGAGGGCTGATCTGCAAAGGTGACCTGGGAGCCACGACTGGACAGCAAGGTTGGCAGGGGGTGTGACCTCAGGGACAAGGAGCACAGTTCCACAGTACCCAAAAAAAGAGGAGCAGAGCAGATCCAGTGACGTTAACCAGGGTCAGCCAGCAGTCAGCCCAGTGATTGGCAGGCAAGTCCACAGGCGTAAAGGGAGATTAAGTTAGCAAGGCAAGGTAGGGATCATCATCACAAATGCCAGGTACAAGCATACCTACAACACAGTTGAGGCAAGGGCCTGATCTTAAATACAGCTCCCGAGCCAAGAGGAAGAGGCCCTGGGCTAAGCTTCTTGCAGCTCTTTCTCCCAGATTTGCTGTTTTCACAGCAGTCTAATTCGGTGTTACACAACTGTGCCATGTTAGAACTGACTTTGAGCCCAAGCAACTAAACCCCTGGCAGGGTGTGTCTGGGGGCAGAAAGGTTGCAAAGCCTGTTGATGCAGGGCCCTGACACTCATTTCCTTATCTTTCACTCAGCCTGTTTGGATTTTACTGTGTTTGCTGTGACCTTGCTGCGAAGCCAGTTTGAAGCGGTGCTCTGGGCTCTGGAGTGGTCAGTTCTGTACTGTTTACCCAAACAGCACCACTCTTAACCTTAGTGGGAACAGTGCTTGAAGAAGGACTGAGATAGTAGTTAGCTAAAATGTGTGGCTGCAGCCAGTAAATGCATTTCATTATTATGGTTACAAAATCATGGATCAGTCTGGCATAAAATGAGATAGAATCCTGTAACAGATTAATGTGCTCTTTTTCCCAAGGCACTGCTTGTTCTGTGAAGTTTGGTTTTGCTTTCAAGAATGTTTGTAGATGTTGTGTTTTTACAGAAAAAATGTTAAAATTTCAATTACATTTAACTTAATGATGACTCCTCCTTTCCCCCAGCTTTTATTGCTGAGCATGTCCATATAGTATGGGGTAACCCTTGGGTCAGCTGTCCCAGCTGTGTCCCCTCCCAAATTCTTGTGCACCCCCAGCCTACTCACTGGTGGGATGGTGTGGGAAACAGAGAAGGCCTTGACTCTGTGTAAGCACTGCTCAGCAGTAGTTTAAACATCCCTGTATCATCAGTGCTGGTTTGGTCACAGATCTGAAATGCAGCACCATAACAGCTACTATGGAAAAAAAAAAAACAACTCTTTCCCAGCCAAACCAGTATACCCATATATTTCAGATGTCCAATAATGATACTACAAGTGCAAACACTGATAACTGAGTCATCTCTTAAAGAAAGAAAAATAATCTACTTATATCTACATGTCAATACCCTGGATAATAGAATGCAAGAGAAAATACTGTCACTTTTTGTACAATCAGAATAGGAAAAAAAAAAAAAAAAGCCCAAAAGAAGCCTGTTGGCAAGCTAATTATTATGAGGGTGAAGCCAGTGTGGTTGAGTTCAGTTAATGCCATGAATATGTTTAAGCTGCTCAGAGGGAAAGTTAGGCTAGTTAGGGGAATCTGGCGGAGTTTATGTTGACCCTTTTCTGAATACTTGCAAAATCTGCTCTTACTGAACTTAAATTGACTTCTGTACAAGGCAGAACTTCATTTTTAGAAACGACCACTCTGCCTTTATTTCCTGTAATTTCTTTCCCGGAAAGGTGATGTAGCTCATGAGAATGAAAAGGCTAACAGAAATAAAGCAGTATACTTCTGGGGTAAGCAGCAGGTGAGCTATTTTAGGAAAGTGCAAACCAACAGGATGAGTGGTTTTAACTTAAAACCTATGTAGTTCTTCCTGTTTCTGTAGTGGGGTATCAAGTATTTCATCACACTGCTAACAACAGAATAAGGAGTTCTGCTTGTTTGGTTGGCTTTTGTATTGTATTTTATTTGTTTTTTAGATAATTTGTCTTCTGTACTTGATCTATTTATTTCTTCCTGTGAATTTAAATACATTAAGTTAACCCAGGTTTATCCTTTCAGCCAATGTTCTATTGCCCCATCTCACAAAATGACAATGCTGGAGAAATTGCAAAGATCCGTAAAGAATGCAAAAAGGAAAGTTTCTGGTACAGAGGTGAGTGATCCAAAATTGTTCTTATCACACTAAGAATGACTTCTTATTGTACTTAGGCAAAACTGGCTGCAAAATGCCATGCTGTTTATTGTAATACACTGGGGTTTGTTGGAATAATATTATAGGTTAACTCTGTCACCTTATTTTGAATTGATAGGGTCAGTTAAATTATTTGTGTAATCATTGTAAGTAAAGGTGGTTGAATTAAGCTCTTGTTTAATATGAATTTACTTTAACCGTCGTGGATTTGGTTCTATTCTTGAAGTCCATTACTAGAACAACCTATAGGAATATTTTACTTTATTACATACTTATTCTTGTCTTTGAATAAAAGGCAGGCATGGCTATATGTCTTGGGATTTTTAAACTGTTTAGGTGTTAGGACACCTTAAAGGTAAGTTACTTAGTGTTTTAGTGCCTTTTAAGTCCATCATGTCAGTTCATATCGAAAGTACATATTTTCTGAAAGGAGAAGATTGAAAAGGGTTTCAGCATTTAATCAGAGCTGCTGTCATTACTAGTGTTGCAGAGGAGGAGATACTCAGATTATGGAAGCTATTATTTAATAAATATATATACTGCATTAGCTCCAGGTGCTACAGCACGCCTGATGTCTGGCACTGTGTGAACATATCCTTGCTTTGAAGAGATAATAATCTGAATGAACAGATGATTAAAACATGATTAAGGTGATTAAGACAGTATGCAAAGTTAATGTTTAGAATATGAGTAATGTGTTTAACATTATAAACATATAAAACATTTAACATAAAAGAGCAATGTATTTAACAATAGGTAACACATTTTGGCTGATACTAGATACTGTCCTTTTTATTTTTACAGCTCTTCCTTTGTCTCTCGGGAGCATGCTTGTCACCCAGGGGCTAGTCTCAAAAGGTAAATATAAAAAATACTCTATAGTCCTAAATTATGAAATTGAGACTCTGGAATTACTACTGAAATATAAGTTTCCCTGAAGCCTGCTGTTTTTCTAGATCAATATTCCTCTCACTCATCACCAATATTGTTACAGTGATTTGATCATTATGTGTGTGTCACCACAGTCATTCTTGTGAAACAACATGAACTGGAAAGAGAATTCACAGGTTCAAAGACTGGTGGCTACATTCTGTCACCATGATCACATGTATTTGAGTAGAGTCCTCACTGGGGCTGCTTGTAGGGCAGAGCATCGTACAACCTGAGCAGGGGCATCAGAATCGGGTACTGTAGCTCTAACTGTTCTTTTATTTGAAAAACGCTGGGCATGTTTTTACAGTGACCACGTATCAGTACGAATACAGCTTTGGTGCAAAGGGACCAGGAATACTGCCAAAGTGTGAAGACAGAGAGCTTTTTATAGAGATGGCTTGCGATCTGCAGGCTACCACAAAAGAGAATTGTATTCTGTTTATGTGGTGGATGACCCTGGTTCTACACATTGCACCTTGCAACGTGTAGTTTCCCTTCTGGAATTTTTGACTAATAATAAGGTTGAGCTTAGCATTTTGAGTAAACAGTGAAGAGCATCCACCCTAAAATGGGTGTATCCCACAGGACCAAATAAGACAGTCCTTCAGCCTGCATCAGCAAGCAAGGACAGGCAGGAGAAGAGAAAAAAGGGCCTGAAGCAAGAAGCAGAAAAGAACCTAGGGGCTATAAGAAGTGGGTGGTGGGAGACAGCAAATGGAGGATGTGAAAATGGCTCATCCTTTTCTCACTGTATGTGGTTGCAAGCCCCTTGGTTTGTTCCAGCCACTCTTACCATGTTTCTTCCTCATCACATTCTTTATTTTTACTGGGATGATCAGGAGAACTAGAGTAGAAAACTTAAAAGCTGTGCTATGCTGCAAGGGGCCGATGTGGGTTCCCTGTTGCATCCTTGACCTATGAGCTTGTAGGCAGATGGGGAGGGAAGGCAAAGGATTACACATTTGAGAAAGGGTGAGCAGTGATAGGAACAGCACTGGGATTGTCTCAGTAGCTGACATGCCAGTCTCTGGCACTGGGTACTCTTCTCAGTTTCTCTTCATTGTGCTTGGAAGTTTCTGGTCATCTGTGAAATAGCAAATGCCCATATTAAATAATCATTACTGTGTGTCAACAATTGGAAGGGGGGTGGGGGTTGGCAGTTTAGGAACAAACAAGAATTTTGCCCCACCTTTCCCCGAGAGACACAATTTAAAACTGCATAAATGCCAGTGGGCGAAGGCCCTTGCATTTAGCATAGACTGAATGCTCCTCTGTCTAAACGCTCCTCTCTGATGTCCGCACACGGTACACTGGCTCTAGAAGAAGCTGGAGCTTCTGAGCCCCATTATCACTGCCTGAACACATGTAACAGTGCAAACAAGTTCACTTCCTTTCCCTTTGCCATGCTAATCCTGCTGTGTGGAGCCCTCCTCCGCAGCAGGGCACTCCTCTGCCAGACACACATGCTCCCAGAGGTATACTGGTTCCACCTCCTGGGGTTAACTGGGGGAAGGTAGATTTTGGTGGGAAAAGCTAAAGATGATCTTTCAGTTTTCTTGTTCAGCACACTGTATTCCCCTCTTAAAGGCCAAAATGTATGATCTCTCCAGAGAAGGAGGCTAGATATCAGTGGTATAGTTTAACACGAATTTAATCAATAGCCATGGAAAACTACTGAGGAGTGGTCTGTGCCTACTTGTCGCAGCACAAGGAGCTGGAGCCTGAGTGAGAGATTTCAGTTTGCTATTAAAACATAGTAGGGTTGATTGGTTTGCAGTGAAACATAAGCCACCATCTCCTCCTCCTGCAGTGCTGCAGGTGTCACCAGTGGCAGCTATGCTGCTTTCATGTGGATTTACACTCCGAACCCCTGCCTGAACTGAGTCCTGCAAAGTCCAGGTTTTTCTCCTCCTATGACTTAGGACAGCCCCAAAACAGATGCAGTAAGAACTAGTGGAATAGAAAGTGCCCTGGTGTTCCTAAATCTGGGTCAATGGACTTTTAATTTCTTCAGACAGTCTTCACCTTCAGAAATGCAAAAGCTTGTAGGATAAAACACTGTTTTGGTTTTGAGTGCTGGTGAGTTCCTCAAGTGAATATGCTTTCTGTTTCCTTTCATTTTAGGCATTTTCTCAGCAAGCCCAAGATTTGGTGCATTACCTAAGATGGCAAGTAAGTTGTACCCAGTTCTAAAAGGAAAGGAAATGTTATTTGCAGGCGATACGCAGACCTTAGATGCATCTCTCTGAATCTCTTTTCAAACTCTTCCTTTTTTGGAATTCATGAGATGTTACCCCAGTGCCATAGGAAATCAGAATTCTGCTGTGTTTAAAAATAAACGTATGAAATAAGGTTCTCTTAATGTAAACATTTTCAGTAGCAGCTCATATTTACTTAATATATCCTCTCAAATTGGTAAAAACTCCAGTCTCACCTTTATTTTATAAATAATGTCAGCCTCATTGATCAGCCATGCTTAGCAGATCACAGAGTTCATGGTATCAAGGAGTCATCGTGGTATACTGTATAAAATAATATGTCCCTTTTCATATGTTAATTTGATTGATCTTAACTGCCTAATTCATGACCATTAATTGATAAAGAAAACAAATAAAAGCACAGAAACTGTACAGTAGAGTAAGGTGGCTCTTAAATGGCAAGAAGTGAAGTTGATACCCTCCTCAGCAGAAGTTCAACAGAAAATTGAGGATGTTGAATTAGTATTTTTCTTCTGATTCTAATGAGTGAAAGAGCCAGCGTGATCTTACGGCAGGCTCATGTTCTAGCTTCTTAGAAGCCCAGTGAAGAGAGTGTTAAAATTGCCATCATTAGAAATAACCATGGTGTATTATATACCAAGAGAAATTGGTGCTGACATTGTGAATTGATTTCATTGTGGGCTATCTCTATAATCTGTTCCTCTAAATATGAAATCTTGTAATTCCAGCTGAATATGATACCCTTTTCCTGGATGTATTGTTTTGGACCAGTTGCTGTCTCTCACGATAGGTAGCTGGTTTTCTATAATTACTGAAATCATCCCTGTAATCCCTGTATAACTTAATGTGTTTGTGACATGTTCTGAGAAGACATGCTACATACAATTTGTTGTATGATTAAAATGGTGCAAATTACGGACCCTTGATTTAAGCTCTTGTATTAACAGTGTTTTGTTATCTGTCTTCATAGTTGCTGGTGTCTTAGGTTTTGCCATTGGAAAGATGTCATACATAGGAGAATGCCAGAAAAAGTTCCAGAAAATCGGTATCGTACCATTTGGTCCACAACAAAAAAGGTTTGTATTTATTTAGTTAATCCTCGATCAAAATAATTTAAGACATAGTAAATATTATATGCAGCAAAACTGTGAATTTTAATTCCGTAATCAGGTCATGAGGTACTATTCATATTCTTAGGCTGTATCTGACAGTATTAGAAACTACTAAACATTATTTGGAAAATGCAAATTAAACTCAGTGTAATACCTGTTATTAGGAAATCCATGATTTAAATGAAACCATTGTACTTTTAAGTGTGATGGGACAACAGTTATTTTCATCTAATATTGTGCCTCTGTCTCACGATCATCTATGATATCACTTTGTCCCTTTGAGTCTTCCTTTGTACATCAGGCCAAATATGCTGCAGATTTTTTTTGTACTATCCTCATATTTTAACAACAATTTCAATCTCAACGCACATTCCAACCTCCTCCTCTGTGGCTTTGCCCAACCTCACACTGTCATGCCAAACCATGAAGAGCACAAACTGCAAGGGTATTTTTTCCACCTTGCAGTTCTAACCATATGATAGATCTCAGTGGTTGCTTTCTGTCACCTGGCACCTCTATGTTTTAGTCATTGTGTTCTAAACTTCATGTAAAGTACTCTTTCCTGTCAAATCACACTCTGACTTCCTTCCAAGTTCCTCCTTCAGCTGCCAGTACTACTTTTCATTCTCAGTATGGCATCTCATATGCATCTTTCACACACAGAACACATTTCCAAAAATCCTATCCACAAACTCATTCTCCTCTGTCTTTCCACATCTTTCCCCCTGACTAGCACAAGCTTTTATGCCTATGAAAATGCCTGACTGGTAACAGGAAACTTCTTCATTCTTCGTCTATCTCTCTACTTCCAGTCTTCCCCACATAACTAAGCTATTACTTTCCTCACTTGGTGTTCTGCAAAATGACTGTTTGTTACTCTTTTGTATTCTACCCCTTGCTCCTAACTCTGTTCATTATCAATAAGTACAATGGCAAGGACTGTCATGTTTTTTCAGTTTATGGCCCGTAAAGCAGTTACAAAAATTGGAGCGTATAGGCAAGAGATTATTTTGTCAGGAATGTTTGCCAGCATGTTATATGGTTGTATTAGAAGGAATCCAGCAAAATTCTTCAATATTTTATCTGCTTTCAATATTGCAGGCATTGTCATCATACTTGCAAAGAATGTGAAGCAAAATTGGGATCAAACGAGAAACAAAGTTTGGATCCTTCAGCATCTTAGTCCTAGGTAGGCAACCATGAAATTTAAAATAAATTCTCATTTTATTTTCCATGTCGAGTGGTATTCTTTTTTGAAACATTTGAACAATATATTAAAAATCACGGAGTTTAATCATGGATTAAAATCTCAGCATTTTTCGATGAAATATTCTCTATCTAGGGTTTCTAATTAAATTTGTTTCTCAATTTTTACCTTACACACCTTTCATGCTAATTTTAAATCCCTTATTTCTGAGGAATTTCTGCTTTAGCTGTAGCAAAGTATTGCTTATTCACCTAACTGGAATTAATTTGGATTGACTACCTGCATGAAACCAAATATAACTCCTTTCAATTTCCAGCTTTTTTACTTAAGAATCAAATAATTATGGATAATGTTGAAATTTTAAAATACATTGAAATACTCAGAATCTAAAAGCAGGCACATTTGGGTTTGTTTGTTTATTTGGGGGGGTGTGTGTGTGTGTGTTGCACCCAGTACTATAGTTTTGCCAGAGCCTTAGTGAGGGTAGTATAAGAGGGTGTTAGAACAGCTATATGGTGGGGCAGGGGAGGCAGCCCATGTGATGTTTTCACCCTGGAAAGGGGAAAGTTCCCTTTGCAAAGAAGGAGGGTTTATGGGGTGGAAGGCAGGGGACTGCTTAAAAGCACTTTCACTCTTTGTCTATGAAAAACAGGCCAGCAGCTGGGCTTTTAAAAAGCATTTTCACACATTCTGCTTGTGGTGAGCTGGCCTACATTTCTCACAGGCAGGAGAATGTGTGAAAGTGTTTGCAAATAGCTTGGCTGCCTGAAAGAGAGATGAGCAGAGGGCCTGTTTGAAATCCTGCCACGTGAGTTTGTTATGGCTCTAGCTGTAGCTTGGAACAGAAATCTGATGCAGACATGGTTGGATTGAATCTCTTTGGCGTGTATTATGTAGGAATTTAGACAAGGCTGTTGATAATGGTCCCTTTCTTGCTCTGAAGTACATGTCTGCAAACATCTATAAGGAGGAATATCTTAGCAGCACCTGTATACTTACCCAGAAGAGAGATTTTGATGGATTTTTACTATACAATAATACATTACAGCAGTAAGGACTGTCCTTAAGGAAGCCATTAGAATAAATTCCTGGTTTTAATCAACTTTGCCACTACTTGATGATATTATATGAAGAGCTGCAAGTGCTCAGCCACTAGCAAAAAATGCATTTTTGGCTTAGGCTCACCTAATACAGTTGCTGCCAAAATGGGCAGTGCTTCTCTTGTGCCAGCTGCAGAGATTACGAGGAAGTGTGGCCCTCTAGATGAGCTCACTGCGCTAGCGGAGTATCAAGCCCATAAAAGAGGGAAAAAAAATTCAAAGCCAGAAAACCTTTCTGAGGCGTAACTTGCTAGTGCCAGCATGAAGGAGGGAGCAAGCCAGACTTAGATAACTGTGAATGAATGACACCCTAAACCCATTAGCAGTTGTGAGTTTAATTAAGCCCTTGTGCTACTGTGCTGATTAAGTGCTTTTGAAGATTTTCTCTTAAATAAATGTTTGCTTATGTAGGCCATGATCCTCACCTATTTCAAATAAGGACCCCAAAGAATATTTAACTGAGGACGGTCATTTACTAGCACTTACCTGTGTAGGAGAATCAAATGTTGATGGTGGGATTTACCTTCGCTGTTTGTCAGAGCTGCATCTTGTAGAATCCTAAATCCAAACACATTTTCTTTTCCAGCTTTTTCCCTTTTTCAGCCTTCCTCTGTGAGCTGACAGTATTTTTTTCTGGTGTATAAGTACCAATTAGATTTTAAATAAATTCCAAATTGTCTCAAATACAGAGGAGTCTTGCAGCTGTATGAAGGAAAGAATGTAGGATGCTACAGGTGCCTCTTTGTCTTCTCCCTGAAATCGGTCCTGGAATTTCTGCTGTGGGACCTGTTCCCTGTTGCAGCTCAGATACTCATCAAAGAGCTTAGTTGCTTTTTACTCTTTACCAGCCGCTTAAGTCTTGTCTGTTTTTTTTAAAAGGGCTAGAAAGCTGAGTCAGAAACGTAGTCAGAAAACAAATGCAAGACAAGTGTATTTCTTTCAAATTTTAATTGCTGGAAGGAAAAAGCGATTATATTTATGCCAGTGTGGTATTTTGAATTTGCCAGGAATCAGTTTTGATGCACAGGTTTTTAGAAGCTTCCGGAAATAAATTCTGTAAGCACTGTGGTGTTTTCCGTACCGTTAAACAGCGAAAATAAGAACCTCATAACCTCTTCTATGTTTTGATCAAAATTCTTCATCTAGCATGCTGTGCTCTAAAACTGTGCAGAGACCCTGCTGACTGCATCTCACCACTCTCCACGCTAAGCATACACCTCAGACTTTGGCATTGCCTAGGAGGACTGCCTGGATAAAACTACACTCATGCTGATGAATCTGAGAGTGGTTTCTTTTATCCACATGGACTTTGTAGAGTTCTCAGAGAAATCACCAAGAAGCTGCACATTTCACGTCGAAAACAAGGTGCCACTCAGCTAAATAATGTTTCTTTTATTCCATTTGCAGACGTGGTGAAGATGATAAAAATCCTGTGGATCTTCTTCTTCTTTAAAGGCTTTATTCTCTAGAGAAGAAATACTGTATTCGGTTTGGTGTAAACAGGGTTATTTGAAAGTGCTTCCATAATGTTAGATAGTTCTGTTCATAGTAAATACCAATTTCTTGTAATGCACTTTTTGATTTTTCCTCTCCTCACTCTTGTCAGCATGTTTTTGTTTTCTCTCTCTCTCCAGTCCAATTTATCTCTTAGTGCTGAAGAAATAAATCTGTCTATTGTACTTAGATGCTGGTAATACTTTGTGTAGCAAGCAAAATGGCATATGCAGGAATGTTAGTCTTTTCTGACCAAAGGAAGGAGCGCAAGGATGTTTAAATGATTTTGCGCAGTTAAGCAGCTATCCAGTCTTTGAACTGACTCCTTGTTTGTGCAGTGTTTTAAAAGTGCTAAGATAGAAGTTCATTATGGTATGGCCTGCTGTGGTTTAACACCAGCTGACAACTGAGCCCCACACAGCTGCTTGCTCCCTCCCTCCCTCCTGGTGGAATGGGGGAGAGAATCGGAAGAGTAAAACTGAGGAAACTTGTTGGTTGAGATAAAACCAGCTGAATAGGTAAAGCAAAATCCATGCACACCAGCAAAGCAAAACAAGGAATTCATTCACCACTCCCCATGGGCGGGCAGGGGCTCAGCCATCCCTGGGACAGCCGGGCTCCATCACACCTTTATGGTTACTTGGGAAGACAAACGCCATCACTGACTGTTCCCTCTCTTCCTTCTTCTTCCCTCAGCTTTACATGCTGAGCATGACATCCTTTGGTCTGGGATATCCCTTTGGTCAGTGGGGGTCAGCTGTCCCAGCTGTGTCCCCTCACAACTCCTTGTGCACCCCCAGCCCACTCGCTGGTGGGGTGGGGTGAGGAGCAGAAAAGGCCTTGGCTCTGGGTGACCAGTGCTCAGCAATAACAAAAACATTTCTGCGTTATCAACACTATTTCCAGCCCAGATCCAAAACACAGCCCAGTACTAGCTGCTGTGAAGAAAATTAACTCTATCCCAGCCAAAACCAGCACAGTTCACACAGCAATTTCAGTACCGAACCAGTTTTTAATAGGCCAGTTTTACATAAAAATCCACTTTGCCAGGGATATCAAAAGCGTGTGTCACATTTGTAATGAACAAGTAGTTTGGAACAGTTTAGGGTTTGTGCACAATCCAAGGGGAGTAGATGTTGAGAAAAAATTAGATGGCACACACTCTATACCAGCGGCATGACATACGAACTTTAATGGAGTATCTCAGGAAATCAAGAGAAGACACTTCCCCTAAACATAGTGATGGTGCTCACATGGAAGCCAAATGTACAGCTGCTGAAAAGTTTGGGTTTCACTGTGAGCTGGTAAAGCCTGCCTGTGGGTTTTGGTTTTTTTTTTTTTTTTTTTTTGGTTGGTTGGTTTTATACTATGCCTGTGGTTAGTATCCCTCTTCTGAACCAGCTCCTTTGGGTATCTTTACCTGGGCACAAAGAGATTCTGCAAGCAGGGTATATAGAACATCAAAGTATGAAGTAACTAGTAATTGGCTACTACACACAAAAGACATTCTGGATTTAACAAGCCATGAGGCTAAATGCTTACCACCCTGAGCAGGCGCCTGGAGAGTCTTGCCTAGCCAAGCAGGCAGCAGCTAGGAGGAGAAGGGTGAGACTAACTAGCCACCCTGGGTTTTTTCCCTTCAGGATTTTACATCTTTCCAAATTGCCGTTTGCCCTCTTGAATTCATGAGCTGCTAAGAACCCCTGTCTCAACAGGGGCTTTAATTTTAGACTTTTCACCTTTCTACAGACTTTTTCCACAGTTCTTTCTCAGCAGTCTGACTCAGGGGTGCACAGATGAGCTGTATCAGAGCTGATGCTTGATGTACAGGCAGGATAAGCTGTGGGCAGCCTTCAGCTGGGGCTACAGGGAGAGAAGGTTACACAACCACAGAGAAGTCAGGCTCCTTTATAAAAATAATGTCATTATCACAGCTGTACCGTGATAGCCAGCAAAACTTGTATGGTGGCATGTCTTAGCTACTTTCCCTTCGCCTGACACCTGCTGTCAAGATAACAGCAACAAACTGCAGAGGTTAGTCACGCCGCGTTACCTGAAGCGAGCCGTGGCGGCCGCCTGGTGCTGAGGGGGTTGATGCACGTGACCGAGGATCTTTTGTCTTGGGACTCTCAGAGGTTGTTCTAGTGGTCAGCGTTACCTCCTGGGGTTGCAATTTAGCTGCTTAACTTTGCTTTGCATGTAATTTTTGACAGGCTCCCAATTACTTTGTTGTAATAAATGTATTGTTATATAGAAATGATTGTCTCCTTTTTTGTTAAGTTTATTTCCGTACTTTGCAAGAGGCAGTACCCTTAGTAGCTAATTGTGTGGATCTAAGTTCATGAGTTACTGTGGTACTGTTAGGAAAAAAAGGCTTTTTGTGAATCTGAGCTGTATTAGCACTACCTTTGTGCATATCAAAGGAAAAACGAGCACAGCTCATGGGCAAACTGCTCTTTAGAAGGTCTTTAAAAGCATTTTTCTGTACTTCGGTAGATTTATGGCCAAATAATTTTTTAAGCCTGTCAGATGTCAGGGTCCACTTCATACTCCTTGATTTGAGAAGGAACAGGGGGGATGTTTTGGCAAGGTTATTGTTTAATTTTGTTAAAATACAATTTCTCCTGCTTTGCTTGACTAACAATCTAGTCATGTGTGCAGCTGGGCTACAAGCCTTTATAATGAGGTAGTAATGATGTTGCAGTATTTCTTAAATATAACTTAAAAATTTTAAAATAATGTAAAATTTAAGTTAACCGAGTCTCCCAAAAGCACCGGCTACAAAAGGATAGGGCTGACTCACAACACATTCTGCACCATGTTACTTAATATGATAAAATTGGAGCCAACTGGCTTTCATTGTGCTGTGACTTACAGGTCTGTTGGAATTTTCTGTGGCTGGATGTGTTCTAGGGGTGGAATCAGACAGATGCTGGATTTTCTAGCATTGGGTGACTTACAGGACCTACTTGAACTTTTAAGCTTCTTAAGACTTGGAAAAGAAATACGAAAAAGTGCCTTGTAGTTCACAGAAGTTCTATAAGAACACAGGTGCTGGGGTGTTAGTAGTTACGCTGCATGATGCAGAAAGGAACATTTAAATGCATACTGATTATTTTAATTATTACTTTATGCAAAAGGAAGACAGGAAGAACTGGACAAAACCTCATGTGCTCTCATGGCCAGACCCTCAGGATTTTTCTCGTTGGGAAGAAGCTCCTGATGATTAACAATGAGTTGTCTAAAAACTGTAAGTTAGTACAGCTGTTTTGTAGTAATTATGCACAATTTAATGAGCTAACCTTTGTTGACTGTTACTGTCATGTATTCTGTATGAGTTGGTTACAGAATTTGTTTTTATTTGAAGCAGAAGTTGAATACACTGAATTTAAGGGTGATCTGTTAAAAAGAAGAGGGAAAGATTTGAGGTAATCCATTGCTTCCATAATCTTTATTTCAGTCTGGAATAAGAGGGGAAGAAATCTCCAGGAGGAAACACAGTTGACCTTACAAAGGATCAAGCATTTTTTATATTGTGCTAAAACTTTTCTTATTATTTTCTTGTACTAATAATAAGATACACATTGCCTTTTGGCAGGAAGATGTTACAAAAAGGCTAAAAAAGGTCCAGTGAATTTACATAGCTTCCTATTAATCATTTGCATCTGGAAAGCAGAGCTTATTTTCTTTACCCAGAGACAAGGGAGTTTAACTGTGTGCTTAGGCATATCTCAGCTTAGTTGAAGTCCACGTACTGGCTAAAATCAAGAAGCGAAATACATCCTTCATCTGTAATGCATGCAAAGTGAGTAGCTTTATGTAAACCTCAATCTGCTTTATAAAATTATGAATAGGAAAAGGGTCAGAGAAAAAGAGGAAAGCTGTAATGACATTAACCTCAAACAACTGCAATAGATTGCTTGTCTTTGGGGACTTTTGTATTAGCTACTTGAAATAATTTTACAAATACTTCATTCAATCCAAATTAAAAAAAAACAAAACAAAACAAAACTGTGTTTTAGAAGAGAAGGCAACTGTAGATTGGAAACAAAGCACATTCCTGTTTAATTCCTGACTTGGCTGGGCTTCAGGCAGGCCAGCTGGTCTCGAACTATCTTTTAAAACTGGGAATGAAGGGGAGATGAAAGCTCACTATCCATGTTGATATAAATCCCTATCAAAAATAAGATTTGGGGCTTATTTTACTACATTTTGAGAAGAGGATGAGAGAAGAGGGCACACTGTGCAACGGCAGTTAATGGGAGGGGAGGGCAAGCGCTGGGGCGGGAGTTGCAGCAGGAGCATGCTGCCCCAGGCCCAGGGGCAGCTGGCCCAGGCGCTGCGCTGGTACCTCCGACAGCGGTGCTCCTTCGGCCGCAGCAGCGGCTTCCTCGTGACTATTTCTACCAGTGAAAGAGCTGCTGGTAGTTTGCCCCACTCACCCAACTCGGTTTTGGCACGGCACACAGGAGCGCCGTTTGAGAGCGCCAAAAAAAAGGGATCCCACCTCTGACATCAGTGTTGCAGTGGTTCCACATCTTGGAAATACTAAGCCGCCCATTCTTACAAACTTAGCTTTTATGAAGTGTACTGTTTTCACAGGGGTGTACTTAATTTGTGGAACCGCCTCCAAAATAGGTGGATTTGTAAAGTCCTGTCATGCCGTAAGTATACCTGTGCCATATAATGAAGAATCACTACAGCTTTCACAGCAGGATGTTGTGCTTTACAAGCCTATTAATGATTTTTTGAAAGCGTGGACGTGGGAACACAGTTCCATACTGTGCACATGCTTTGGTATGGGTTTGGCGTTTTTTTTCCCCTTTTTTTTTTTTCTGCTAAGTGTCTCAAGAAAAGGAGATTCTCAATAAATAAATGAGACCCTTCTCAAGGCCAGTTTGAAATCTAGCAGGCTTGAGTAGGCTGCTGGGTACGTGCTAGGGGGCACCTCATCAACATATTAACAATAATCTGACAAAGCAAAACATGACTAAGTTTCCTGATGACAAAATGATAGAGCTAGGAGAAAATCTCCATACTGAGAGTCTGAGTAATAAGCTTCATTGTCATGGGGAAGAACACTAACTGTAATTTTAAAACAGTTAGATTTAAATTACCCTGACATTCTCAGTACAGAGATCTGGAAGTTGTTTTGCATAGTTTTGCATAGTTGCAAGACATAAGA